CGCTGCAACATGTGATGTGGTCCCCTGGAATGCATGCTACTGACCCAAAGTGGTGTTCTCTTGGTTTGGTCCTGAAGGGCCTCGAATCCAGACGCAAAACGCAGGGTGGAAATGAGAGACTGGGATTGTACACGAAGATCAGGATGTTGTGGCCGATCCGAGGTCGGATTCCCATTGCACACAAACTTGGTAATTATTACACAATATCTTGGAAAACTATGGAACTGATATCGTGCCGCTTGTCTATATTCCTGAAGGAGAGAGAGAGAGAGAGAGGACCCTGAAAAAGGCCCAAAATATACCGTGGACTCGATGCTTCCCAACGCTGTAAAATGCATATCACCCGTCTTCTTCTTATGAATAGTATCCCCTGACCCCAGGACTCATATCAACAGTACATTAGTATAGAATACAAAAACCCGGCCTTGAGGAAGAGATCAAAGCATGGTCACTGCTGTGGACGTGCAAACTCATTTCATCACTTCTCCCTGGCCAGGTAGACCCAGAACAGGACCGTCATCCACGCGACTCTCCAGACGGTGGTCCAGATCTCCTTCCCAACCACGCCTAGTGTCTTGCTGCTCCCGACCTCTGTCTGCCGCGGGTCGTAGAATGCCTCGTCGAGATTGATCCGTGGACCGTTCGTCCACCGACGTTTTCCTTTCTGGGCTGGCTGCCATCGCCCGTTGGACGAGAGGGTGGAATTGCCCGCGCCAGGCCACATGGACGTGGACGATGATCCCAGCGTAGGTGACCGTAGATCGGGGGGCTCGATCTTATCCTTGGTGGATATCGGGAGGGTGTTGCTGTACTTGAATTCGGGAATGTCATTCTTCTCCAGCGCGAACCGGCTCAGACCCAGAATCGGCACAAGAACGGCCCGGAGGATGAGGACCACAAGGCTCAGGATGATGAAGGCGACGTACTTGATGTACGTGTGTATCTGATTCGGCAGCAGACACAGGTGTGTCTGCAGCGTCTTCTCTGGCGCGCCGGGGATGCGATTTCCATCCTCATCCACCGGGTTGTAGAGGCTGACCATGAGGAAACCTGGCGTTGGCACACCCATGGCCATGCTCATGCTCTTGACCGTGATCTCGGGCACATTGCCCTGTGATTCGGAATGGACCAGCTGACAGTAGTCGTGATCATCGCCGGAGAAGACCTGCACAACGTTGCCGACGTCCTTGACCAACTTCACCGAATCGGATTCCTCCAAGACATTCTGGTACTGGTAACCACCGGACACTGAAATCGCATTTCGGTGATCGGGTGTCGTCGGCCCAGTCTCGCCCTTGGCGGGCTTCGTGGGCGGCCAATGCTCGCGTTGCGGCCCGCAAGGTGTTCCGGGCTCACGGTAGAGAGGAACATGCGTGAGAAGGATGGTAGGGAACTCGACAGCGTCGGCACCAGGATCGGTTGGGGGGAACCCTTCAGGGTTGGTGCTGAGCTCCAGTTCCTCAACATCGTGCGGGTACTTGAGGCTCTCAGCACTGTCGTGCCAGGCACTCAGTTCCGCCTTCACAGCCCTTCGCTTAGAAGCCTGGACCCCCTTGAGGAACCTATTGACCGGTCCGTATATCGGCGATAGATCGTGAGTGCTAGCAAAGTCGGATGAGGCAGCGCTCAGCGACAGTGTATCAACCGACACGAATGTATGATTTCCAATAACATCCACCCGGTTCAAATCTCCAAAATGGGCACTGAAGCGATCCCGCACTGGTACCTGGACCTGGGCGCCGAACCCGAGATCGTGGTTCCCGGGCAAGCTGGCGATCAACTTCCTCCCTCGCTGCCAAGCCCCCGGTGCGTCCCCGCCGTCACTCCAATGGTCGAAGAAGATGTTTCCAAATCTCTTGTACTCCCGCAGCCAGTACTCCTCGCCGTACTTTCGGTGCCATGTATCCACCCACTTGGCCTCGTCGCGCGAGCGCTGCTTCCCCCACCGCGGGTCGACGAACTCGCCACGGTGCGTTTTCCACTCCCGCCCGCCGTCGAAGAGGTCGCCGAGAAGCATCACCGTATCCGGCCTGAGGCGCCTCTGGAGAGACTTGTAGCCGCGAAGGAGATAGTTGTCGGTGATGATCATGGTCAGCTCCGAGAGCACCCAGGGACGTCCTGGATAGCTGTGAGGATCGATAATCTGGGGGTCGGCGATGAAGATGAGGTGATGCGGGTTTGCGCCCTTGGGCTGAATCAGATGCGTTAGTCAAAGAAGCCTTCCATATGCAGATAGTCGACCGTGATGCGCAGAAGCAAGGGGCATCACCACCTACCCAGTTCTCCCAATGATCCCAATCGCAGCTCGCAACCTTGCTGTCAAACACCCATCGCTCGCCCCAGAGCAGAATCAGGACCCAGAAAACAACAACCAAGTGCGGGAAGCTCCATAACCGCCTCGAGGTCAGGTTCCTACGCAGCTGGTGGATCGCGGCGAGGGATAGCCATGTCGCCCTCTGTCGGCCAGGTCCTCTGGCCCATGCCCATAACCGCTGGCCCTTGGCGCCTAGGTAATGTGTGATCTGGTCGGCTACAGATGCGTCATAGTGAGGCATTTCGCCGTGGCCATTCCCCGTCGGTCAGGCGCCCGGCTTCGTTTCTTTGGATGAGCGAGGCGGTACTTGGTCGAATGGCGAGCAAGGGGGAAGAGGGGGATCGCGGCCAGCCGGAGGATATCTAATACAGTCTTGTGTCTATAAACCTAAACTCAAGAGAAACGCGTGGAAAAAGTAAAGGGAACTATCAAATGAATGAACTTATCGAACGACGGGGGATTATAGCAATGAGGAGACCTTGCAAACGACAGACGTGGTTGGAAATTGGAGGTGAATCGAGGCAATGGATGCTCCTGATTGGCGTATCGTGGGAATTACGTAGGTCCAATTCTACCGCGGAACAAACCCAGTCGCCACTGCGAGAAAGACTAGAACAATTCAAGAGTTAATTCCAGGCACTGCGCCGGAGAGGACCCACTGGAATTAGGGGCCTTTCCGGGGCGCATAATGTACTTACATAGCCTCATCGTTTGTGACTATCGGCATTGCGTTTGGGCAATTCTGCGTTCTTTCAGAGACATCAAGTATACACTCGAATCAGACTGGCAAATCCCCTGTTGGGAGATACCTCCCCACATTCTTCCCACTTCAACATTTTCACTTTCCATAACAACAAGAATCAAAGAAAATTCTTTTACATAGATATTATACTTTTATATAATTACCTAGACTCTAATATAAAGACTTTGCGCCTTATAGATCTTATTTCATCTAGTATGAACCAACTCCGCGCCTTGCGCCTCACGCATCTGACTTCCCCCCATAGCCGATAGGCGGCCGATTATAAATAAATACTTGGGCGGCTCCCTCGCCCCGCGCGACTAAGACTGCCTTACGAATCTCTTCTCCTCGAAGCCAACATCTGGAGTGCCTGGAAACAGCCATGGATTTCAACAGCTCATCTCCCTTCCCCGAGGGGGTGATCTCTTTCTTGGACACCGATCTGTACAAGTTGACCATGCAGTGTGCCGTGTACAAGTTCTTTCGCGACATCCCCGTGACGTATGCCTATACGAATCGCACTCCGGACAAGAAGCTCTCGCGCGCCGCTTTTAATTGGCTCGACGAGCAGATCCGAAGTGAGTTCCTTGCAGTGGTGACCCGGAAGATTGCACAGCTGACTGGTTTGGACGAGCAGAGCTTGGCAACATATCCCTGTCGGACGAAGAATACGACTTCCTCAAGTCTACCTGCGACTACTTGACCCCCGAGTACCTACAGTTTCTGCGTGAGTTCCGACTACGGCCCCGGGAGCAAGTCGTAGCTACATTCACACCGGTCGGCGACGATGACGGGTCCGACAGCGTCATTGGTGACACCGACATCAAAATCCAAGGCACCTGGGTCGACACCATCTTGTACGAGATCCCGATCCTCGCGCTGACCTCCGAAGCCTACTTCAAGTTTATCGACTCGGACTGGAGCTACGAGGGGCAGGAGGAGAAGGCCCTGGACAAGGGAATCAAGCTGTTGGAGGCCGGCTGCATCACTTCAGAGTTCGGCACTCGACGGCGACGTGATTACCACACCCAGGCTCTCGTCTTCCGCGGTCTGGTCAAGGCATCCAAAGAGGCAGAGAAGCGAGGCCTGCCAGGAAAGCTGTCCGGAACAAGCAACGTCCATCTTGCTATGCGATTCAACATCCCACCTGTTGGTACCGTGGCCCACGAGTGGTTCATGGGGACTGCAGCCATTGTTGGTGACTACAGGGCGGCCACAGAAGAGGCGCTGGCTCGATGGGTCGGCTGCTTTGGAAACAAGCTAGCCATTGCTCTCACGGACACTTTCGGGACACAAGACTTCCTCAAAGCCTTCAGCCTGCCAGTCCGGGCTGTCGAGGGTGGGCTCCCTGCCGAGACGTTCCAGAATGCCGACGGCACCACCAAGACGTATGCGGAACTGTTCACAGGCGTTCGCCAGGACTCGGGGGACCCCGCCGAGTACATCAAGGTTCTGCGAAGGTACTACGACGAGCAGGGCATCAAGACCAAGAAGGTCATCGTCTTCTCCGACTCGCTCAACATTGATCGCTGCCTCGAGTACAAGAAACTGTCCGAGCAGTACGACTTCCAGCCCACATTTGGTGTCGGCACCTACCTGACCAACGACTTTACCCGCCTGAAGACGGGCGTCAAGTCCACGCCCCTGAACATTGTAATAAAGTTGAGTTCTGCGAGCGGAAGACCCGCCATCAAAATCAGGTGAGCCACACCCATGGTTCCTGCTACTGAAGCTCGTTCAAACCAGCTCCTACCGTTACTAGCAATAATCTTGTTAACTAACATGCTATTTAGTGATAATGCCGGAAAGAACACCGGAGACAAGGAGACCGTAGAGAAAGTGAAGAGGGAGCTCGGCTATATTGAGCGCGAATGGAAGGACGGCGACGAGACATCCAGATGGGGCAAGGATGCCAAATAAAGTATTCGAAGAAGCAACATTCGGGCAGCGGTTTGAAACAGAGAGTATAGATTCATAGATACCTACCCCAAGGGCAAAGCTGGGAATACAACATGGAACAACACAGCCATCAATTTAGCAGATCCCACAACATTTGCTAAAACCCCCCAGCGAAAAACACGCCACCACTCTCCATAACCCCAATATACCTGGTCCTGTGGACCTCTGCGTCCCCCAGAATCCAGAAGCACCCCGGATCGCGGCGTCGTTCAATGCCGCATACATCAAAACCCCCCAATATAAAACCCAACGAGGTTCTGACTTCCTCTTCCAGGAAAGGCCATGAAACCCGTTCATGCGGCGAGACGGTGCATATGTCATGCAGTAGCCTCACACTATGCTGATGTTTGTAGGGCCGCAGACGGATGAGACACTTTTCAAGAAACTGAGCGAGATATGTAGACAATAATGCCATTGTTTGTGTTCGAGCTTGGCCTGATATCCAAGAAAAAATAGCTACATGTACTCATTGCATCATTACTTTAATTCCCAAAACCATTCGTTCAATCATACAAGTCATGCATTCCATGCAGCTTTCCAACATTCCACCCACGTTCTACAAAAACTCTACACCCTCATAGAAAGAACAAAGACGCCACGTGCCGGTTACATTTTTTTTCTTTCAATCAAGACCTAGGATCCACTTGGCTCTCTTGGTCGTCAGAATCCTCTTCTGTATCGTCGTAGTAGTCATTCTGTTGACTCTCGCCCGGCTTCTTTTCCTTCTTCTTGAAACTCAAAAATCTCTTGAATGCGTTGGGTTGCTCTTCTGGAATGTCATCCTTTTCAGATGAGTACTCATAGAAGAGTTTTGGAACTAGTAATCGGTATGGCACAGTGATGCCGGTGGGATCCTTGGGATTGACTTCAACGTTGAGACAGATATCCAACCCGCCCTCGAGGTCGACCTCATACTGTTCTGCCTTCTTCATCTGCTTGGTCGAGAGGCCAGTTGGGGTCCGCATAAATGGCTTCATTGCTTGGGGAGGAACGGAGCCGTCATCGAACTGGGTCGACCCCATTGCCTGCGTCCTTTGAGGTGGCCTTGAGTGAAAATATGCATCATCGCCTTCTGAGTACTCATCTTCGTATGCAGCCCCTCCCCGAAGGCCTGATGGACGTTCTCGGCCATAGTATTGGGTCGCATAGTAATCGTCGTCATCATCTTCCGGCGCAAAGTTACCTCGCTGCGAAAAGTTGTCTCTTTGTGAGAAATTATCCCTCTGGGAGAAGTTGTCTCTCTGGGAGAAATTGTCTCGCTGGGAGAAGTTATCCCTTTGCGAAAAGTTATCCCTCTGCGAAAAGTTATCCCTTTGGGAGAAATTATCTCTCTGAGAGAAGTTGTCTCTTTGCGAAAGGGCATCCCTAGGCGCAAAGTTATCGCTGCTGGCGACAGCCATATTCTTTTGCTTCTGGCTACCACGTCTCAGGAAGCTGAAAAGGCCTCGCTTTTGGGTCGCCTCACCCTGGCCTAAAGACATGCTTCTTGTCAATGGCGGGGGCTGAACCTCCTCTTTTGGTACTTTGGGTGTCTTGGGTCCCTTGGGCTCTGATCGTGACAGTCGGCGCGAGAGGCTACGGAATAGCCCTCCAGAAACGGGGGGTTTGGGGCCCCGGACAGATTCCTTGGACATGTCAGGCCGGTGCGAAGGTCCGCTCAGAGAAAACCTTCTGAAAAGACCACCACTTCCACCTGCACTACCTGTACCACCTCCACCACCTGCGCTGCTTTCAGGTGCTTGCTGTGGGCTTGGAAATTCGTCAGGAATTGACGGGGGTTCAGGTGTCTGTGGTGGCGTAGTGCCTGGCTCCCACCTCCGGATAGAACACCAGTTGCGATGGGGTAGAAGACGCTTGTTGTTCCTCGGCTTGCCATCAACACCGTTTGAGAACAATGGGATCATGCTTTCGTCGGTCTGTTTGTCAAAATGGTGAACTTTATGCCGCTTATTCAGTGCATCTGCCACAATGTCAGGGGGTGGCGTGTTCGCAATTGCCGACGAGATGATGTTCGGCATATATCTGGGGTCCCTGTGTTTGGCCAGCCCCTGCTTGGGGTTGGAACAGAATTGACCAACTGCGGCAAGATTGACATCACCGCTGAGGATTGTCACTCGGAGCGACTTATCAATGGCTAGATCTTGGAAATCCTCAATCACGAAGTTTCTCTCCTCTTTGTGATTCCTGGCTGTCCAATGGTCCCGTAGGTCATCCATCACTTCGGCGCCATTCTCAATGTTGCTGAGACCTTTGCCAAAGAGACCCCTTCGGCTAAGACGTTTGATGGGATCCATCGCCCGAGAGGAGAAACTATTATGTGGGTTAGCTCCGAACCAATCTATGGAAAATATGAATTATTGAGGCTGCAAGACTTACATATTTTCAAGCCAATCCAAACGAGGATATGCCAACGGGATCGCAAATACAACAAGCAGGTGTTCAACTTGGCCTCGTCTGAATTCGTTGTACACTCGATCATTGATGGCTTCCCAGGTGTTCTCGTTCATTACCTCAAGCTCGGTCCTCTCAGTTCGGCAATCAACGGCGAGAAGTGAAACCTTTGAGCCCAAAGACATGTAGAGACTACGCGACAGCTCGTTAACATACGGTCCAGGCTCAGACCCCAGTATCCAACTTGGCTCAGAAGCCTGCGTTTCTGGGATAATGGTCTGATGTTGGAACAGCATGTAGTATTTAAATGCAACAGCTCCAATGCCTGACAGGACTGGCGAGCTCATGTCCTTATCAGGATACGACCCAAAGCCATGGAAACTCTCACGATCTGACCACATGTTCACCATGGGGATCTGCGAATTCGCAAGGCCAAAAAGACCAGATGAAAACCATTGGCAATACCGTTGCAGGTAAAATTCCTCCACCTGCTTCTGCAGATGGGCCGAGAATGGAGCCGATCGCTTTTCGGCGGGACTCCTTAGCTCGAGCCAGCGGATGAACAGATTACAGTGGTCAGCAACTGAGTCGTTGTATATTTGGTTGCCTCCTCCGATCATGACGTGGAATGGTGAGCTCTGGTGACTGTTCAACACATCGCGCCACATCGGATCGGGGCCGCTCACGGCGTCCGTATTAGCGTCGATGCTGAAACCGTTGCCGCTGTGGAACATGATGTTCATCGTTTTCCCATGTGCAGGCACCCAGAAAGCCATAGCCGGTCCACGATTAATCCGGTATGCAATTCGCTGCTGGTTCTGCTGAAGCTCAACTTCTATGTTGAACCTCCAGAACGTCACTCCCTTTTCGGTGTGAAGTCGGAAGCCTCTAACATCCTTGTACTTCTGCGCCTTCTCGCCGTCAAGCTCGATGCGCTTCATCCTGCTCGCGAAGCTGCCATGAGACTCCGCGGGATCCTCTGGATCCGGAGGGCTTCTTGTCGACTCATATAAGCCATCCTCGGTCTCATCCTGAGACAGATCTATGCCCTCATCCAGGTGGTCCACCGGCCGCACGTACAAGGTTTCGCCACGACGACCAAGCTTGGGATGGCCGGCGACTGGGTCCACGTACTCGGGTGACAGTTCGCCGTTGACCTTGTGTGGAGGGGTAGGAAGAAGCTCGATGTCTTGGACAAATAATCGAAGCGTCGGAGCGATTTCGTACGACGAGTCCGAATTCCGTGTAACAATCATTATGCTTCCTCGCCATATGTCTCTCTCTCCACTTGCACCGCCGGTGCGTGGCTGCAACTTTTCGCGGCGGATACCGCAGTATCTGAGAAGCGGACCGCACTCCAGATACAGCGGTGGTTTGAATCGAGTTGGAGCTAAGTGGAGGTTAGAGTTGATTTGGGAAAAAAGAGTTCATTAATGACTTACAATCATTATTGTCGTACTCTCCCTCAAAGGCTTCAGCCCGCCGTTGTCTACCCGAATAGCTCGAGGTCTTCCGGTGGCCGCTATTCTCCCACCAGGCCTTATTCCTATCGCTGGAAGCTGGTATATCATGGGATATGTTGTCTTTGGATAACTTCAACATCGACCCCGCAAGTAAGCCGACGGTTGCTTTTTTCCACTCGTCTAGCCAAACCGGCGACTTGTAGAGCCCTTCGCCAGGATGCATACTTTCCCTATTAATCTGCGATTGACTGGTAGAGCCAGCAACAGGGACGGGCAATTGGGTTTCTTGCTGCGAACGCTGTGCCGAAGCCCCCTCGCCGTGGTGGCGCGGTGCCACGTCCTGCCTGACCGTGTTACTTCTAGTGACGGGCCGGGCAGCGAGATCAGGCTCTGCACGCTGCTTTCCGTGGCCAGGCTCTGTAGCTCTGCGCTGAAGCCCCTGTGGATAATCACCGGCTGCCTCAGGCTGGTAGATGGCACGATCCCTTGTGTCTATTGATTGTCTTCTGTTATGGTCTCTTGTTCTATTTGGCTGTGCCGCAGAATGGTGATGACTGGAGGGTCCAGGACTGGCAGTTTGTGAGAAATCATCGTCTCGTGGATGACTCTGATTGTCTCTAGGAGGGTTGACTTTCGATCTGCTGCTCCCATTTCGCGCCACAGATGACGAGACTGGCACTTGGGCTTGAGCACTCTCTTTGTGAGTGTAGGGGCGTTCAACATAAGCGTCCTCAACATCATGCTGGGGAATATCCACATCGTCACGAGCGGCGCGCTCACGGAAGCTCAAATTGCGCTTAGGGTGCCCAGATCCAGGATCTTGGTGATGTGCTGATTGCGCATTCCCCCATTGCTGTGTTATGCTTGGGCCATTGCTCCGGGGTTCGCCATGCGATTGGTGACGCTGTTGGGGCTGAATCTGGGGTGCTTCCTTCCGAACAGATGATTCTCCAGAGATAGGAACTTCTCTACTTGACGCACTCGGCACAGCGACTGGGTCTAGCCTTGGGACATCACGGCTCACAGATTGTTTGCGGCTGTGTGAGGAAGCTGGCTGGGCCCCTCCAGCCTTCAATGCGTATCTTTCCCGGGCTCGACGCTCCGCGGCTTCCACACGGGCTCGCTTTTCCTCTTTTGTCATGGTGTCGAGCGTCATCTCGAGTCTCTGGAGTGGTGATTTCGGCAGTGCTCCTTTCCGACGTTGTGAGCCCCCTCCATTTTTCCTCGTCAGAATTTCAGCACTTTCTTGTGGGAATTGGCTGTCATCGGCCTGGGCAGTCGAGGTGTGCCCGTTTGGCTCCTTTTCGTATTCCTCATCCTTGTAATCCATCTTATTTCGAATTGGAGAAGCTGGCTCCCGCGAGCGGCTGTCTCCTCTTGGGGAGGTCTGGGTGTGTGACGGGTCCTCGCTGTAAGGTTGCCCAAAGCCTAAAGGAGGACCACGAGATGTGTCGGGGGCAATTGATATATCAGGAGAGATAGGTTCCTCGTCGCTGAAGTCGTCGGCCCGCGCAATTTTAGCACGATGTCGAGCCCTCGCTGAGGTTTGGTCTGTGGGAGCAGGTGGCCGTTGATATGAGGCAGGTCTTGGGGCTAGACCTTGAGTAGCTATAGAAGAAGGGACAGGAGATTCGAAGGACGGACTGAAGGGTGAATCAGTGAGCGCAGTCTGCACCGAAGCGCGGCGGTTATGTGATGTTGGTGGTGGAGCATCCAGCGAGCTTTCTTCTGATATGCGCTGAGCTCTGACAATTTTCGGCCCAGGCAGTTGGCCCCAGTAGGGTGCGGCCATCAGCAATGCAGCCGTGATTGGTCGTGGAGTGGCAGGATGGGGCTAATTGAAAGAGCCTTACTGCAAGCGAGGCTGGAGGTTGGAGCTACAAGGAAGGGAAAAAGAAACCGTTCGGGGTGTCTGGGCCTGGGCGTTGAGGACGGTTGGACTCCAGCCTCCCCAGCACGAGGCAGCTAACGCAGACAGGCGTAGGTTAATGGGCCGGTATGTGCGTTGCAGGGCCGGTAGATGGCACGGAGGTAATTATGGATTCATACGTAGGTGATGGGTACATACGCACCATGCAGAGATCTTCTTGGAGGTTCGGGGCGATGGTAATTGAGCCTGTTGGCCTGATGCGGTCTTTAGGGTCGGATGGAGACGGCCATTCTAACTAGGGAGGTGCTCGTGGTGTGCAGATAGTGCGGTGGTACGCCCGAGAATGTGAAAAAGACTTGGCTGCTGCTGTAGGTCTAATTTGCAGTCTGACGCAGGGTTTTCGGCTTGAGCACAACGGCCAGAGCAGTTGGCCGGAGGCTGGGAATTGCTTCGAAACTATGATACAACGGCAGGAAATGGAATAGCTGGGTTCGGGCGAGATGAAAGCCAAGTGGGAGATGCCTGACATCACGCTGAGTATCGTCAGGAACTGGGCCGGACCCTGGCCCTCCTCGGTGATCCCTGTGATGACGATGCAGTCGATGGTGGCTGGGAGTAGCGGTCACAAGTTCCACAGGTCCAGGGAATTCATTAACCAGACCACATCACATCCATGACCCATTGACGATGGGAGCCGCCAACAATTGCTCCTCCTAGTGGCCAAGGCATCTAGATAGGTAAGGTACCAGTTAGTCCCCGCTAGGTCGTGGTCATGGACGAAATGCGGGAGGCTGGTGTTTGAGGGTACCCACAAGCCGTTCCCCCAGGGGTAGCTGTGAGTACAGCTGCTTGCTTCCGTCCGAGTCCCTGTGAAGTGGCCAGGGGCAGTTCGGAAGGTTCAGATGTCCTTGGGATGTCTTGAATTCGCTGATCAGACAGAAGCATTTGCTTGATTCCCGTCGGCAAGCGCAGTCAGGCTGCTGCTGCTTCTGCCAGGTACACCGACAGTTCAGGCACGAAGTACCTGGAAATACCAGCGTTGTACTTGCGGAAGGTTCCTTGCAGGGTTAAGCGGAGGCCCAGGAGCGCTTCCGGGTCGTTAAAAAATGGATCAGCCGTTACCTAGCGTTCCGTCTGTCGCCTTCCCGCAGTTGTTCCTGATCCAGGTTTCACTTGGCCCTGGCGATGCCCGATATTGCGCCCAGCCTCGGACTTATTCAAGCTCGCAGAGACGGGGCTGTAGAATGCGCCAGGTGATTCCTCTTGTGCCTGTGGGCCGTATCTCGAGGCTGTCATTAGAATGAAGGGGAATTAGGCCTAGATCGTCAGGTTCCAGTGTGTCTACCAGTACGGAGTACCTGCTATCGTGATGGGCTTGATGATCAGGGAGCGTATAAGTGGCTTGCCGTCCATTGCTTCAGCCTAGCGCCCGAAACACACATGTCGCTTTCCCCAAGAGTGGGCCAGTGCTCTTCTTGCATGTTAAGGTAGCTTGCGTAATGTAATTAAGGGACATCAGACACAACATTACCTACTGCAGCAAGGTTTGGTCTAGATTATGATGAGACTGTTAAGCTTGAACCGGAAGCCTTCTGTTGTGTAACTGGTCGCCGACAGCACCAGGCCGTTGTGACAGATGTGCCCAGCCGCAACACGAGCTGAAAGTTCTCGATGAGATCCCAATTTCTGGTTCTTAGGTTGTATGGATCTTGTAAATCGCTAATCTGCTTGGTACTACATAAAGCTAGTTCAACCATCAGCAAGTTGCCCTCTCCCCCCCCAGGTGATTGTCAGATTATCCGGTACTTCCAGATAAATGCATTCAAGGTTACGCCCATCTAAAACACTCGGAATCTAAGTCTGTACTTCTCTTTCTTTTCAGCATTCATCTCCAACTCGATGATCCTCTCCGATAAACATCGTGGCGGTTTTTTGCTTACCCTTTGCTAGGAACAATAGCTTTCCAATACCAAAAAAATAATAGAATTAGTGCTCTTGACAATCGGGTAAATTAATAAGAAAAAAAAAGAATTTTTTAAGAAAAGGGGACTAGTTGCCAAAATGTGGTTAACAAGTGAGAGCTTGGTTCATCCTTCCCTCACTTTGAGGCGAGTAGATTCTTAATGCCTGATATATGAGGCAAGCATGAACTTAAGCCAAGGTTGAGTCCTATTGTGGAAGGTGGGGGAATGTCAAAAAAAGATACTAGCGCATGGACAAAGTCAACCAACTTTAGAAATTTGTGTGGGCGCGCGACAGTCGCTTGTAGTGGCACAAGGCACAGCGGGCAGGCGGCGCCGACAATTTTTCTGCACTCCAACAGTCAGCATCAACCCTGGCCCAAGTCCCTTCCTACACACCTCGCTCGCCACTACCTACCTTACCCAACACAATTCGCTGTCGGCTCTCACCCATTCACCTCCTTGGTAGATAGATTTGCCTGGCGCAAGTTCTACTTACCTAGTACCTGCTTCTCCTTGCGAAAATAGTGGATCTATTTTCCTCACCACTTTAACAGATCGCGATACTTCCTTGGGTCGACCGCTCCCCACATCGATTCTTGTTCCGCTCAAGTTCTCTGCTTGCAAACTCGGTCCACTGACTTGCGCGCCTTTCCGACTGCAACGATGTCTGAAACCGACATGAACAAGCAGGTTGACTTGTCAACCATCCCCATTTCGCCCAATGGAAAGGAGGAGGCAGACGCCGCCGACGATGGCAAGCCAGTCACCGTCTTCCACGACAAGGACAACTTCAACGTCAAGCATCCCCTTCAGAACAAATGGACCCTGTGGTTCACCAAGCCCCCTAGTGGCAAGGTGAGATGCTCTCGTTCTAACCTCCGTGAATCACGCTGACCTCATTTGTGGGTAGGGAGACAACTGGAATGACCTTCTGAAGGAGGTCATCACATTTGATTCGGTGGAGGAGTTCTGGGGCGTCTATGTGCGTTGTCCCCTGCAGAACATGGCAAAATTAATTTACTGACAAAAGAATAGAATAATGTCGCCGCAGTATCCGAGCTGGCTCTGAAATCCGATTACCATCTTTTCAAGGCTGGCGTCCGACCCGAGTGGGAGGACCCTCAGAACAAGCACGGTGGAAAGTGGTCCTACCAGTACAAGGAGAAGCGAAATGTCGATGTTGACCGACTCTGGCTTCAGGTCATGATGTCTGCTATTGGTGAGACACTTGAGGACGAAGACGACGGTGAAGTGATGGGCGTGGTCGTCAACGTCCGCAAGGCCTTCTATCGAATCGGTGTCTGGACTCGCACGATAGGAAAGAGCATTCCAGGCCGAGGTGATGGTGATGTGGCCGGCGGCAAGGGTCGCACCAATGAGAAGGGCAAGAACATCCTGTTGAACATCGGTCGCCGATTCAAGGAGGTTCTCGAACTTCCCGCTAATGAGCAGGTCGAGTTCTCAGGCCACACAGACAGCGCGAATGCTGGAAGCACGAGGGCCAAGGCCAAGCATGTTGTGTAAAGGCTGCTTTGTGGCCGCAGCAAGATGAGAACTTTTTTATTTAACCTAGAGCCAGGTCTTTTTTGGACAGCCCCTGCCACAGTGTCCCGGCATGGGTGGAACTACCTTGGAACCAGCATGGCGATCAGGTTACGGGGAGGAAAATCATTCAATATCATGATATGGGTTTGATGTAAGCTTAGAATGCTGGCTACCGCAGCTTACGAAACACTGAGGTTCAAGACCGGCGTTAGTAGGAACATTGTTTCTCGAGTGGATGAGCGTTCAGGCGGATGCGGCCAGTATTCAGTATTGGTTCGTAATAATGGAATTTCCCCCTGTCCTTTTGTCCCGAGATGTCTTCATACAATGATATTATTTCGTTAGATGCATGCCGAGTTATTATATTTTTATTTTGCTGAACGTATCGTACAGTGTGCTTTCAAGGAGCAAATGACATGCTAAACTACATTTCATCATCACTGTGCTCATCCTTAAAGATGGATTTAACGAGTTGCTTTTTGTTGATTTTGCCCATGGCATTGCGAGGTATGTGGTCCACAAGTTTCATGACTTGAGGAATCTTATAGTTGGCCAGCCGGCCCTTGAGAGCACGGCGCATATCCATGGGACTCCAGGTCGTTGCAACCTCCGAGTTGAGAATCAGGACAGCCCCGACCTTTTGACCCCAATTACCACTTGGCACCGCCACGACGGCGGCCTCGGATACTTCCGGCAGGGAGAGCAATTCCCGCTCGACTTCGAGCGCGCTCACCTTCTCGCCTCCCGTCTTGATGATGTCCGCCGACTTGCGGCCGAGGATGAAGTACAGGGGGCCCTTGGCCCAGGGCTGAGCAAAGGCGGCCGACTCGACGGGACGACGAACGGCGACGTCGCCGGTCTTGAACCACGAGCCCTTGCCGTCCGGATCGGAGACGAACTCGGCGGCCGTGGCGGTAGGGTTCCGCCAGTACTCCTTGAAGATGGTGGGTCCACGCAGCTGGATCTCCCCGGAGCGCTCGCGGCCCGTGATCGGGTCGACGTCGCCCTCTCCCGGCTGGATGACGTCGCCGGTGTCGACGTCGACGAGGCGGGCCTGGACGGAGGGGAGGGGCCAGCCGACGCTGGCGTCGACGCGGTCGTCCGGGTGGAGGCCGCAGCTGAGGGCCATGCCGACCTCGGTCATGCCGTAGCGCTCGAGGAGGACGCTGCCGTGGCTGAGGGAGCGCCAGGAGGCCTTGATGGGCGTTGGGAGGGCGGCGGAGCCGGAGATGCTGAGGCGCATGTGCTCTGGGGAGACGGCGGTGCGGGCGGCCGTCTGCATCTCGGGGGGCAGGAGCTTGTGGCTGGCAAGGAGGCGGCTGTAGACGGTTGGGACGACGGTGAAGAAGGTGATTTTGGGCTTGGCCTGTGCTGGGGAGGAGGTGCCGTTGGTGGGGAGGAAGGGGGCTGCGAGGCGGGACCAGACGGCGTCGGCGTTGAAGGGGAACATGAACTCGATGGAGGAGCCGGCGAGGAGGGGGGTGAGGATGGCGTTGACGGTGCCGTGGATGTGGTGGAGGGGGAGGACGTGGAGTAGCCGGTCTTTGGGGGAGTACTCCCATGCTTCGATCAGGGATTTGCTCTGAGCTGCGAGGACTGATTGTGGGAGGAGAACTCCTTTCTACTGGACGTTAGCATATCTGACGTGGGTTGTGTGTAGTTGGGACATGACGTACCGGCCGGTTTGTAGTCCCAGAGGTATAGAGCATCATGCCGGCATTGCCAGGGCATGCGTCGTCCCATGATATATCCTCCTTCTTCCCCTGGCCACCGAGATGCTTTGACAGCTCGAGATGGGAGGGGCTGGCTGTCAGGTCTGATTCCAGGACCTGCTTTGCCTTGGCACCAAACTTGGCGGAGGAGACGAGAACGGATGCTTCACTCTGGTTTAAGATATACTGCAATTCTGGGACTGGGAATGCAGGGGACAGAGGCACGGCGATTGATCGTGCGGCCATGATAGCCAACAGTGTCACTGATCAACCCAATGGCACAGCGGCACACGGTATTAGCGAAAATGACACTCTAGGCTTTTCTTACGGATATGAGTCTATATCTGGTTCCCAGAGCTTGCTCACCTACGTAGTCATAGCTGTTCTCTACTAGAAAAGCCACTCTCTCGCCGTCCAGGTCGGCACCGCCCCGGGCGTGTCTAATGCGGTCCCTTGCGCGGCCAACGTCGCCGAGGAGCTCGCCATAGGTGAAGGAGCGGCCTGATAGGCTGTGGACCACGGCGGTGGACGCCGGGTCGTGGGCCGCAACGGCTTCAAGGACCGGCAGGCGTGGCAGGGTAGTAGCCATTGTCCGGCGGCAGAGGAGGTATGGTGAGAGGCGAGGGGGGAGGGATGACGCCAGGCGGCGAATGGTGGATGATGATAGGTACATGAGGAAGGGAGACAAGGATTTTTGGTACAGGTAGAGCAGGATTATAGAGCGGCAGCGGGCATGGGAAATGTGGAACTGATGGACGATAAAGCGAACTGAAGGATCTTAATACAGAAGGCCATTAAATGGCTCTAGGCAGGGGGTGGGTTGTTGGGGCTGTTGTTACACTGGTGATGCAGCAGCATCGGCGGCGCTTTTGGTTGCGGATTGTTTATTTGAGGCGCTGGGAGAGAGCCGTGGCCGAGAGATAGCCGGCAGAGTGGGGGCTGATCTGGGCGAGGCCCCGTCTAAGGTGGCTCTAGCGGATGATTTCATCGTTTCGGCGCCTTCTTCTAGGTTGCGAGGCCATCTACATGAGATGGAGGCTCTTGGGGAGCAGGCTGCCAAGGTCTTGGGAGATCAAAAGGAGGATGAGGGAAAAGAGGGAGCATGAGGGAACAATGAAACCCTCGATCTCACTTCACTCAAGCCCTCGCCAATAACTGCCAGCTACCCGGCACCAAGCATAAGGGTGTCACTCAGTAAGCTTTCGTCGACATGCAGTCATCATCACATCGGGTCGAGCATGCAAGGCAACCAGAGGGAACATGCAAAGGAAAACGAAACCACGGTCGTGCCTCGACGATCAAACCAGCCGTCCCAGATGCGAGCAATCTGCGAGGCACCTCTGCATTGATGACACAGCGATCACGTGTGCACGTCGAATACGATGCATCATTGCGACAGCACAGTGAGGCACCAACGCTCAGCACCACCATAAGCCGCGTGTGGATAGTTGCAGCAGTAGCCAGCCATAATATTCTAAGCGGATGCGTCTTACTCGATATGCCTTGGTATTGGGACCTCAGCGCAGTCCGTCATCATTCCTGATGACAGGATGCTCCTATCAATGCTCCACGACCGATGCATCCGGCCAGCCTGACCTGTCCACCTGAGTGTTGTGATCCTCGTGTCTTGCCACTGGACGTCGTATTGAATGCGCTGAGACGATGCAGCAGCACATGAGATGAGATGAGAAGAGAAGTCATGATCAAAACAAGAGGAGTTGGGATGGCTTGCTGACGGCGGGCGTTGGGCTCTCCACCGCCAGATTGGATTTGCTGTTCCTCCAACGCCAAAGCAAACGACCCCGCCCTCGCCTGTCCCACAAAAAAAGAAAAGTGAGCGAAGAAAAAGAAAGCTGATGTGACTGTCACAGGACTATGGAAGGGCTAAGGGCCTCTAGGCTCGAGTAGAGCTGCCTAAGGATAGCTCCCAGCCGCTCCCGCCAGACAGGATCCGCATCTCCCAAGTGCATATTTTACATGGGACTATGTACAATAAGGTACCTCCTGGTCCGCGTAGGCAGACTATGCATGCAGGATGCACATGTCCCTGGTAGACGAACCCCAGGTACGAGGGCGAAAAAGGCGGTATCGGCCAGGGACTGACCAACGAGAGTAATCCTTGGCCTCGTGGCAACTGTCGGGATTTCCTCTTGTACTCCCTGAACCTAAAAGGCGGGATTGTTCAAGTCCAGCCCCGTGTGCCTGGGCAGCGCTGCTTTTACACCGCTCTCTAGACGACGGCTTGTACAGGAAGGGAAGCCCAAACATCTGCGAGGACTGGATGGGAGCCGTGATTGCGAGTTCCTTGCTTCCCGCCTTGCCTGATTGCCATTCGAGGATCTTCGCCGACCCGTTTGTTTTGTTTTTTATTTATCACACCTGCACGATTTGCTGTCCACCGACGTGGTCACGTTTGGTCGTCATTTGAGCCAGCAGGGATTCATCCTGGCGTTCCTCTTTGTGGCGGACAAGACTCTCTCCATAATATTGTTTTTTCTGCTGTTCCGTGTTATGGGCCTTGTTGGAGCCTGAATACATTGATATGGTAGGAGTCATGTTATAGATGGACATGATCACTGGCTGATCCCATTGGCTAGACGCATCTCTGGCTCAGACATTGATGTCTGGCCATGCCAAGTTATGACACTTTGTTTGATGTTGGGTTGCAGGTCACAGAAGGTTGGATGTCTGGGGATACGGAGGACTTGCAGGTGTCGGATGAAGACAAGACCATGGCATAGGTAGTGTGAATATTTCTTTGGGGCCTTGTTTTTCTCAATCTTTCCCATGATATTTTTAGAGACAGACGCAGAGCCATGCCAACAGCCCGAAGTGCAAACCTCCAAGGTGGCTCCCAATACGGCATCATGCAAGCACGGCGATAGATCTCTCGTGAACCCGTATGATGGTGTCAATCACTGGAAGCTGCCGTACGACGGCACTATTGCCAATCGGGGACAACGTTAGACGGCATGTCTACGACCTAATTGATCCAATGTCCTGAGACATCGGGTGACTGGCTGCCCACGCACCCTCAACGCCGACCCGTCGACCTGACCTCACGCTCGCTGCAGGAGAGGAGGGAGCCGTCGAACGCAAACGCACGCGGCACCATCCGCATGCACCCACCGCCCGCACCGGCCATGAGGATAGGAGGCAGATGCCGGCAGGGATGGACTTGTCGGTCGGCAGCGTGGTTGGGATGGCGGGCTTTGCTGGCACGCGTGCAGGCGCCGAGTAAAGGCGGCGAGGCCCCTAAGCCCAAAGGGCCCACTGACTCTTGCGTCTCGTCACCGCCATGCATCTGTCATGCAACTCAGTCTCATCGCATTGGACAGCCGCCGTCCGTCTGGCGTTGCTGCTCACCAAGTCACCCCGTCTGATTCGTCTCTCCGACCTCACCGAAAATACCTAACGTAGGTAGGCCTGGACGTCAGTGTCTGGTCTGGTCCGCGCCAGTCTATTTTTTCCCTTACTTTGCCTCCAGACTCCCGCCCTCCTCACCACTTCTTTTATCCCGTCTCTTGGGCCTTCTTTTCTTTTTTTCCTTTCCATAATTGACTGGCTAGATTGTTAAAACCCGCTCGCCGTCCGCCATTGACTGTCCCTTTGACCTCGTCTTGTTCGCCGCTGCCGTGTAACCTCGATTCAAATTTTCCCCATACACCCACCCACGCATCCAATCCAATTGACAGGACGTGAACGCCCTTGATATCCTCGCAACAGTCGTGTATGTGCATCTGGTTTATGTGCAGCTGTCGACGACTGTAAGAGGACACAGCCAAAAAAAAAAGTTTCGACATCCCACCATGCTTCGACGTTACGCTCTGGGATTTTCGGCTGTGGGACGACAGTTCTCCAACATGAGTTCAACCACTCCCCTTGAAGATGCCATTCGCGCCAAGGTCAGCCCATTAAAACCCCCCAAACCCTCTGGAGTTTCCCAATTGCAATCATCTAACGAGCACCGAGCAGATCACGGCGGCGTTCAACCCCCAAACTCTGGAGATCTACAACGACTCCCACCTGCATGCCCACCACAAGGCTATGCAAGGCAGCACGTCCAAGGAGACGCACTTCAGGTAGGTACCACTCTGCCAGGCCTCTTACCCACCCACCCATCTCTTTGTGCCTCCCTCCCTACATGCTGGTCTGCCTTATTCCTCTGCTCGCATCGCAAGCCCATCACCCGCCCCACCCACCCGTCTGACTGGTCACTAAATCCGTGCATAGGCTGGTCATCACTTCGGATGCTTTCGCCTCCAAGATGCAGCCCGCCAGGCATCGCATGGTCTACGCCCTCTTGCGAGACGAGATGGCCCTCGAGGGTGGTATCCACGCCCTCCAGCTCAGGACCCTGACCCCCGAGGAGGAGGAGCGCCAGAAGAAGAAGAAGGAGGAGGAGGCTGCCAAAGCCGCCGCTGAAGCCGACCCTGCACCCGCAGAGTAGGTCGCCCGCCTAATATTTCCCACCCACACACACAACACACCCACGACGACCCTTATTGATTGATTTTTGTCCCACCTCTCTCTCTCTCTTTGGGTCCCGATTGACGCCTTCATGAATTCTGGAGTTTTCTTCTTCTCAATTTTTTTTCCATCACACAATTTCTTTTCCTTCTTTTTTTTCATCTTATTATTTTACGGAAAGGGAAACGAGCAATGAGAATGTCAAGGATCGATGAAAGAAACGCCACGCAACAGGAGCCCACCTGGCCTCGATGTATTCTACTGCACCCGGAGACACAGAAAATCCCGGGAAAAGGCCTGAATTTTTGCGGATTAGAAAAACTATTTTGACGCTCCTCGGGGAGCCACGGCTGAGCCTATGGAAATAACTTGGAAAGCTGGTCTTGCTCTACCTTAGAACAACAGGTTGCCCACGCACAAATGAATATTGAACTTCTTTTTATTTTATTTTGATCAGTTCCTTCTCCTTTCTCCTTGTCCCGGGTACAATTGAAATACTCTCATGCGCGTGCTCATTTGGAATAACTAAACTCAGCTTGGGGGAAATAGATATAGACAATTGAAAACGCCAGTTATAATGATTCGCATCCGCTCATATGTGTCATTATTGCTTGTATAGTTTTCCTTCACGGATGGCTAATTAATACAAGTAGGGGACATTCAGCTGCTGTGTGTGACTGTGACCACCAAACCCACTAGGGGTGCTATCTTCAAGCAGCCTTCCTGGAGCTGGGTGTCGAGCCGGATTTCTTCCTAAGGAAATGCCGTCGAAGACGTTCCCGCCTCTTGGCATCCGGATCCTTGGCGCTTGACGCCAGCCTCTGGAGGTAACTTGACCCTCGGCGAGTGCCTGTCGACGACCTCGTGGCAGTTGACCTTGCGCTTGATGGAATCGGTGGATGCGGGGTGTCCAGCAGTGGATGGGGAAAGTTAACCTGTGTGGGATACTCTAATCTGGTTGTGCTAGGCACTGTGGGTTCAGCCGGGGGCGTATCATGTTTTCCAGGCTCCCGATCTACCGTGGGCGTTGTTGGTGAACTCGGGAGCCGAGGTTTGGGAGAGATTGGTGAAATGTTATTTTGTACATCCTGCATCTCGATTGATGTAGAGGGAACGGTTTCGACTACAGTCTCGGGATCGATTAGGATGCGGGGAGGGGAGGAGATGTGCTGAGGGCTGACCCGAGGTGGCTCAGCTGGACTTGCACTTTTATGGTCACTTCCACGGGACCGGCTATCTCTGCCCTTGTTCTTCCCCTCTTCGTTGGTATATGATTTTGCCATCCGAAGTTCATCAGGGTATGTGTTCAGTATATCATGGATGGTGTCCCTTTTGACCAACAGTTGAGTGAACACTGGTGCGCCACTAAGAGTATTGAACCAATCCAGGGCTGGAAGGGGGTCGTTAGTATTTTCAACGTATTCGACATAATCTGCAGAGAAGGCTCTGATAAAGTCATCCCACAGATACTCTCGCAACGAGTTGGCTTTCATTAAGTAGTCCAGGCAGACGCAGGCTCTTATAAATGACCATCGGGTGCCTCGGTAATCCTTTTCATAAGCTGGATATGTCTGTGTGAAGAGCTCGAAAGGTTTGAGCTCAGGGATAGTTGGGGGAACTATTATCTCTATCGCATCATTCTTGTCATTTAGCTGACCTGTAGTTTGGTTCTGTGCTCCGTTGAGTCCAGATGCCCGTTGAGCACGTCCTTGGGGCGGACTCTTCCGAATTGGTGGAGATTGTGGGATGGTAGCTGGCACAACTATGCTCGAGGAAATCGAATTAGAACTCGAGATCTGGGTATAGATTTTGGTTGGCGCCATGCGTGAGAAGGTGGTCGTGTTCCTGCTGCTTTCTACCGCTGCAGCATTCTCCTCTGGGTCATCAGGATCACTGAATTGGATTGGCTTCATACGCCGGCGCTTCTTTCCTGGTTCGCCGAGGCCTTCTCGAGGCGGGCTTGGGTGTTTCCGAATAGTAGCTGGTATTATGCGCTGGCTTGGCTGCGCGCATGGCGGTGTGTTCGAGGTAGCAGGAATATGAGCGCTCGACGAGGATTTGTTCGACAGTTGGGGAGTAGTGGCGGTCCGACTGATGGGCGCCTGTGATACTATTTTGGCTTCTGGTAGTTGCGTTTCCAGGGCATCCTCTGGCCCGCTTGACGGAAAATTGAAGTCCGCTGCGAGATATCGTGAAATAATAGCCGGTTTGGTTTTTGGGAGGGCTACAGTCTCTTCGGCGTCGTCATTATCGGCAAGGACTTGAGAATTGGCATGAGCTGTCTCCCTGTCGGCGAGGGCATATTTCGTCTCCATCCTGCGTACCATTTGGAGGCATTGTTCTTCCACATCGGGCCAGCTTTTAGAAAGCGGATGGAGATGGCCTCCCTTTTGCCAGAGAGACTGAAGTGGGACGCCTTTCAGTTGGGCGATTTCAGTGACTCGAAAGAGTGCCGCCAATACCCTCTCGCTCAACGTGAGGCGTGACCGGTCGCGATGAGAAGGTGGGAGCCAATCATTGCCCCCCCATATCTCGGTGAGACGAAGCTCAAGAAAGTTTGCCCTGTCATGCCCAGTCGGTGGCGGTGACGACTGCCCATCAGAGAATGCTACTTGTGAAGCGGGCGGGGGAGGAGTAGAGAAATTTGACTCCCGCCTCCGTGGAATTGAAGGAGATCTTTCGCGACAAGAGTCGCCATCTTTAATTGAAGATGGCAACGGCGAATGAGGCTGATCGCCTGCCAGTGATCGTGCTGGGGATGGAGACCAAGATACGAATCTCTCTTGCGTAGCGTTGCCAATAGATGAGTCCAGTGAAGAACCTGGGACGCTTTTTGCCACATCATTGGTCTCTGACGGGATCTTCTCTAGTTGGCGACCTTGAGGCAATGTCGGCTCCTTCTTCTCTGTGCTGGCCTGTTTCCGCGAGGCTCTGGCTACCTCTTTTGCCGTTTCCAAGACATGCCTGGGGACTCGGAGTTGGGAATCATTGTCGAGCTCCACCGCCCAAGAGCCAGGTTGATCAAGGATCTTTTGCTGGTCCCTGGGGATTGTGGTCGCATTTCTGCGTTTAAGCAGATTGGCGATGTTTCGCTGAGAAGCGACATGAGCCATCTCAGAAGATCTTCCAACCTTACCACCAAGCTTTCATAAGCGTGGGATGATCATTGCATCTGGTAAAAGTACGTGGCCTGGTCATCCGCTGGCATGTCAATACATGCAGAAATAGTATGGTCGATTGCGGCAGCCAGAATTGTTAACTGGCCGCGGGACGTTGCCGGATTTGCAGATACTAACTCTTTCAACGCGTCTGAGCTGTGGAAGATACACGTCCTGGTAGAGCTGGACAGGGTGCACCCCGTAAGGCCCACCAATGGCGAGAGCCCAACCAGTCCAAGTACCGTGTACGAGAACATGCAGCCAATAAGCAAGCACCGACATGTACCTTGTACTCACCACTGACCGACCTTGGCCAGCCATCTGTCATGCCCAAGCTCCACTATGATGATCAAGCTAAGCTTCCGCACCTACCTACCTAATTGTTTGATCGCTCGTCGTCATCGCCTCTTTCCCACTTTTGAACTTGAGGTTGGTTGGCCGATTCCGCATATTCAGTAAGCGCAAGGTCCCGTGTCTCCTACCTAACTCCTACCTTACATTACCTACTTTCTCCCGCTACTTCCACGGGGCTTTGCTGCCTTATCGGCAGCCAGCTGCTTGCATACCTAGATCCAGCGTCATTCATCGTTGCGCACGCTATCTGCTAGTGATTGCATATGGGGCTTCCATACCAGCCATTTTGTCAGGCTCCAGTGCCACTCACCAACCTCTGACGACAGCCTCCATCTTCCTTATCCGTCATGCCTCTCGTCTGCTAACCTTCATCCCACCGAATAACGGGAATAATATGCGCTGAAGATACTGTCGTCCGCTATGTATTCGCCCAAGACCCACTGAACTCGTCCACCACTTAGACGAACAATCTACGAGCCGCTCACGGCTACTGCCCACCGAACGGCAGTTTTATTCTGAGGCACCGCGCTGCTTTTACTTGCCGCCATTATGGACAGCGTCCCTGCGATGAAAAACCCGTCGATCTCCCAAGCCTCTGGCTCCCAGGGCTCGCCAGTTAGCCTCCGAAATCGACGTAGCTCTGTCGCTTCCATGGCCGCCAGTTCCATTATCGGGAGAGAGCAGCTTGCTTCCGCCTTAGACAAGATACACACATCCGCTAGTAAAGTCGACTCCTTAACTACGTTCAACGACTTCGCCCCTCCGCCCGTGTCCACCATCGCTGTCGAGAATAGAGGGTCCACAGGTGACATAGTACAGCAGGGCTTCAGCGGACTGTATAGCCGGCTTCGAGAAGCGGTTGGTGTCGGCAGCTCTACGAAGCGAAATCACGAAGAGGAGGATTCCGAGACCAGGGATACCCTTTCCAAAAAGAACAGTGCCGACACCCGTAATTCGAGGCATTCCATATCGTCTCTCAGTCGTGCCGAAACCGGGTTGACGATATCTACGAATGGTTCTTCACACCAAACCAGTGCGAGTGACAAGCAGTCCTCTACTATTAGCCCAATCCATCCCGACACCTGTACACATTCGCAGTCATCGTCCAAAGTCACAGGCCTCGGCTTGATGTCTGGCGCAAAATCACAATCTTCCAGCCGTCAGAGCTTGCCAACGAATGCGACCAGCTCCATCATCGCGGATCCGCCTGTTTTAACCAAGGAGGACACGGGCCGAAATGTGTTAGGGCAGGTTGGTGCCGATAGTTCTTCCCAGCGGAGCCTAAGTAGAGTTGATCTAGAACGGCACCTTGGAACACAGCCGTCGTCGGACTACTATGATTCTGCAGAGTCGAAGCTACCTCCAAGAGCACATAGAGATGACGCGTCTAGTATTGCTAGCATCGATGGAACAAACGCGGCATCGGCTGCTTCTAATCCCTCTATTCCCTCGATCAGGACACGGCACATCCGAACCCCGTCTGGCGGATCATCCATGCTACCTCCGGATGGTATTCATAAACGACCATCAGCCCTGGAGCGGATAGGCCGCTCCCACTCACGTGACGGCTCCAGAGATTCTTCTACAGACAGAGGGACAGCAGTTGCCAGTCCAGTCATCACTTCCGCCCATAGTTCTGTGTATCATGGGTTCTCTCGTGAATCTCACTCTCAACATATGCGGTCTGGTAGTCTGCGCATCCCTGGAACGACCATGAGCCACGAGGGCGCAACCGATCAGATTGCGCAGTTAGATAGAATGCGAAGACAAGTGCTCAGTAAAGAATTTTGGATGAAGGATGATACTGTCAAGGAATGCTTTCTTTGCCAGACTCCATTTACTGCCTTCCGGCGGAAGCATCACTGTCGAACCTGTGGCTGCATTTTTGATGCAAAATGCACCACAGTCATATCTGGTGACAGATTTGGTGTGAACGGCTCACTTCGTGTTTGCAAAAGATGCCTTGAGGTGATCAGTCGACGTCTTGACGGTAGCGCTTCCGAAGAATCCGGAGATGAGCATTCATTTATGCCACGATTTTTTGGTGGAAACCATTCCAAATCGCCAAGCGGTGCAGATAGAACCAAGGCAAGGGAACAAGATGCCACTGGCGGGTCGGAAGGGTCAGAAGATTCTCGTTCTATCCCAACTGCTCCTATGATAGGAATGCCTGCTACCCGACGAGTTCGTGACGCTAACCGTTCATCTGGCGTGTTTGACATCGACTCACCTACTTTGAGCCGACCCGGTTCTTCTCGTTCGTTGAAGTCCCTGGCGGGTAGGCCTCAGTCCTCAGCCGGACATGGGCACAAACGGCATCATTCTAAGGCTGGATTTTTGAATCGCTTCAAATCTGAGCCAGATGATCGAGCGCCATTCCGCAAAGGGGTTGATGATGAAGCAAAGAAAAAGCCCAAGTTCCCTGCGTTTCACGATGACAACATCATTGACCCAGAGCTTGCTGATTACATGTCCGACGAATCCAGTGGGGATGAGCAGATGAGCCTCTTTGCCACCATGTCCACTTCGGATCTTCCTTCGACGAGCTACGACAATGACAAGGCTACTCTGGGCTCCTCTATCAACCTTGGAAAGAAACTTCGCCATAGGGGAGGCGAGAAGAGCGTCAGCGGCGTGAGCTTTGTTAGCAAAGGCGTGTTTGATGATGCCAGTGGACCAACAAGTATGATCAGTCATCGTCGATCAACGCGAAGGCGGAATCTAAGCCAAAGTGGAAATCTTCACCATTACGCGCCATCACCGAGACACAAATCAGCAGCTTTCAAGGGCCCATCTGCCTCATCCGAGTTGCTGTTTGCGTTGGATCATCATAGTCAAGGCAGACCGCCCCTCACGAGCAGTGATTTGGTGAAAGGTAGTGCACCGCCTAAGGCCGAGCTGAACAAGTCCAGCATCCAGCATATCCACAAGCTACTGCGGCAGCTGTTAGTAGATGCTGATGTTCCCGAACCTGCGGCGTGGGATCGAGCCCTTGTTCCAATTTTGCTCCAGTCAACTGATGATGTGAGCCCGGATGTTGCGAACAGAGATTATATGGACATCAGGCGTTACGTGAAGTTGAAAAGAATACCAGGAGGTAAACCTGGCGATACCGCCTATGTGTCTGGTGTGGTCTTTACAAAGAATTTGGCTCTCAAAAGTATGCCTCGCAAAATAAGCAACCCTCGAATCGTTCTCGTCACGTTCCCTCTCGAATACCAGCGACACCAGCAGCACTTTATGAGTCTGCAGCCAGTCATTGAGCAAGAAAAGGAATTTCTCAGGGTAGTTGTACAAAGAATCAGCAAACTACACCCGCATTTACTCTTAGCTGAGAAGAGTGTTTCGGGCGTCGCCCTCCAATATCTCTCAGAGGCCAATATTGCGGTTGCCTATAATGTTAAGCACACCGTCATTGAAGCTGTATCACGCTGCGCTGAGACAGAAATCATCTCATCCCTTGACATGTTGGCGTTGCCTGTCAAGGTGGGGCGATGTATGGGCTTCGAGGTTCGAACGTTTGTCAACAACGATCATCCAGGGCGAAAGAAATCTTACATCTACCTTTCAGGGTGCAAGCCTGAGCTGGGCTGCACTATTGTGATTCGTGGGGCGAAACATTCAGTTTTGGCCCGGGTTAAACACATTGTTGAATTCATGGTTTACGTGGTATACAACTTGAAGCTGGAATCCAGTTTGCTCAGAGACGAATCCATCGACCCCCCTGAATCTGCGAGCAACTCACTCTCAAATTCCATCCAAGCTTTGAGCGAGAGTTTGAAATCTACGAATTCTTTGACCACCTCAGATCAACCCTCCATCAGTTCAGCTACTGCTCCCGGCCCACCTGCCCAGGAGGCTCCTACACCTCCTGCCGATACTCCGACAGAGACCTCTCAGCAATCTGAAGAGGTTGAGGATGCTCCATCATCCAAGGCTGATGCGCCAGCTTCACAGCCCGCTGAACAACTACCAGGGGCAGCTGAACCACATTCTGATGATGACCAAAACAATCAAGTTCCAGACTACATACCAATGCCCACTTTCTACAGTGACATGGTCGCGAAATACGAAACGAAGATACTCTCCGCATCGCCTTTCGTTAAGTTTGCACAGCCTTATCTTCTGATGAAGGCTCGGGAGCAAGAAAGACGGCTATCATATCTCAGGCAACTTCTCGAGCACGATGCCTTTGAATCAGAAGAAGATACCAATAATCAGGAATTTCAGCTAATAAAACCTGAGATGGTGGAACAAATCGGCCAAAAGGCACCACGTCAGATGAGAGAAATCCTCCGGGCTGTCCATGATGCCGAATACGATAAAGCCCTCTTTAATTACCAGACCCAGACACGCCAGTGGGAAACATATATTCAGGGAAATCTGGATCTATTTGACCCATACTCTCATCAGAACATAGTTGTTTTGTACTCGATGACTTGTACGGAGACTAAAATTCCTTGCACTGAACCAGTCTTATTGGCCATCAATTTCTACGATGATGACTATATCGATCCTGCCATTGACCCAGACTGCACATTAGGCCAATACATTGAGGAAATGGTGTATGGGAAAAACGACTTGTGTTCCTCCAATGGATGCGAGCGCAGGATGATTGAGCACCATCGATCATATGTGCATGACCGAGCACGAATTACGGTATCCATCGAACAGCTCTCGTCCATTCCGGAAAGACAGCCGGAACTCGGCGACGGCATAACTATGTGGACATACTGCAGAGTATGCAAGAAAGATTCAGAGGAGATACCAATGTCTGAACTGACCTTCAAGTATTCTTTCGGCAAATATCTAGAGCTACTTTTCTGGGGAAGGGGCCTGCGCATGAAAGACAGTGTTCATTGTGGCCATGATCACCATCGTGATCATGTCCGTTATTTCAGCCTTGATGATTCCCGTGTTCGAATTGACTGGGATCCCATTGACCTTTTGGAAATTGTGGTCCCAAGGTTGAGGATTACTTGGAAAGTGGCCAACGACATCAAGTTGAAGAACGAGATATACAGGAGAATGGAGAATAGATGGTCCAAATTCATGAACTCTGTCAAAGCACGGCTGAAGAGCATACGATCAGACAGCGTCCTGCCCGAGAAAGCTGAAGAATTTAAAGCTGAGCTTGAGAGGCTCAACAAAATGGCTCAGGAACATCAACCGGCAATGGTTCAACGGCTCCAGGAGATTTATGTAAACACCAAGTATTACGAAGTTGTCCCATTCAACGCTATCGTTCGAGAGATGCTTGAGAAGGCCGAAGCGTGGGACACAGCCTTTGCCAAGTTTGAAGCTGATTTCCTCGGCGATAAAGATATGCGTCAACAGATCATGATGCAACTCAAAAAGCTGATCGCAGACAACGACTCCAAGGAGTCACTTGTCTCCACTGAAGGGTCTGGCTCCGCGGCAGATAGTGAAGAGCGACCATCACAAACTTTCTCGGAGATTGAAGAGAAGAGCACCCAACCCACGGAGTATACAACCACACCTAGTTTAGAGGATAGTGTAGCATCCTCAACCAAACTCGAAGACAGCATATCAGCCGAGGAAGAGAGCAAAGTCGATGCTCCTACCGAAGGCGCGATTGAGAGAGTCGAACCTCTGGACTTAGCAAGCTCTCCAACAGCCCCGATTAACACTCCGGCTGAATTGTCTCGTCCCCCAGATATCGATACAAGTCGCAAAGAGATTGTTTCTTCGCCAAAACCCTCCCCACGGCGGCCACTTTCACCAATTATTCCACGCAAAATACCTCCACAGACATCTACGTCTGGGCAATCGTTAACCGAAAAGGTCGACCAAATGCGCCGAGAACATGGCTCGCAGTCCAATCAATCAAGCGAACCGATAGGGACGCCTATATCTACTGAAAGCTCCCATCATACTCCAGACCGAACATCAGCACGTCGGTCCGGTTCTCATGCTTCTCCTCCTTTGGTTCGAGCTACGTCCCATCCTGTGCGGACATTGTCTAGAACGCAATCTTCCACAAGTAAACCTCAACCGATTAAGGAATCGAAGACCGTACCTACAGACCACAAGAGTGGCGACCATCAGTCAGGCCAAGAGACCCCTGCCAGAGTAGATAAGAAGCTCTCTGAGAGACTTGGACTTAGTGCCTTGAAAAATCGGACTAAAGGGGGCCAATCTAACATCCCCCGGCTTGTAACAAAAAAGAGGGAATCCAAAGTTTCAGCCCTTGCACGTCATTTTGAGCAGTTGAGTCGCGAGTTCGAAAAGGAGCGGATCCGGGATCGTAAGAAACGAGCTGCAAGCTTACGCCAGCCCAGAGCTATGCTTCCTAGAGCATCCACTAAACCTTTTGTTGAGGTATATGATGATGTTAAAGATGCATTTGAGGAACAATCGCCAGCGCCCGATGCGCTCCGCGGAGACGAACAGCCTTCTACCGAACATGCCCCTAAAGCAGGGGAGGAGGAGGAGCTCAAAAACGAAAAGTCTAGCGTAAGCCTTGAAGATACCGAACCGCCGCTGACGGAAACCAATTCGAGAGAAGATACGGAGGATCCTGGAACGGTCCAGAGTAGTCAGGCGATGTCCGAAGACGAAGGAGCCTCGAGCGATGTTGAGCCCACGGTTTCTGAAGAGTTTCTCCCCGAAATCAAAGAGATTGCGGATGCTCTAGAGCCTAGTACTGAGATTCCTCTCGAGCTTCCAAAACACCAAAAGACGAGTTTGATGAAATACTTGACCAACTTTTGGGCAGAACGGTCAGCTAGTGGATGGCCAGCCCTTGAGTATCCCATCAATCCAACAGATCACATCTTTGTTGATTCTGACATCATTGTGCGGGAAGATGAGCCAAGTTCGGTTATCGCTCTGGTTCTCAACAGTGATGATTATCAAGACAAGCTTGCTCGAATCCGAGCAGAATCACAGGCAACGCACCGAGACGAGGCGGACGTGGACCCGACTCGCTCAGACTATGAGAATGCACAGTTCGAACTAGAGAGGGAGATGGAAAATAGTCTGCTGCAGCCAACGGGGACACATTTGAAATATCAATTCAAAGAGGGCCCGGCTGTAATGACCTGCAAAATATTTTACGCTGAGCAGTTTGACGCATTGCGCAGAAAGTGCGGTGTCTCTGAGCGAATCATCGAATCATTATCTCGATGTTTGAAATGGGATTCGAAGGGTGGTAAAACCAAATCAGTCTTCTTAAAGACCCTAGATGATCGACTCGTTCTCAAGGTATGTACTGTTTTATTGTCCCCATATAAGAATTTGCTTGTTCATTTGCTAAATTACCCAAGTCTCTATCTCCGGTGGAAACGTCGGCGTTCTTGCGCTTTGCCCCTGGATACTTCTCGATCATGGCTGAGGCTCTTTTCCATGATCTCCCGTCTGTTATCGCCAAAATGCTGGGCTTCTTTCAAGTCTTTATCAAGAACCCCTTGACCGCGACTGACATCAAGTTTGATTTGCTCATCACAGAAAATCTCTTCTACGACCGTTCCCCTGATCGCATATTTGATTTGAAAGGTTCCATGCGGAACCGGAGAATTCAGTCCACAGGCCAACAGAATGAGGTGCTCCTGGATGAAAACATGGTTGATTTTATATCCGAATCACCACTGTTTGCCCGCGAGCACTCCAAAAAGCTGCTTCGAGCCTCAGTGTGGAACGACACTTTATTTCTGGCGAGACAAAATGTTATGGACTATTCATTGATGATTGCTGTTGATGAGACCCGAAAGGAGCTGGTTGTTGGTATTATCGATTGCATTAGAACATACACGTGGGACAAGAAGCTTGAGAGTTGGATCAAGGATCGTGGTTTCGCTGGAGGAGGACGCAATCGGCCGACCGTCACCAGTCCAAAAGAATACAAGTCTCGATTTAGAGAGGCCATGGCAAGGTATGTCTCTTATCGCTACATTGAGATGAATGATGCACATTTTGAACATGAGTACTGATCAGCAAGCAGATACATCTTACAATCACCGACTTGTTGGCATCTATTCAGCGGCCCCCAAGCACCTGCATCTCAGTCGCGAGCAAGATTCGAAGTATCTGGTCAGAAACACGAGGATGGAGAATAACGTAATGTTTGGGACTACGGACAAGCAATTGTCTATTAATGATGAAATGATACCATGGAAGGAGACATGCCCTATATAGTAAACGAATATACTGATTGAAGCCATAAATGCAAGCTTTGGCTACACACCAGACCTTGATGAAATGAAAATCAGTACTGCTTCCCATATGAGAATATTAGATATGACATGAACATAATAATACTATCGTCCCCGTTCTGGAGAGAAGGCGATTTGGTGAGAGTTTGAGCTTGTGGGGCATCAAAACTACTAACTCGGGCACACCCGCCAAAAGCCTTGAGACCAACCATCTCATCTCAATCAGTGATATCAACTCTACTTTACATCATTGCCAATATCTCCCATTTAACCTAACTCTATTCCAGACAGGGACATTCACTCACTTGTCGGGCTAGAATAACTCCCTAGCCAATGTCCATCGACCTGAATTGGGAGACGTTGACAAGCGGCCCTGATGGCGCTGCTTTGGCTGAGCGCATCAAATGCTTCATCCACGACAGATTCCAGGCAGTGCCCCTGCCGCGGTTCATCAAGTCTGTAACGGTCCAAGGGTTCGACTTTGGCTCCATCCCGCCCAGCCTCGTGCTCAAGGATATCACGAACCCTCTACCTGATTTCTACGAAGGGGACCTAGATGATGATGAGGAAAGTAGCGAAGAGGAGGAGGAGGAGGAGGATATCGCCGTTCCTAGTGTACGTGCTGGCGAACGAGGACGGCCTACCGCTTTGAGGCACGAGCACACATTCTACCCCGGTCATGATCTGGGAAGCCCATTCCTGGGGACCTCGACGCCCGGAATACTGGGAGGTCCGGCGCTCAACTACTTCCAGAGCCATCTTCACACCGGCAGTCACACTCCGCTGGCTGCCGTCGCCGGTGCTCACCTGGGCCACAGCAGCTGGATGAACTCGCCCATCGAGCAGCACCCGGACCTCCGCCCGCCCAGCCACAGCCGGAACCCGTCCCACGGCAGCAGCATATCCGTCGACCTCCTCGCCCCTCCCCTGACCCCGACCCACCCCTTGAGGGAGAAGTCGAGCGTGTCGACCCTGGCCGCCACGTCGGGGAGCACGTCGCGCCCGCCCACGCGGGACACCTACCTCCAGGGTTCGGCCATCGAGGACGACAGGAGCGACCCGGGCGCCTCCCGGCACCGCGAGGCGCGCCTGGAGGACGTCCAGGCCGTCTTCAGGATACAGTACGCGGGGGACGTGAGGCTCAACCTGACGGCGGAGATCCTCCTCGACTACCCCATGCCGAGCTTCGTGGGCATCCCGCTGAAGCTGAACATCACAGGCCTGTCGTTCGACGGCGTCGGCGTGCTGGCGAACATCCGGAAGCGGGTGCACTTCTGCTTCCTGAGCCCTGAGGACGCCATGACGGCCGTGGGGCCCGACGAGGAGGACGAGGGGGAGTCCAAGAAGGACGGCGAAAAGGAGGAGCCCAAGGGCAGGTTCGGGGGCCTGCTGCAGGAGATCAAAGTGGAGAGCGAGATTGGCGACAGGGTCGCGGGGAAGCAGAGCCTGAAGAACGTGGGCAAGGTGGAGAGGTTCGTGCTGGACCAGGTGAGGAGGATATTCGAGGAGGAACTCGTGTACCCGAGCTTCTGGACATTTTTGATTTAATAGAGCGATACCTGGGCTGGTTCAGGAAGAAGAAAACTGGGAAATCTCATATCAAGTTCAACAATTCACATGTCATATCAGCAGTTCATGGTATGTAAGTGGGATATCATGTCTTTCTCTTGACGAATTCTAATTATGTTTCCAGTGTCCGCCTGAAGCCTTGGTACGCCTGGTGAATCTCCATCTCCAACTCTCTAGCCTGCTGCTCACTCAACTCCTCGGTGGCCTTCATCTGGTTGAGTGTGATGAGCCACTGTACGATCTTGCCTCGGTTTTCGAAATCCTTGTCCGTCACGCGGTTCACGGACTGAATGACGTCTGATAGCAGAGGGTGCAGCTGGTCCTTGGAAAGGAGGCCCAGCTTGACGGCATCAAGGAAGGTGATGAAGTCCTGGGTCGCCTCGAGGATAAGAAGGCCGTTCGTATTGTTCGCGGGGGCGTTGGAGGGGGCTGGTGCGACTGAGGAGGACGACGCGGTCACTGTAGTAGAGGGCATGCCGACTCGTATGCGCTCGGTCGCGCGGGGCACTTCGAGCTACACAATAGATTAGCATCAGGTCGGGGATCGATATAAACATGATTTAACGTATACACACATCCCATCGGGCCTTGAACTCCTCCAGGCCCTGGAACTCGTTCGCGATCGTATCGTCGGCCAACAGCGCCTTATACTGTCTTAGAGACCGCTCGCATATCTCCGTGTATTCTGCTTCGGGGACGGCGTCTTTCAAGAAGGCTTTCTCGAGCTCATCGAGAGTTACGATGATGCTGAAGAGCTCGGCGAGCGACTCCTGCAGGTCACGCTCGGCGCGGGTGTTGGTGAGCTTCACCTCCTGCAACGTGGGGTTAGTGGGTCGGTTCCAGGCATGGTTAAAGAGGAACACGGGCGCAGATGTGTATGCGTTGGAAATGGCGACTCACTTCATCAAGGTTAATGGTCGCCGAGAGGTTCGACACCGGCACATAGCTATGCGGCGTCGGGGCATAGCTCTGCGGTCGGTGAATCATCGTGGATAGTCGTCATCAGGCATTGGGAAGCCTGCGGAGCGAACCATCCCACCAAGAAAGACACAGCTCAAGCGCATCTTACGTAGGTGCAGGGGTATATTAGGCGGCAGTATAATCTCACCGCCCGCTTAGTGGTTCTCCACACCGGGATCCATGTTACTTATCGATAAGCTGACCCGAAAAAAAATTTGGTACGTGAAAAGAAGTATCTGCAGGAAATTGTTGATGTCCCAAGCGCTGCACCTAAAAAGTCATTTCTTGTCGCTCGGTTCCCAATTGAGTACCAACAATCGGTGCTCTACGAGGAAAACGAGACACCATGGGGCCTGTTAAGAAGAACCTCAAGGCCACCAAGAAATTCGAAAAGAAGCATCTCAAGGGAGTCTTGGACAACAGAAAAGCTTCCGCCAAAGTCAAGCAGCGCCATCAAATCAAGGATAAGAAACAGGCACGAAAAGCCCAGGATGCCGAGTTCTACAAGGGATCCAAGGATGGCGCCGATGGCGAGGCCTCGAAACCGAAGGGATCCAAGGGGAGGAAGGTTGCAGACATGAGTGTCGACGACTTCTTCAAGGGTGGGTTCGACGACATCATTGATAAGTCGCCCAAGCTTGGCAAGAGGAAGAGAGACGGACCCAAGGCCGACGAAGACGGGGGATCCGATGAGGAAGACGACTCTGGATCGTCCGTGGCCGAACAGCCAATGGGCGACGACAGTGACGACAGCGCGGGCGAGGATGAAGATGAGGCTGGAGCCGGAATGAGCAAGCAGGCAATGGATGACTTGGCGAAGAAGGACCCCGAGTTCTACAAATTCTTGCAAGAGAATGATCCCGAGGCATTAGACTTCGACGACAACACCGACCTGGCAGAAATTGACGAGCTCAGCCCTGGCGAAGAGTCGGAGGAAGAGGAACAGCCCAAGAAGAAGCGGAAGAAGACAAAGGAGGTTGAGGAAAAGCCAGCCGGTACTCCTGAGCTCACCCGAGAAATCGTTGCCGTTTGGAAAAAATCAATCGAGGAGAAGAACTCCCTGCGTGCAGCCAGGCAGGTTGTCCTAGCCTTCCGATGCGCCGCGCATCTCAACGAGGACGATGAGAATGGCGAGACTGAGCAACGGTGGAAGATCAACAGCCCAGAGGTCTTCAACGACATTCTCACACTCGCGCTGAAGCATATTCCTACGGTGATGAACCACCACCTCCCCGTCAAGGAGTCGTCATCAGGGAAGGTCTACGTTCAGACGGAAACCAAGAAATTTAGGACGCTCTCGCTCCTTCTCAAGTCATACACGTCCTCAATTATGCACCTGTTGAGCACGCTATCAGACGATCGCACCCTCAAGTTAACTCTGTCATCTCTTGAGCCGGTTCTACCTTATCTTCTATCATTCAAGAAGCTCGTAAAGGCTCTCGCCAAGTCGGTTGTCAACTTCTGGGCTCAGCCTGCCAGCTCCGAGTCGACACGTATCACTGCTTTCCTCGTTCTACGCCGCCTGGTGGTCATTGGTGACAAGGGAATCCGCGAGACTGTTCTGAAAGCCGCCTACCAAGGACTCGTCCAGGGCTGCCGAACAACCAACCACAACACTATTCAGGGCATCAACCTGATGAAGAACTCCGCCGCCGAGCTTTGGGGTATCGACCCCAGTGTTGGATATACCACCGCTTTCACCTTCATCCGCCAGCTTGCCATCCACCTTCGCAACAGCATCGTGAACAACAAGAACGATTCATTCCGCATCGTTTACAACTGGCAATATGTACACTCGCTCGACTTCTGGTCATGCGTCCTCGCTGAACATTGTAGCCCCTTGAAGGAAGCCGAGGCGGGCAAAGAGTCCCAGCTCAGGCTGCTCATCTATCCCCTGGTTCAGGTCACCCTCGGCGCTCTCCGCCTCATCCCAACTTCCACCTACTTCCCCCTCCGATTCCACCTCATCCGCTCCCTCCTGCGCACATCCCGCGCCACCGGAACCTACATCCCCCTGGCCTCCCCTCTGCTCGAGATCCTCACCTCGGCGGAGATGAAGAAGCCCCCCAAGGCCACCACCCTCAAGGCCTTCGACTTCTCCGTCGCCTACAAGGCGCCCAAGTCGTACCTCCGCACCCGCATCTACCAGGACGGCGTCGGCGAGCAGGTCGTCGAGCTCTTCGGCGAGTACTTCCTCCTCTGGTCCACCTCAATCGCCTTCCCCGAGCTCGTCCTCCCCGTCATCATCCAGCTCAAGCGCTGGCTGAAGCAGTCCCGCTCCAAGACGCAGGGCAACAAGAACGCCAAGCTGGCCTCGCAGCTCGTCATCCTCGTCCAGAAGCTCGAGGCCAACGCCAAGTTCATCGAGGAGAAGCGGGCCCGCGTCGACTTCGCCCCCAAGGACCGGACGCAGGTGGAGAACTTCCTCAAGGACTTCGACGTCGCCAAGACGCCCCTCGGCGCGTACGTCGTCGGCCAGCGTAAAGCGAGGGCGCAAAAGGCCAAGATTCTGGAGGAGGCCCGTAAAGAGGAGGATCAGAAGAGGAGAGAGGAGGAGCGGGGAGCCAATACGGGTGGCTTTGAAGAAGAGGAAGAGGAAGAGGAAGAGGAAGATGAGGACGAGGACGAAGAGGAACTAGATGACGAGGAGGAGGGTAGCGAGGAAGAGGACGATGAAGAGTAGATAGAGCTCGAGCTTTTCAAGTGCAACTTAATGTGTTCAGATAAATCCACAATGGCAATGGAAATCAATGTTTTCAATCTCTTGTAAGCCCAGTCTCGCCCGTCGACGCGGGGGACAATTCGTATTCATACAAGAAGCCCTAATGCAAACAAAACCAAAGGTGTGAAATCCGCCCCAAACTCCTAATGCACATCAAAATGCTAATCAAACCAAAACGCCGCCTGAAATCCAACTCAATTTGGTCCAATCCCACCCTGAAAAAAAACCCGTTCCCTTTTATCGCCAAGCAGCAAATGACTACTGCAGTATCCTTATAACTTAGTTCATTCATAAATCCTCAATACCCTCCCAGGTCAGATGCTCACTGCCACTGGTGACATCCCGAACCGTCATGCCAGTAATGTTGAGGACTGTCATCTCGAGCTCCTCGTCGCTCATGGCCTGCCCCGCAGCCTTTTGTCCCTCCAGGACGTCGTACAAGCTATAAATCTGGTCATTCTTGGCCTCGACTTGCTTCAGGAGAGTGCGGATGCCCTCGGCCATACGGAGCCTGTCGCGACGACCCAAAGCCTTGTCAGTGCCGTTGTATTTGGCCTGGAGACGTGTAAGCTCCAGTTGAAGATGATGGGATTCATCTTCCAGCCCCTTGATAACCATAGCTAAGGCGTGACCAGGAGCCTGGGCAGGCCGAAGGGTATGATCCCCGGTCAAGTTGCGATCAGACACGGGGACCGGGCGCGAGACAGTAACTCGCTTCTTTCCGCTCGCAAGTTCCTTCGACGACACGACAACGTTGTGGGAGGCAATACGAGCACACACTGTACAGTTAGTGCAGCTGTGCTCGCAAAGACCATCCAACACACGCCGAGCATCCTGCGAGAGCGTTCGGCAACTTTCAGCTGTTCTGTGGTCCTCACTCACAACCTCCAAGGCGATTTTCTGGCTATGATTTTGCGAATGACTTGATCTTCGGCGGGTTCTTAGAGTCTCTTGGCTGTGACTTTCCAATGTTTGTATTTGGCGGGAGCGCTCTTCTGTGTGGGATTGTTTGTGAGATCTCTCCTCATCAACAGACTGCTCCTGGGTCATCTCATCCATTGACACAGCACCTGTGGTATCATCGATATCGGACAAGGGCTCGGTTCCACGGAATGGCGACTTCTGCATGATGCTTGCGTGGCTCGACTTGCTGCTTCGTCGTTTGCTGCCCTGGTTGGCAACATTTGACTTGGCGTTTGATTTGCTCTTGACACTTTGGACAGATGCATCGGGGATTGCAAATGCAACTTTAGAGCTGGTCGCAACCTGTTTTTGAGACCTGGATGTGCTGCTGGATCTGCGATGAGTGTCTTTCTTTTCCTCGTTGACTTCGGAGTGGTTTGTTGGCTCCTCCGTGAGATCAGGGATGGTCGACAGTCGGGTGTTTTGGGTGGTAAGCTCTGGCAAAACAGGGCCCCCCTTGGCGTCGGTAATCTCAGCTAGTGCCTCTGAATCATTGGAATTCATTGTGATATCGGGGATGAAGAAGGCTGATGTCATATTCTCTCCAGTCTCATCGTCCAGTTGGGCCAGCAGATCCTCCTTAGGAATCGGGCGGCAGTGGTCCATCTGTTGCTTCATAAAATCAACGTCTTCCTTCAGTTTTAGATTCTCATCTCGCAAAGCATGAATACTCTGCTCGAAGCCTGAGTTTTCCCGTCGCAGAATCTTATTCTCCTCGAAGTATTTTTCGTTGTGTCGAACAAGACTGTTGTTGTCTTCACGAAGGGTCGTCCTCTCTTGGCTCATCTCCTCTACTTTCTGCTGGAGGCTCTGAACTTGCTCAATCGCAGCATCAAGCTCGTGCTGCACTCCATCGAGGTTGTCACGAAGATCCTCATCCTCAGTCGCAAGATTTTGGTTATTAGAGCGGAGAGACTTGGCTTCGGAGAGCAGGGCCTCGTTCTTGCGACGCAGACTCTCATTTTCCGAGCGGATGGCCTCGATTTCCTCCTCCAATTCTCTCTTCTCCTGGTGAAGAGCATCATTATCAGTGCGCAGAGAGGTGTTCTCAAGCTCTAATGCATCCCGACCATGCTTAAGTGAGAGTAGGTCTCGCTTCAAGGTATCAGTTTCCAGGCGGTGTTGCTCCGTCGATTCAATGATCCTCTGAGAATTTTCCAATTCCCTCTCCCTGACACTGAGTTTACGTGTCAGCTTGTTAATGTCGTCGCAAGCTTCTTGAAGCTTCCGGACTGTCCGGTCCTTCTCCTGGATTAGAGAGTCCTTCTCTATCTCAGTCAGGCTGATTTTTCGCGAGGCCTGCTCCAGACGAGATTGGAGAGTTGTGATTTCAATTTCCAAGCCTGGCAGAAGTCAGCGATGGCAAGTCTTAAGTCAGATTGAACAGAAACTTACTCTCTTTTTGCCTCAAAAGCTGCTCATTTGGACGTTCTGAGCTTGATCGCCTCTCAACCGTTGGCCGGGCCTTGAGCTGGGCCTCAAGAGCTTCTACCTGGCTCTGCAGGTTGGAAGCATACTCCTGTACCTTCTCATAGTGATCCTGCAAAGAGATGATCTCCTCACGGATCATATCCATGGATACAAAGATCTTCTCTTCGTCTTCTGGCACCTCCAGCCCATCCACATCCGCGTGGTTGGTCAAATGGGGCTTTTCTTGACGATCGTGCACATTGCCATGTTTGACAAAGATAGGTACACCGTTCTTCATTGAACCACTAAACCGCAGTGTACCAGTGACAAAGTCACCAAGATGCGAGACGTCAGGCATGAAGAATGAGCGCACATGGGACATGTCTTGCCCAGGGCTATCGAAGGCTGCAGGTGAGGGAGCCACAGCTGTCAGGCTAGATTTTGCAGAAGACATTTGTGGGGAGGAGCTGGTTTTGCGTTGTTCGCGATTGCGAGGGCTTGCGGAATTGGCTCTCAGCTGCTCCAGCGCTTCTGTCAGCGACGTGCGCCGTTGCTGGTGGTGAGACTCTGAGATGGACCGGGTGTACGTCTTGGAAAGTGGGCTGGGTTGACGCGCATTCTTTGTTCCATTGGGCACGGACAGGACTCGGGCGGGTGACTTGGAGATGAGTGATGAGAGGTCGGACTCGGTGTCCGCGCGAGGCTGCATCTCGGAACGCGTTCTTGCTGAACCGTTCCAAATGTCTTGTGTGGTGTCGTCCACAATGAATCTAGCACTTCGGACGGGTGGCTTGTTCTCTTTCAATTCGGGGCTTAGTGGTCTCGTGTCTGTGTCGTCGTCGAGGATTGGCAGGTCGCGACTTTTGGGCATGCTATAAAACTCAGGCCACTTGCGGTGAGCGGCTTCCCAATTGACTGGCAATTTCCTAGGAGCTGTGACACGGGCAATATCCTCATTCAGCCGCCGCGTGGACTCGCCGTCAGGGTCTGAGAAAACGGAAGACATTGTTGGGCTAACAGTGCCATGTGAGCCGGTGGAGGAGGGGGGAGAGTTGAAGGGGTTGTTGCGGTTAGCTTCCATCTCTCTCAATATGCGAGAGCGGTATCTAGCTTCGGCCTCCATTGCTCTTGTCGCGCGTAATGGAACGCGAAGGCCGAGTTAAGGTAGTCGAGGCTGTCCAGGTATTCTAGGATTGGAGACACGATACAGATAATACAGCTGCAACCTAGTTTGCTGTAGGTGCGCAAGTAATAAAGCGTAAGCGTGGTAGCATATGCGCGGAAAGAAACAAGGATAGTTGGTGGTGAAGATACAGCGGAAGTGAATTGGAGGTGGAATAATAGCACTGAAACCATTTCGGGTGGAAAGTAAACAAACCGCCTCACGTCGCCCTAAAACGGCATTTGGTGGGGGCTCCAGCCACAACCGCCACAAGAAATGCCAATCCACCCACGCGATAGAACACGCCCATACCCAGCCACCCGAGACGCGGAACTTCAATCATTTCAGTAGAATCAATCCTCTGGTCTATGCGCATTTCAAGGTTCAGACCCGGAGCCACGTGTTGCCTCGAAGGCCGTTTGGAACTGACTAGCACGTAGAAATATGCTATAAATCCCTAGGTACTAAATCACAAAGGGTTCAGACTTCTACATCAATGTCACTGAAGAAACAATTCAGCGGTTGAAGGTCCCATATAGTGTACACATCCTTTTCGCTTCGAAGTGGCCGCGCGAATTGTGCTTGGAAATTCACCAAGCACAGGACCGCTCAATTTGCATTCTCATTTGCAGGTTTCTAGTTTGCTCGAGATCCTAGACCCTGGATCGGCTGCTGTGTATGAGGGCCAAGTAACGCGCTTACCCTATAGTATCTGCCTTCCACCTCTAGTATCAGCTCAATATAACCTTGGTGTCATGAAAGTTCTTCGGGATTGACTTCAATACTAGGGCGGATTCAGACAACATCTCTACCAAGAAGGGTCCAGCCCATCCTCGCGGCAAAGGTGATGCGGGCACTGGGGCTTCGTCCACTAGCTGTACCAGATCTGGACAAGTGGCGGGGGAGAGGAGGGGGTCGTATTGGTGATGATCACTACTCATGGCTACCAGCTGACCCGACATAATGTGCGCATTTCTGCAAGTACTGCCGAACAGGAATTTTCAGCGTGTATTCAGTGCCTACTGCCCGTTGCAGCCGAACCTGGTGCGAGATTGAGTTCGGGGTTGCTGCCAGATAGCCTTTGCTTCCCCAGATCTGCCATCCCGTTACAGTAAACGCTCGGATGGCTTGCATATGTGAACAGTGCTTGGCCATGCACCAGTACCACATACTTTGGCCAACCAAAGCTGCACCTGATGAACTGCAATGCGACGGGAAACCCTCCATGACAGCCCAGAATCGTGTCCCATGAGGACGGCCCTCACCTCACGCCTAGACCCCCCTCCGATGTCAGAACTATACTCTCTTGGCATGGCCCGGCTGCTCTGATGACCTGACTCAAGAAGGGGCCTCCGCCATGGCGATGGCTGTGGGGCTCGCGGCCGCACATCCTCCGCCGCAACGATCAATTGCCTGGATGGAAACTGCCGTCAAAACCCTCCATCTTCCCCTGCATCGCTGGTCGGCTCGGCTGGGCCACGGATATTTCCTTCACACCTGTCCCGCGCATCTCCTACCTTAGCTCTTTTTTGGTTCTCCTATTTCCCCAGACACAGCACCCATTCTCAGCGCTAAGCAGCCCCTTGGGCGGGTTACAGACACATCATTGGGGTCTGGTAACATGACACTCTCCTCCCCGTGAGAGAAAAAACCACGCGCGTGGTGGCTGGCCCTGGTGATCACATGCGCATCTCCCCGGATTATAACCATCTAGAAGGCCCTTGATTTTCTGCAAGCCTTCTCCGCAAGCATCATGGCTCTCTCCCAGCTGCTCATTGGCCTCGTCAGCCTCTGTCTGACGTATGGTGTATCTCCAGTGCTGGCAAGATCCACCGACAAGGTCCCTTACTGCCCTGTCTTCTATGACTCTCCCCCGCCGAGGAATTGTCAGCCCGTCCCGGAGACGTTTCTTGACTTTATTTCCAGTGGTCGAGAAGTGCCCCAGGCGGAGATTGAGGTTCTTGAAGATGCATTTGAGGCCCTAGCCGTCCTGCAGCAGGTGTACTTTGACTCGGAGGCTGGCACATGGCCTCTGGCGAATGACTGGACAGCCGCTGTCCATGAGACTGTGATGGCTGGAACATTGACCACTTTGACCAAAGCATTGGGGTCGATCCATCTCAGTCCTTTCAACGACTGGACAGCCAAGGAAAACCTCATTTCATTCTATTACTCCCAGTTGGTTGGTTCATACTTTGGACAGGATATCCTCTCGATCCGCGGAGAGGTATGAGACCCCTTTCCCTAGACATCATACATAGATATACTCACAAGACCGCATCAGGCGTATGACGATATTCTTTGGGTGGCCCTTGGCTGGCTCGAGGCAGTTCAATTTGTCAAAACGCATTCAGAACTGCACTATCCAGCACAAGCAACAAACTCCACAGGTTCAAGAAGCCTGGGAGAGGCAATCAAATCTCTCCCCTGGCATGGAAATCACTGGATGCCTGCCTTTGCTCATCGGTCGCGCGTTTTCTGGGGTCTTGCCACATCAGGCTGGGGTGATGACCTGTGCCATGGCGGAATGACCTGGAATCCGCGGTTGCGCCCGTATAAAAATGCCATTACCAACGAGCTCTGGATTTCTGCGTCTGTGTCCATGTACCAGTACTTTCCCGGTGACAACTATTCTTCACCATTCGTTGCGTCAAGCCTGTACCCGTCAAAGGATCCAGCGCATTTGGCGGCGGCCATCGTGGGCTACAAATGGCTTAAAGATGTCAATATGACCAATGCCCGGGGCCTTTATGTTGATGGATACCATATAGATTTCTCGATCCCGGGCAATGTTGAGTGTGACATGAGGGATGAGATGGTGTACACGTACAACCAGGGCGTCATACTCACAGGCCAGCGCGGCCTGTACTCTGTCACGGGCAGCCCATCTTATTTGGAGGAAGGCCATAACTTGATACAGTCAGTGATCAATGCTACTGGGTGGAGTCTGGAGCATAACACGCCCCACGATGATCTCAGCGTCTACCCTCCAGGTGTCCTGCCGCCCTGGCACGGCCTAGGGCGCGGGGGGGTGTTAGAAGAGCAGTGTGATTCCAGTGCAACTTGCTCGCAAGACTCTCAGACCTTCAAGGCCATATATTTCCACCACCTGGTCGCCTTTTGCACAGACCTCGAGCCGATCAGCGCCGGGCCTCACCGTGTTGTAAATAAGAGGGCATACCAGAGGTTGAGGACGGCGCACATAGAGTCATGCCGATCCTACCTCGGCTGGGTTCATCACAACGTTCTTGCTGCGATGGAGACGGTAGATTTGAACGGCCAGTTTGGCATGTGGTGGGGAGCTGGTCTCTTCAACAACACAGTGGTGACGAGGGATGGAGACGGTATCGATCATTCTGCGGAGAATGTGACTGACTATCGTAACCAAGGGACACCCAACGATGAGATATGGGGTCAAGATACACAGTGGCTACCCGGATCAGGCCGGTGGATGCCGGGCGACCCCAATCCCATCATCGATCAGTCTGGATCGAATACAGATCAGCAAGTGTTAAGCCGTCTATCGGGGCGTGCTAAACGGGTCCCCGATCCCCTCACCGACCCAAACTCACGGGGCCGCGGCCGTACTGGCGAGACACAGATCGGAGGGCTCGCATTATTGCGAGCGTTCTGGGAGCTGTCGCAGCTGGGCAGGAATGAATGAATGATAGACGTAGAAGACGGGCACATACATGGATACGGAATATGCATAGCAAGTATACATAGCAAGCATCAATACACATGACGAGATACACCGACCAACGAACACCTCAATGGCCCGCACGTTTTTCTATCTATGCCTACATCCTTATCAAACGATTTCCAGTCAGGTGAAGCGCATCCCGGGTGGCATAGCCGGATCAGCCCTACATAACGACAGAAGGCAACCTGGTGCTGGCGCGGGGGAGCCAATGAGAGCTGGAGAGTGTCAAGTGTAGCGTGGCTGAGATGCGAATGCGACGAAGCGGATGACGAATTCCAAAGTGAAGGTGTGGCGCATTGAACCAGCTATTGGCCCAGCCCACCCTCCCCAATGCCGAATCGGGGATCCCATTCGACCTTGCTTATTATCACACAATTTACTACTGTTAAGCCAGTACCTCGCTTTCGCACGTCGAATCGCTTACTCTTCTTGGCCGTTTGAGGCAGTGGACGTAGTCTTATCGTGCTAGCTGCAGACACTCTAGGTGAGGTAGGATAGGAGGATAAATACAAGCCATGAGGCCTGTTGTCGGATTTCTCTACAGTACCTGCCCAGTGAGCTTTTGCAAACCTTGTCTTTGACACCACATAGACATTTACACACATACCTTAAGGTATCCATTGAGGCCGCCTACGCTTTGCAGACCTCATCCAACCAGCCCTTGCCAACATACAGTTGCATCGCTCAAATCAGTCACTTACATCCCAAAGCGATGGCCATATTCCGACTCATCAACCACATACTGGAGACGGTGAGCAATAAGCAGGACGCAAAACGCAGCAAATGGGACGCCGAGTATTACGGCACTACCACCACCCACGCAGCCATCGAGCAGCAGCGATACCACCCCACACGATATGCAGCAGCGCCTGGCGCCCTCCCCGAACAGCGCAGGTCCTGCCGCGAGCTCAAACAGGAACTGAGGGCTGAGCGCCGTCGGCGCAAAGCGGAACGGGTTGCCGTGCGACGCGAGAGGAGGGACTGCCGCCGTGGCGGGGGTTGTTGCAGGCGGAGGCAGAGGGACGCGGCAACTGTGTTTGCGCCTGAGACAGTGCCCTTTGGATCAGTCAGGACTCAGCAACTCCTGCATGAAGGAGGGAGGCAAAACTACCATCACACCGACAGTGTCCCGGCTGCGAGATCGGAGCAGGTGCGGGTGAGTGGCCAACATCTGCCTCGACGACAACCACCCGTCGATCATGTTGGCGACGGAGGGATGGAGGAGGCGCCTCCGGCTTATGAGAAGGTGCAGACGGTTCACTGATAACGAAACCCGAGACATACATAAGAGGCGTCGTGTTCCCGTCTCCTGCGAATTTACTTGATATTCCTTTGATCCTTTCATCGACTCTTCTTTCCTCGTTTTGGTTATCATACCAAGCCACAGCTCCTCCAGTTATTGTGTATGAGCACCAACTGCTGTATGCGAGAGGCGAACGTGATGACCCCCGCTGGCTCGGAACATTAAGCCATGTCCTATAGCTCGGGGTTGCGCTTCGCTTAAGCCTCAGGTGCGAGGTTGTCAGATTTCACGCAGCTTATATGATCAATCGGCAGGAAACGGCTCCTTTGTGGTGTTCCGATATTTGAAAGTATTCAGGTGGAGGTGAGGTCAGGCGGCTAAGGATGACCCAAATGTGTTGGTCCTTGCTTTCACCGGAAGTTGCAGGCATGGCTGAAGCTGAACGGTGAATGCAGAAGTAGAGAAATACGTGAGCTGAAAAGACGCCACCAATGGGGTTCGGACAAGATCGATTCATAGGCTTAGTGCTAGCCTAGAACTCCCGAATGTTTCAGAATCCGAAGAAAAGAGTATTGATTGCCAAAAAGAAGCCGAAGGCTTGAACCCAGGTGTGATTTCTGGCCCGTGGCAACGACCGTCTCTCACCACTCACCACCTGTAAGCGAGCCACACAAGGCGGTTCGTCAGTCACGATCCCTATTTGCATACCTCGCTTGGGGATGTGAATTCATCTTGGCCTCGTAAGACCGCACTTCGTCAAGATTCACCTCGGATGTCGTCCGCCAACATCTGCGAGCCCAATGCCTTGGCTCCCCCATCAGCTCGGGCCAATAATGCCCCCGCAATCGCCAGGACCGACCTCGCACATTGATGTCTTACACCAGCTGCCGGCGCTAATGTGACCGGTCCACGAATAGACTCGCATGGCACATACACGGACAATCGCACACCCATCCGTTTGGTGACTCTGCCGATTCACCGACTTTGCGGAGGGCGCCATTGGGCGTAGACCCTGCAGCTTGGCTGTTAAAAATATCCATCGTACCACTCTGGGCCTTGGTGCTTGAGAGGAGCTCGAGGGTGGTGAGGAGTTGGGTGGCATCCTGCTCCACAATGAGCTGCCCCCTTTGCTTTTTCGCCTTTTCACTGCCCTGCATATCGCTGGCTTGGTTCGTGGGTGAAGGATATACATGGCACGACCCGAATCGGATGAAGATCTCCCCTCGACTTGCCTCTAGACCATTGACTCGGAATGAAAAGGAAGTGACCTGTCTGGCCAAGCATTTCATATGCGCTGGACGAATCACTGGTGGCCAAATGAGACAGGCGCAGGCAGACTGAGATACGTTCTGGAATCATGGAGGGGTAGAGGGAACCAGGGCATGATCACTCCATGGTAATCCGGACGCTACTTTGGGTCGACTCCGAGACCACATTCGCATTCTTTGCCCATGGTCGGAGGGGAGATGGCCGTCAAAATGGCCGGCCGGTGACCATTATGCCCAAGTGTTCGAGAGGCATGTGCATGGTTGTTTTGGTGTTGGTGCAGGTGGAGACAATGCGCAAAGTAAGCCGGGATTGACCAAAAGTACTGCTGCCCTATCAAACTGATGTATTACCGATCTAGGCGTTGCCACCAAGCCATCTATTGCCAAAAGACATGCTCGGGACAATAATACCTCGTTAAGTTCGTTCTAGGCAAATATGAAGCATATAAAGCTGCATTGGCTGTCACGGACTTGCCGTTGAGGCCTCCGCAGGGTGACTGAGGAACAAGCTGCCTCATTGCCAACCGCCAGAGACCTGCGAGACCTCACAAGCTACTCGTAGAAACGCCTGGCAGTACCTAGGTAGGTTGCCATTGCTCTAACATTGGGCCCTGAAACTAGGCCGGCTCGCTGGTTAGGCTGTCAAAACCCCTGGTTCTGCAGCTGCCCCTCCATTATCGGCCGGGCCGCTCCACTTACCTTATCGAAAATTTGGAAATCCGTCTTCGGCAAGCCTGTGACTGGTGAAACGCCCTTGCTTGCTCGTTTTGTTTTTCTTGTATATGAATGTGCACTGAGACAGATTGCAGTTTGCCAGACATTGAACGACTGCGTGTCTGTCTGGGAGCTGGAGAGCGTTGCCAACATGCCCTCCGCCGTGTACGAGCTGGCGCCCGCGACTTCGGAGCCCAACGGAGCAAATGGCCATCGAGTCAATGGCCACGGAGCCGACGCCGGCGCCAGGCCAATTGAAAACACCAACGGCGGTCTAGAAGATCCTTTCGTGACTTTTTCCAACGGCGACCCTCACGGCGTGGTAGAAATCAACAACCTGCACAACCCCGTCCCAATGTCGCAGAAATACCGAACCCCCAGGACCAGCATGGCCCTGACGGATTACAGCGTTAATCCGTCAACGCCTGATGACCAGAAGCGCCAACACATCCGCGAAATCGTCCCAGAGGACTTTCTACTACCCAATGGCCACCCAGACGTGAGTTATTCCCCCTTCCCGGCTCCTGCGAGACCCAATTCGATTCCCCCCCGGCCTTGCGACTAATGCGAACTGTTTTTTAGTACCTGCGATTGATTGCAAGCGCGACATCCCGCATCTACGAAGCCTGCAAGCTGACACCGCTCTCCCACGCCGTCAACCTCAGCAACCGCCTCGAGTGCAATGTCCTGCTCAAGCGCGAGGACCAGCAGCCCGTGTTCAGCTTCAAGCTGCGCGGCGCCTACAACAAGATGGCCCATCTCGACCCTAAAAAAAGCTGGCGAGGCGTCATCTGCAGCTCCGCCGGCAACCACGCCCAGGGTGTGGCTTTCTCGGCGCGCAAGCTGAGGATCCCAGCAACCATTGTCATGCCCGAAGCCACCCCCGCCATCAAGCATCTGAACGTCGCCCGTCTGGGGGGGCATGTCGTTCTGCACGGTGCCGACTTCGACGCCGCCAAGGAGGAGTGCTCGCGGAGGGAGAAGATCGACGGACTCATCAACATCCCTCCCTTCGACGACCCATATGTCATTGCTGGCCAGGGCACTATCGGCAATGAACTTTTCGGCCAGACCAACATGGCCAAGGTGGATGCCATCTTCTGCTGCGCGGGTGGAGGTGGCCTCATTGCCGGAATCGGCCTCTACATCAAGCGCATGGCTCCCCATGTCAAGATCATCGCCGTGGAGGCCTACGACGCAAACGCCCTCGTGCAGTCTTTAAAGGCGGGCAAGCGCATTGTGCTGCCAAGCGTCGGTCTGTTCGCAGATGGCGCGGCCGTCAAGACCGTTGGCGAGGAGACCTTCCGCATCTGCAAGGAGGTCGTGGACGAGGTGGTCGAGGTGACAACCGACGAGATCTGCGCCGCCATCAAGGACATGTATGACGATACCCGGAGTGGTCTGGAGCCCGCTGGTGCGCTCTCCATCGCCGGCCTGAAGAAGTATGTCGAGAAGAACCCGCCCCGCGACCCGAGCCGGACCATGATCGCAGTCACCTCCGGAGCCAACATGGACTTTGACCGATTCCGATTCGTGGCCGAGCGCGCCAAGATTGGAGGCGGCAAGGAGGCCCTGCTCCACGTCCGTATTCCCGAGCGGCCGCAGGCGTTCGCCGAGCTTGTTGACACCATCATGGGCAACCCCGTCACCGAGTTTTCGTACCGTTACGCGACCGATCGCATCGCAAACGTCTTCTTCGGTCTGTCTCTGCTCGCGCCTCCCCAGGAGAGGAAGGAAGAGCTCAAGCGTCTCATGGACAACATCCAAGCGGGCGGCATGGAGGTCACAGACGTGTCTCAGGACGAGCTGGCCAAGAGCCACATCAGGTATCTGGTCGGAGGCGTCTCGGGCGTGAAGAACGAGAGGCTGTACATGTTCAACTTCCCCGAGCGCCCCCGCGCGCTGGAGAAGTTCCTGGAGGTCCTGCGACCCAGGTTCAACATCAGTCTGTTCAACTACCGCAACTCGGGCGGAGACATGGGCAAATGCCTGACCGGCATCATCTGCCCCGACGAGGACGTCGAAGAGCTGGAGAAGTTCCTGCAGGACATCGGATACCCGTACGAGGACTGCACGGAGTCGAAGCTGTTCAAGTCTTTCTTGAGGCTGGAAGACCCTGAGCAGCAGGCCCCCTGAAAATAATTGACAAAAAAAAAAATAGCCACGACTTTTGACGGAGGCGAGACGAAGCATTCGTTTTCTGGAGTCTTTGGAGTTCATATTGCATATATAGAGGCCCAGCTCTCTTGCTTTTTGCCCTTCATCTTCTTGTTCATTTTGGGTGATTGTTTCTTTCTGTTGTGGTTTGTGCACCGTGCCTCTCTTGCTATATAAGGACAGTCTTCTGCAGGGTTAAAAAGTGATATCACGAACTAGATCATATGAGGAGGGGAAGATAATGTACTTGAGCCAAAATTTACCATGGTAGAATGTATCTGAAATCTGCTTCTTTCTAGTCATCTTATGTGCCCCCCTGACCTTGGCCTCTGTGATTGCAAGTTTGGGAGCTGAAAGGACCGTGGTTTCGTCTTGCTGATCTGACAAGCCGCGTGCTTCCATGGCCCGTTGCATCCTGGCTCGCTTCAGCATCGCTTCCAAGCAACCAAACTAGAATAAATGAAACCAATCTTGACATGCGCTTACATTGACTTTGTTTTGACATTTTGCCTATTTTGGCTGATCTTCTGTGTCCTCCGCTGTCGAGACGAGCGACCACTGCAACGTGGGAAATTAGGCGATCCACTACCGGGTTCGTTCCGCGTTATCTTTGCGATAATCTCAATATCTCGACGAGATAAATTTCGACTTCAAAAACCTATATCTATCAAGTGCAAATCAATCAAACATAACCTTGCGTATTAATTTGCTGTTGTTACGCTTATTAATATCAAACTAGAAACCCTACAGTACTACATCAATGTCGTGTCGTGAGTGGATGACCAAATCCGGTACCTCAGGTACAGATACTACCTTACCTCAGCTACTCGTATCTTGGCCAGGACAAAACTAGGCCAGGCAAGGGAGCAGGGGAAGAGCATGTGTCGCCGACTCGTCACAGGCGGACAGGCCCCGGGCCATGTGGGGAGGCCTGTTGCTGTTGACTTTCATGGCTTCTTGTCGTTGTCGCCTTTGCATTCCCAGGCGTCCATCCGCCCTCTGGGCGTTGGTTTCTCTTGTCCGGAGGGAGAGCGGATGGGCCGGAGAAACCGGCGATGGCGAGCGGATTGATATCCCGAACTCCTGTTTTGCTGAAAGGCCCAGTGCAGTAACCTGCTTCCTTTGTTAGCCCCGAGCACCAGAACGGAGATACCTCTTACATCCAGCCCAGAGCAGCAGAGGATGGGCACGGAGCACCAGGAGCTCCAGGTGGAAATAACCTGCATAACTCCACGTGGAGGCCCTGCATAATACTGGAATTGCGTCGCCAATCACCACATTGGCGACGGGGCCGCGGTGGGTTCGTTACAGGGAGTTTCAGGCTAGCTGCCTGCCTTAAACAGGCGAGCGCGATGAGGGAAGCGAAGGAACAAGTGCTCATCTCACTGTCACATCGCATCACTGTCCGTGGCTGCAATATTACCCAACCACTGCGCCTAGGGTCTTCGCCATGGCCATCAGCCCAAAGGTCTCGGCAGAGATAGCGGACCAGGGCCAGGCCGCGTCGGTGAATACTGACTCCCCGACATGCGTAATACTGTAGATGCCTCAGGGGAGTGCTGGACCCATGGCCTCGGACCTCCCCCGGCCCATGAATCAGGGCTCTAGTAGCGAGCTGAACTGAGTAGCTTGCCATCATGCATTTGTGGGGAGACGGGTGTAGTTGAGGTCGCCTCTCCAACTCCATTCGCAGCAGAATGGATGGTCGGCAGCCAGGACAAAGAAAAGAAAAAGATACAGATCGTCTCTGCGACATATCACTGGTCTTCGCACGCACGCGATGCAAGCCACGGCACAGGAAAAAGAAATCAAACTGCAGTCGCATCCCACCGTAACCTGTGCCACCTCCTGTAGTCGGTTAGTGAAGCCTGGCCGACATTCCACTTCGCCCTCAATATATTAGGTAGATAGTCGCAGCTGCGGCGCGAAGGCCTCGCTGACTCCTTGTCCTTCCCACCCCCCGCCCTCTCCGCCGGCCCTGGTTCTTTTTAACCTCCTCCTATTCCGTTTATCTCGCTCTCGTTTTCTGTCGCTTTGTTAATGCTATTTTTCTCCCCATCTGACTCCCGCAAGGTACTAGCTATCAACTGCACCGTATCTGCATGGTAAGCTAGCTGCCTGTACCGGCAGCAATCGCGGCAGCAATGGCCACCGCCTCATACACCACGTCCGTCTCCAAAATTCCAGGTCGCAGCTCCATTCCCGAAGATGCAGCCTCCAACCCCCACCACATTGTCAAGGGAAAGAACCGAGTCGTCACAGGCTTCAAAAACCCATACCCATCATACAAGGACCCCGACGTTCTCAAGCATGTTATATGGTATGTCTCCTCCCTACAGCTTCCTACCCTGTGACATGCGATGGCAGGCGAGAAGCTAATCCAATCCTCCCCATGAACCAGGGCACGACTTACGGGAAACCTGAAATTCCCCGATACCACCCCTCCTACTGTACCCGTCGTCAAGCCCAATTGGCTTCCCAATCGCGAAGCCGGCCAAGCCGAGAACAAGATCCGAGCCACCTGGCTGGGCCACGCCTGCTACTACGTCGAGTTCCCATCTGGCGTGCGCGTGCTCTTCGATCCCGTATTCGAGCCTTGCTGCTCTCCCTGGCCTGCTTCCTTGATCGGTCCTCGAAGATATACCGAGCCTCCTTGCCAGCTCAAGGACATCCCCGTTATCGACGCCGTCGTCATTAGCCACAGCCATTACGATCATCTTTCCCACCCCTCAGTCGTCGAGATCCAAAAATACCATCCCAAGGTGCAGTTCTTTGTCGGACTCGGGCTCGAAAAGTGGTTCCGAAGGTCGGGCATCGACAATGTGACGGAGCTAGATTGGTGGGAAGACGCCGATCTAACCATTACCGTGAAAGACGGAGAGGAAGACAAGGAAAAGACAATAACAGCACGTGTGTCTTGCCTCCCATGCCAACACACATCTGCTCGTAGCCCATTCGACAAGGATACCACCTTGTGGTGCTCCTGGGCTGTCCGCACCGGGGAGAAGAGCGTCTGGTTCGGCGGCGATACAGGCTACCGCGCTGTTCCCTTTGTGCCCGAGGGCGTTGACGACTATGGGCCAGAGTTTGCCTCCTTGCCCCGTTGCCCACAGTTCAAGCAGATTGGAGATATGCGAGGCCCGTTTGACCTGGGCCTCATTCCCATTGGCGCTTACCACCCCCGTGCTGCCTTTTCAGGCATGCATGCCAACCCCTTTGACTCAGTCGAGATCTTCCGTGACACACAATGCAAACGCGCCATGGGTATTCATTGGGGCACTTGGGCGCTGACCAGTGAAGATGTACTGGAGCCACCCAGGCTCTTGAAAGAGGCGTTGAAGCGCAGAGAGATTGCTGAAGAGGGTGTTTTCGACGTCTGTGATATTGGCGAAAGCAGAGAGTTTTAGATCTGAAACGGGCGGTCGGTTGGCAGACTCAAACCAACTGCCAGTCGGGGGATGGTGACAGAGCACCGTCTTCGTCCTACGGCGTGTGTGATAATCGAGAAGGAGTATTTGACGGGCAATGTTCATTTTGAGAAATAGCCTTGGCTTGGGTCTTTACTACAGCATATATGAGACATGTATGATAGTGGCTGGGCATAGGAACAAAGAGTTAGCGGGTTATGGTTTTATCCGCATGGAAATAGGTTTCGCGACATAATTCTCCTTTGGTGCTGGAACGTGGAACGCATGTTGTTGGTACAAATTTAACACTCATCTTCCCATTTCAGGAAGCTTACCTTGGTCTCTCATATCCCCCAACGGCTCAATCCGCCATCATGTTTTCAAATTGAGAGTGAATATATTCCATACTAAAAGTGCTAACGCATAGGGGCGAGAAAATATGATCCCGATGCGCGAAATGCGCCATATGAAGCGTATGAATGACGTTAGCGGTAACTGTTCTTCAGCCATGGAGGTAGGACAAATAGTATGTTGATGCTTGAGCGCCAAGGCGCCCAAGAAAGCTGATCGCAAGGATGCGGTTACATGTCAGCTGGCAACATCCAAAGATGAAAAGAACAAAGTTTTGCGAAGACAATAGGGGGTGGGCGAGTGTGGAACTCCTACACTATGTAAACACAAGTAGAATTTACTATGTTATTCTTCTTGATCCTGATCTTCGTTTTTCTAGGTTTTACTCCTATGCAAGCAGAAAGGTTTCCTAGATAAAGGCGAGATAACGGCTATATTTAAACTTTCTAAACTGTGTGAAACATCTGCTTTGATTACTTGATCGCAAAGCTCGCGGGACGCATTTGGCTACTATTGAGAAACTAAAGAGCAAGATTGTGTGCAATGGCCGCCACGACTATTCTGCCAGGAGAAGATTCACTACTCTAGCGCTGCTTCAAAATGGATATGGTCAGTAGTCGTATTTAACCCTTACCGTCTTCTTATCTTTTGACTTTGAAGGACAGCCATTCAAAAGAGCACGAGCTTATTCAAGTACAGTCCTGACACACACAGAGCAGAGCAGCGTAACCTGCCATTATATTTCAAATTATGAGTGAAGATATTTCATATTATGAGCTCTCAACTCAGATAAATGCAAGTTCAAGACTCTTCGTAACTCATTGAGGCCTCTGGTTTTGATCCAGAAGGTCTATGCGCCACCCTCACGCTTGGCGTACTCCTCCTCCATTCTCTCCTCATACAGGCGATCGGCCTCCTTCTCTGCCTCGGTTTTCTCGCGCGTCACTCCAGCGCCTGTGTTGGCGCCGGCACCCACAGCCGCTCCTTGTTGTGGCTGCTGAGCATGCGAGCTCTGGTCATCCTTGTCGTTGGAAGGCTTGGTGAATTGAGGAAGGCCCATGATGATAATGTTGATATGATTGAGATAACTGCTTCGTTCTTATCTCTTCTTCTTCTTCTTTTGTTTATCTTTTCTGTGCTGGATGAGGTTTTCGAATCGAGAGGGGTGAAGCTGGCGCATCCCACTCTGATATAAGTGGCAGTGTGGCGTCTGTATACGTCACTGTGGCTAAATTGCGTTGCACCGCCACATTTCTACCCAACGCCACCTTGAGACCCTCAAAGGTGATGGAAGGGAACCAACCCATCGACAGCCGTCTGATCGGCTGATTCACAATATCCACTACCCTTACTCCCTTCAGCCGTCCCCAGCATTCATATTTTCAACCCTGAGGCCTTCTCTTCATCTACGAATGCGCACATGAATCACTATGTCAATGGAATTAAGCTTTAGGACTGAAGTATTTATTTTTAATCGCCATAAGCAAGGGGCATCCTGAATTTAAGCTACAAGCATGACTGGATCATACAAAGTTTGTTTTGAACACAAATTTCAATCCATGCCCAAACCTTCCACATCAAGAAAGTCAAAAATTATCACACATAACCTAGGTGTAGGCATCAGTATCTCAAAAACTCTACCAAGGGCTGGCCAGCATATATAAGTTGGCCATGACCCCCAAGACGGGAAGCCCATAACCACCACCAGCACAACCACCTCTCTCCAAGCCACAATATCAGATCTGATGTTATCATCCCTACCACCCAGATTGGGTCAGGGCAATTGACCAAGTCCTAGGAAGAATAACAACGATCATCAGAGATAGCTCAAAGCAGCTCTGTATCAAACGCATCAAACACACAATCATCCGATCAGTCGGGGGCATCCCCACGGTAATGAAGCCGCTTGCAACAGAACAGATCCAGCAGCTTGGTCCCATAATCAAGTCTTATGCAACCAGCCGGTCTTCCCCGCCTGAGCCAGTATATCCAGGGTTCAGGTTGCTGGATTTGCGCTGTTGAAAGCGGCTTCGTTGCCGCGAGGAGTCCCCCGACTGACTGGAGGCTTGTGTGCTTGATGTGTTTTGAGACAGAGCTGCTTTGGGTTGTTTCTGGTGGTCGTTACATTAGGAGAAAAAAGGAAAGTCAAGGTCCTGTTTAATACCCCGTCGCAGAGGCCGGCTCTTGATGAACAACAGATACACTTGGCATACGATGCAGTTTCCAAAATACCAGATATTGCCTGTGGTTATGCCATGTATTTATTGACAAAGTAGGTATTTCAGCCGGGAGATGTCAAGAACGGAACGAGTGGGCGGTCTTAACAAGATCGCGACATGAAGGAGATACGCTCACTCTTCACCCAAATACATCACCCAATTAACATCCCAAGAAATTAATGTGAGAATAACTTGGCCATTTCATTTAGAGACTGTATACGTTCTGACCAGAGTCCACTCCGCAATCCAGGCTTAATAACCCCGAATCTTGACAGGGTGCGCCTCCGTGTTAAACACCCACTTGTTGGGCTGGTCCTTGTGCACCTGGACCTCCGACTCCTCAGAGAAGATGAGGTAGAAGTACTTCAACGTCTCCGTGAGGAAGAAGCTCTCCATCTTGTCGATGAACCCGCCGTTCACGACCGTCACGTCGTTGAGGCCGGCGTACCCGCTCCCCGTGCGGGTCGCCGCCGTGATGGCCTGGAACCCCTCCCAGGCGAGGTCCTGGTACTTGGTGTCGCCCGTCACGCGGTACGCGTAGTACAAACTCTCCGTCGTCTCGGGCCGGAGGATGTAGTACTTGGAGGTGGCCCAGAACCCGGCCTCGGCGTAGGCGTCCTCCTGGCCCGCGGGCGGGTTGGTGTTGAAGGTGCCGTCGACGGGGAGCTTGCTGTCTGTCCACCTGAAGCCCTCGGGGCCGATCTTGGCGGCGGTCCCGCGGTAGGTCTCGAAGTAGGACTCGGCGAGGGTGACGCCAAAGTCGATGTACTTCTGCTCGTTCAGGAGGATGCCGCCGAGGATGAAGTTTCCTCCTGCGAAGCTCGCCACTGCATGTATAGTCAGTATTAAGGGAATACCACCGTGAAAGGGGGGCCGACTTACAATGAGAAGAGCTGGGAATGGTCTGGGTTCCTTGGTACTGAGACAGGAAGGTGATGTCCTCCCGGGACGTTGGGTGTGAAGCCAGATACTCAATTGTAGAATCAGCAGCGGCAATCCATCTGTCCTTGTAGAAGGAAAACTCCTCCGGGTCGTAGAGGTACATCTTGATCAAGTACTCGTAGTAGCTGTCCGTCAACCCGGACCAGCCGCCAGAGCTGTCAATGAAGGTGCCGTCTGTCAGGTTGAGATAGGTTCCGGTCAATCCAGGGAACGGCTCGCCACTCTCCGGAGTGGGCTTCAGAATGTACGACTCAGCCTTCTGAGCAAGCTGCGCATACTCGGGGTTCCCGGTCAGATCAGAGAGCCTGGTCCACTCCAAGACGAGTGTTCCAACCTCAGCAATGTTATTCCTTGAGGAACCTGCACGCTTCGGCTCAGGGTTGAGGTAGATGGTGGGTTCTGGAACACCACTGGGGGTGTCGAAAGCGAACTTCACGCTGTCCGCAAGGCTAACTGCCTGCTTCAAGAGGTTATCAACAAGTGACTTGTCGTCGACCAGATCGCTCCATGGCGCTTGTGTGAGTAGATCGTGCGCTACTACCGTCAGCCAAATTTCCCAGACAAATAGCGGTTACAAACAAACCTGACAGGAGACCACCGAAGTATCGAATATTGGTCTCAAACAGAGAGATGGATTCGCCAGACTTAGCAGTGGTGGTGAAATCGATTGTGGGAACGAATTCCAAGATTTGGTTCACACTCTCCCTATCACCAAGAATGATTGATGCACTGAGGGAATCGAACGCTGTCACACCCCAAGCATTCCTATACAACTATTAGCAGGCTTTCGTCTCATATCTTCACGGCGGCCCTTACCGGTCGTTCTCATATCCGTTCGACACAGGGTGGAGTGTATCATTAGGGAAGGCATAATCATAATAGCCCTTCCACGCTGTCCTGTAAGCCTCCTTGACGGCTTCAACTCTCTCTCCATTAGAGCTGCCATCTCGCCGGTGGTGAAACTGAGGCCCGGCAAGTGCAGTGGATGCAAGCCCCAAGGCCGAGAGACAGAGTTGGCTCGACCACATCGTGGTGAAGTGTGCGGCTCAATGAAATGAGCAAGTTGGCCTCCTGGAGAGAAAAGATGAGGTTTCAGAGGGACTAACGCTTCTGACCCGTGGCAAGCCGAGAAACAACAGCCAGGGTATCAGAGGGTCTTTATAGTCTTCAAGACATATTGAACATCAGATGACGCCCCTTGCTCCAACTCAAGGGAGTCCGAATTGGGGGAAAGGCGATTGAACGAAAGATCCCCCATCAATGCCGTATGACGCAAAATACTGCAAGAGGGTTCCATCAGGCAGGTGTGAAGAAGAGGTAAATGTTGTAATCCCGAGGGTGCCTGGATTCGGCCCTCAGGGATCGCGGAAGTGTCACCGTGACCACAGCGATATGCATCTCAGAGTGTATATTGTCATTCAGCAAAGCTCTGAAATGAAATCAGATACAAGGATTATTTGGCCATTTTTGCTCAATTTATATTGATCGATGAGTCTCACACTACGAACCGTCCGACCATTCGTCTGCTTCAAAATGTTGTAACTGCTCCCCAGAATTCGTCCCCCTCGAAAGCTCAACTGGCCATCGATCCTCGCACGCCCGCCCAATCACACCGCAGTTAGTGAAAATCCAACCTTGCGGAAGGAAAAGCGGCGCACATCGGGCATGAAAGCGTGCGGCGGTATGGAGCAGTGTAGCGGGGGATTCTGGCTGTCAAGGTTCACCCATGTGACAAGATGCCATCGCTCCAAGTAAGCAACCTCCTCATTAGGTCATGGCAATGGGTGGTGATGTGACCCTGCAGCCGCCTGCCGATTATCGACATGATTGACTTCGTCCCCCTGCAGCCCCGAACGCTGGGCAATCAAGTGCTTGATGCGACTCCCCGCACCATCTCCCAGCTTCGGCAGCATCAAAGACAATCCTTGAAGAAGCAAGTGACATGCTCATCGGACCACCCTGATTGCAAGGTGCCATCCAATGCAACAGTTTCGATGCTGTGCAACCTGCGGTTGGTAGGCACCGGTCAAGCGCACGGCCAAAGTCAAAGCTTGCGAGCCTGTTGATCCATGCTATGAGACTTGTCCCGACTGGACAGCCATGGTCTTTATCGTGGGCTTCTACTGAAGCACTTTCTCAACCCAATCGGCACTCGTTTTGGGGCTCACAAGGACTTCTTCTGGTCAGAACCTGGAGCATGCGAGCCGATAAATCGGAGAGCAACCAGGCTATGGTCCGGCCATGAGGGGTTGGGCGCTGTCTCGGTATTTTCGCGGCGCATCAAGATTCCTTGGCTCTAAATCATTCACGAGACCACTCGGCTCCAAGGGGGTCTGCATATGTGTGTGTGGGTTCGGGCATTATGCTCAACCACTAATTGCCTTCCCTCAACTTCGCCAGAGCAGCAGCGATGCCTCCGCTCAAATGTTCTTTGTCTTGACTCTGCTCGCTCTGCTGGGGTTGCACCGAAGGACCTGGTTGAGCTGCACGGCGCGACTCCTCAATAGCTGCAGCTAGCATTGCCTCCTCCTCATCATCATCGTCATCCAGGTCGCCCATGAGCTGGAACTGACCTGCCTTGGAGGGGTTCGAAGCTCCCGGGGTGGGGTCTGCCTGCATCGCCCGGGAGATGGGAATTGCATCTTCAAGAAGTGCGTTACGAGCTGCATTCTGGGCAACGTTACCTCCAGCCGGCGGCTTGCGCACGGCTTTCTTGGTAGCCTTCCTCGCCCTAAAGGGCTCCTCGACCGCCTTGGACCATCGCTTGACCTTGGCACCTCCCCAGCCATTGAGCATGCTCAGCTGCTCCTGGTCCGCATTGATGGCGTTCTTCAAGCTCCCGAAGTTCGCGACGAGCGCAACCGCGTCCGACTTGTTGAGGTTTCTAGGCACTGTCACGAACTCGACGAGTCTGTCGGCATAGCTCGTTGCCTGCTGTCCCTTGATGGCTGTGAAACCTGCGTGCTCGTAGGACTTGTAGAGTTCGAGGTAACGGCCAGCCTCGGCGGCAGACCAGCACAGGATGATGGTGATGTTGTTCACCAGTGATGTCTTGGATAGTTCTCGCAACGAATCCTCGTGATTCGGGATGTCGACCATGACCAGTAGAATACGAAGCGTGTATTTCCCTTGGAGCTTTTGGATTCGGGTATAGACGTATTCGGGATGCAATCGGTGGTAACGAAGACTATGTAAGCTCACGGTCAGTCTCACATCATGGCATTATACGTGCAATGCCAGTCACCCGGATTTACGAACCTCAGAAAAAGTGCACATGTAGTCTGTCCCATTACATAGTCTGCCGGGATATCGCTGTACTCCCAGCCCATGGCACGGATGAAGGTCAGGATCGGATTGCCCCTCTGGCGCGGCGAGACGAGAATGTGCGACCCAGTTCCCCTCTGAGGGAGCGCCTGGGGCGTCGGCTGCACGATCTTGGATCCCGAAGAGCTCGTCGGCGGAGGTTTATCCAGTCGCTGGGGGGTTGGCTGCTGGATCTTCTGGGGCGTGGGCTGTTGCACGGCTCGCTGCGATGAACCAGCTCTTGATTGCTGCGACGACACCCGGTCCGCCGCAGCAGCCATGGCCTCCAGCAGGGAGTCGTCGGCGCCAAATTCGTCCTCCATAGCTGCTCGTTTATCGGTGTCGCCGTGCCTCCGGCGCCGTTCCAAGGTGCAATGGGTTGGAGGAAGCAGCGCCTGAAACGCGAGACGAGAGAGCGTTCACGGACAGACGTCAGATTTATTATAGACCGTTATCACTTATCAGCATCCGCCCCCACAGCTCTGGAACAACCCAAGTTCCTTCCCTCGGGAATTAATCAACCAATCTCTTGCCGATCGATGCGCTTGGTCTTTTTACTTTATGTGAAACCATTGGCTTTTCAAGTGTTTACGATACATGCACATCAATTGGGACCACAAGTGTAAAGGTGACAAAGGAAGTTCTCATAAGTCTATGCTAATTCTTGGCTGCCTATATCCGGGCGCCATATGCTAGAAAGCAGTCCGACAAAAGAAACCAAAAGCTCCAATTGACAAAAGAAAATGAAAATGCAAAAAAGTCGCTTCTCGACAAAGGAAAATGGGTATATACATAATCGCACAATTTTCCGGTCCAAAGTGTACTGAAACACTGGTAGTGGTGAAGAAGAAGAAGGGTGAGCGAGAATATCTCAAGAAGAAGAAAAGAAGAAAAGGCTGAAGAAAAGAAATCGTGGGTATGTAAAATTTGAACATGAAAAAAAGAAGAAAGAAGAAGAAGAAGAAGTAGAAGAAGTGGGACAAAAGAAAATGAAGAAAAAAAGAAGAAAAAGAAAATCGTAGAATGAGTGTCCCTGCTTGGGGAAATATCCCGTCCTGGGGACTTAATGTCTGAATGCCAGTCGTCGTCCCAGACGATTGTGGCCAATAAAGAAGAGAAGATGAGAAAGAAGATAAAAGGAAAAAGAAAAGGAAATATGAAATATTATCGCTCATCCCGTTCGTTCCCAGCTTTGCATGTAGCAGAAGATTCAACACCGCTACTGGTTGTGTTGTTCACTTTTTAGATCCAAGCACACTCGTTGTTGTCCTCTCCCATGGCGCAGCGGATGGAGTTGAGAGCTGAGAGCCAGCAGTCGAATCCAGCCTTGGCGTTGCCCATCTCCTCCTGGCTGACGCCCATGGTGGCCATGTTGTCACGGAGGCGCTCGTAGGTCTCAATCATGATGTCGACCTGCATCTTGTCGAACTTGTTGCCAGCTCGAGGGGAAGCATCGGCCAGAGAGCAGACCATGTCCTGAGCCAACATGCCGAGGCCAATTGCGGGAGAGCCGAAGGCACCACTGGGCTTGTAGTCCTGAGGAGGAGTAGCAGGAGGGGTAGGGCCGAAGGAGACAGGCTTGAAGTAGATGGCATCCTCCTTGAAAGGCATGTTGTCCTCCTGAGGGAAGGCCACGAGGGTGACATCGGACTGAGGAGAGAGGCTGCCAATGCTGAATGTCCTGGAGCTGCCTTCGGAAGCGGTGCTGCTGTCGCTGTCGCTTTGGATCTCAGCAGCCTGGGGGTTCTCGTACAGATGGTTCCATGGGTGGGCCTGGAGAGGGTGAATGCCCTGCTCGTCAATCTGCTTGAGGTTCTTGGATTCAAGGCTGGCTCCGAATCGCTGGGCACGCGACTGTCGGAGGACAGGCTCGGGCTCATACCGGGACTCGGAAGAAGTGGAAGGGGAGCCGGAGTAGGCTTGAGGCAGAAGCAGAAGGGGCTCCTCAGACTCGGTAGGAGGAGTCGTAGGAGGGGTGGGGAGCGAGGGAAGAGCCTTGCTCTCACCGCGAACCTCCATCATGTTCTGGTAGCGCTGGGCCAGCTCATCAAGGTTAGACATCTTCCTGGTAAGAGGAAGAGGCTTGGGCTCCTCAGACTGGGGCTTGATAGCATCATAAGGCCTGAGATCGTAAGGTCGTGGCCTGTAGTCTTCAGTCTGCCATGTAGGCCTCAAGTCTTCAGACCTGGACTTCTGGTGGGGAGACTTGGGAGATGCGTTGTTCTTGGAGGAGAAGCTGGGCATCTTGACCAGCATTTGAAGTTTCTTAAGATTAGGTCGGGATTCCTTGGAATCCGAAGTAAGGCCAAGACCCTGAACCTCCTGAGTAGGAGGAGAGTGAACCTGCTTCCATCGAGACTCAATCTCGAGGGGCTTGGAACCGTGGCGAGGAGGGCGGACGACGACTCCATCAGGGCCAGTGACGAGAGCATTAGACTCGAGAAAGCTCACCACTCTCGGGTCGTTGACGGGGCTGTATCTAGAAGAAAAGCTGTTTCGTCGCTGTGATCGAGCAGAGCGGGCAGCTCTGCTGGGCTCTGGAGTAGGAGTAGCAGTCTTGTCCTCGGAAGGCCTCTTAGACCACCAAGCCCTTGATCGGGGCGAGGAGGTCTTGTTGTTTGTGCGTGGCGATGTTCGGAGCATCTTGGCTGAATGTGAAAATGTGAAAAAGAAATTATAAAAGAAAAGAAGTGCAAACAAAAAGAAAAAGCTATATCAAATAGCTTGATGCAATTCTATCTAATACAAAAAGGAAATAAGGAAATGACCAAAGGAAAAAGACCAAAGGAAAAGACCAAAGGAAATTGTTCGTTACCGTTATTGCTGTTGTATGTCTGGATTATCTCATGATGTTGGGCTGGGGAAGAGGTGCCTTTATGGAAACGAAGCTGGTGTAGATGCTCTGGCCCGCTCGTTCACGATGACTCTAAAAAAAGGGCCCAGAGACCAAACCGTGCGGCCGCGGACGCTCACCTTGGGTCGAGCTATGCGTCCGGATCACCAAAACAACAGACCCAAGGCCAAGGTCAGTGTCAGAATGGGTAAAACTGGGGAGCGCACAGGCCGTAAGGCTGCTGCTGAGCTTGAGCTGCGACCCCCGACTATGCTCGGCTCGACAGCGAAATTGGGTGTGAACTGGCTTGTGGTGTTGAGAGCGCCGTCAGAAGGAGGGCCCGTTATGGAGACGTCAGACCCCGGACCCTGGCCCCAGATGCTGACTGAAGCCGACCGTCAGTGGGAGACCGTTCGTGGGCAGCCCTGTAAATGCTGCTGTAGATAGCCACAGCCCTGGATGTAAACAAACAAGGTACCTGGCTCGCCTGCAGGTACACGCTCAATCGGTAAGTATCCCAACTGCCGCTGCGCGATGGATTCTGTCAGAGCTGAGAATAGGGCGTCGACAAATGCTTCATGGATGGTGCTGTGAGAGTTTGGAAGACGGGCACAAGATTCGCGAGAAGGAAAAGGTATTATACGGCAAACAATACTGTTGATTGGCATCTAAGACAACCAACTTGATTTTTTCCCTTCTAATGGTGAGCACTGATCTCATCCTGTCTCCCTACCTAAGCATCCAAGACGAGTGCGAGCAGCTGCACACATACACGGTAATTGCTTCATGCACGCAGCCCGTAGCGAGCCAAACAGGCCTGGAAAGCACCTAGCAATCGATGCCTCCGTCCAGGCCTGCTGTTCAGTCGCCTGTAGGAGATGAAGATGGACAGCGGGCCCAAAACTAGCAGTAGCAATCTCGAATTTTGCCACATCTCGCGGAGGACAAGGGTGATCTTGGTGATGCACGGCTTTCTCAAACTCACACAGGCCAAAAAACGAGACGCATACGGAAAATACCCACTTTCCGCTCCCTAGAATAGTGAGAGCCTCGTGCTTGATCGCCCAAAGCTACGGAAAGCCGCCAGCAGCAGGGTCATCATCCAGGGCCAGCAGTGAGCAAACCGCTAGAGGACGGCGGCCAAACTGAGAAGACTTGTTGACTGGTCCCTTTTCGGTGTGTTCAGCGCACGGCCCCCGGACCCACCAGAACGGCTTGTGGGCAATGACGGCACCAAGACAAGTCTGGCTTTTTGCAACAGGACAATTAATCAATAAATTGGCTATCAGTAAGAGAATCGCAGTGAAGGCATCTTGGTAGCCTCCACGCCTGGGAAAATATTGGCTCGTCAATTGGCCTTTGGCGAACTTCTCGCTCCCAGCTGAACGGATTCATCCATAAGCCTTCTAGAAAATTACTGCCTATTGCGTTCTTGGACGCAAGGATGCTATTTTTACTATAGAAGATCCCCAGAATTCGGAGAGCCCCATTAAGTAACCAGGAAGCAAAGGACTTGCCCAATTAGATAAGCCCATGCGCATTCATCCTCAAAATATCCAATCGATAAGCAAACCGAAAATATATTCATTTTACTTTGAACATCCATGCATCGTCGACATAGCTAGCCCACATCTGCGATCGGCTCATGCCTTGCGGGCCAAGCTCTGGTGATGGGTCCTTACGCGACACCACGGAGGTTGCCCTGGTTGTGCCTGGGAATAGTTTCGCAGCTGAAGTGAAGCCGCCAAGCACCGGCATCCCAAGGCAGTTCGGCAGCCATGGATTACTTAAGGTATTGCCACTCGCCACTCACCCGCAATATCTAATTACCATTGGTACTAAGCTCCGTATGGACCAGGCAAGTGAGCATGCGACACGGAAACACTGCGATTTAGCTCGAGATGATTATTGAACTTGAATATATCTCCATGGAGATTAGGTGAAAGCAATGTTTTCTGCAGCCATCCCATGTTCTTCATTTGTGGTAATTTTCGAAAAACATGATGTCTTACATCTCACGTCGCTGCTAGCCAGGTATTTGATTTGGGTGGATCACAATATCAGGTAACGTCCAGGGCTCTTCTCGACTGGAGCACAGGCCAGAAAACACTTGCAGCTAGCGGTACCTGATATATTACCTAATATTGCGTATGAGGGGCATCAACACGTTGATGAGGGGAGAGTGGGGGAGGGGCTCTCAACCAGCACAACCAAACGATTCATCAAGCAGAACAACTGCGGTTTCTGAAATGATTCCGTAGGCCTTTTCACGTCTTGATTACAAGTGCAGTCTGAAGCCATCGCGAACGCCACATTGCGGAGATTTTAATCAAAAGGCCATTCCAGAACATCTTGAAATGCCGTCGGGATATTTCAGACCTTCTGCCCCCAGAATTTATCCGTCAAGGTCCCCATTGAAGCACCAAACAGCGCACTAACAGCGATTTATCCATCAATCAGCATCCAGATTTCTCCTATTTTCCTGAGCGTCACCCATCGTGGCTCCACTGTCCGTCGTCGGATGATGCATCGCGACTTTTGGTCTCCGAATCCGGTACGGCCAAACGCCGACGCGTGGAGATGATATATGGATGGATTTTACTTTTATATCTAGCAGGCAGCTGCTCCTCTGTTAGCAATTCAATTGCTCTCGTCCTATTTATTCGTTCCCCACGTGCTGTCCCAGCCTCGCATGTAGATTCGCATCATCTCAAGCCCACCCTCAGAGCAGAGTAATTGATCAGCCCATCTTTTGGGTTTGCTTTGTAAACCTCACCACAATGGCCGAAATCACCATCACCGGGTTCGTAACGCGCGATGTGCGGTTCCCGACGTCTCTCGACAAGACGGGATCCGACGCCATGAACGCCGCCGGCGACTACTCATCCGCATACTGCATTCTCAAGACTGATTCTGATTACACAGGGCACGGCATGGTCGGTGCTCTCTCACTCACCCACTCCCTCAACTGTTATTCCTGACATGCAATCCGTATAGACGTTCACAATCGGCCGAGGCAACGACATTGTCTGCGCCGCAATCGCCCATGTCGCCGAGCGCCTCCGCGGCAGGTCCCTCTCCGCCCTCGTCGCCAACTGGGGACAGACCTGGCGCCACCTGGTCAACGACAGCCAGCTCCGATGGATCGGCCCCGAAAAGGGCGTCATCCACCTCGCCCTGGGCGCCGTCGTCAACGCCGTGTGGGATCTCTGGGCCAAGGTCCTGGGCAAGCCCGTCTGGCGCATCGTCGCCGATATGTCCCCCGAGGAGTTTGTGCGCTGCATCGACTTCCGCTACATCACCGACGCCATCACCCCCGAGGAGGCCGTCGCCCTGCTCAAGGAGCAGGAGCCCGGCAAGGCTGCCCGGATCGAGGAGGCGCTGCAGAGCCGTGCCGTCCCCGCGTACACGACCAGTGCCGGGTGGCTGGGCTACGGGGAGGACAAGATGAAGGCCCTGCTGCAGGAGACGCTCAGCCAGGGCTACCGCCACTTCAAGCTCAAGGTGGGCAACAGCGTGGAGGATGACCGCAAGAGGCTGACGATTGCGCGTGACGTTATCGGCTATGACAAGGGCAACATCCTCATGGTGGACGCCAACCAAGTGTGGTCGGTACCGGAGGCCATCGAGCACATGAAGCAGCTCGCCGAGTTCAAGCCGTGGTTCATTGAGGAGCCAACCTCGCCAGACGACATCTTCGGTCACAAGGCCGTCCGCGACGCGCTCAAGCCATACGGAATCGGCGTGGCCACGGGAGAGATGTGCCAGAACCGTGTCATCTTCAAACAGCTGATCCAGGCCGGCGCCATCGACGTCTGCCAGATCGACGCCTGCCGAATGGGCGGTGTCAACGAGGTCCTGGCCGTGCTCCTAATCGCCAAAAAGTACAACATCCCCATCGTTCCGCACTCTGGCGGCGTGGGTCTCCCAGAGTACACACAGCACCTCAGCACCATCGACTACGTCGTGGTAAGTGGCAAACTGTCAGTGCTCGAGTACGTGGACCACCTGCACGAGCACTTCCTGCACCCGTCCGTCATCAAGGACGGTTTCTACCAGACCCCGACGGAGCCTGGCTACAGTGTGGAGATGAAGCCTGACAGTATGGACCGATATACATACCCCGGCGAGAAGGGCGTCAGCTGGTGGACGACGGACGAGGCTCAGCCCATCCTCACTGGGGAGAAAATTTAACTGGTAGTAATACGTATGAATAAAATGAAATTATGTCAACCGAGCTGCTTACTGGATCGGCAAGCTGAGACTTCTTCCCACCCTAAAATCGACGATGTAACCATCGTAGCACGGAAAAAGAGCCCTACCAGCCCTGCCTGGTCCAGACTCCAGAGTAATCACGGCTAACAAAATGACCAGGTATGTCATTTCGGAACCTGAAACATGCTTGACATGATACCTACGTGGTGGATCGCCTATACCAACTACCCTAGAGGCATCAATATCGTGATACCCTATTCTTCTTCTTCAACACCATGTTTCATTCACGATTTTTCCAAATAATGATTTTTATATTGCAGTTTATGGTCGGATTTAAAATGTGTACTAGTTTTTTCCTCATTCGCTTCGGTAAATGCTTTATGTGGTAGTTGTGAAGTGACCACAGAAAGAATTTCACCATGACCATCGAGGATTTTAACCAATAACTTCTCAACCTCGTTTTTCGTATGGTTGGATTATTCGTAAGACTCAATGGGGCATGCAGTTGGTCAACACCATTGGATAGCCTAATATTCCAAATCAAAATATTTTACTAATAGCTCGATTTTCCTTCGCCTCAACCACCATATCGGCAGTCAGTACAATGTAAACCGTATCGATACAGACGGATGCGAACCGGCGGGCAGCCACAAATAGGCCCCTGCAACAGCTCCCCGCGGGCCTAATTATAGCACCGCGACCCGCATCGAATGTTCTGAGATCGCATGAACCAGATCTCGACCTCGCTCATGCCTCTGCCCAGGACGGCTCAACCTAAAACTCCAAGATAGCATCACGGTGCCGCCAGAAATGGCCCTCGTCGATCCCCACGCCAGGCCAGTCGCATCGCTCGCCGTCTTGTTCTCCGCATGGAAGGCCTTCCTCCTGGCCATCGCGCTGGCCGCGTCCGCCGCGCCGGACTATGACACGTCCACGTCGCTCTTCTTCCACAACCTGTACTCCAGCACCACCCCTGTCCCCGTCCTCGCCCGCACGCTCACCCGTTGGGATGCCCTCTACTACGTCCATGCCGCCCGCCTGGGGGGCAAGCTCTACGAGCAGGAGTGGGCCTTCAGCACCGCGCTGTCCGCCCTCATCGCCAAGCTCCGTCACGGGCTCTGCTCGACGGTTGTCTGCCGCGACGATTCGATCGTCGAGCCTCTCCTGGGCATCCTCGTCTCTCACGTGTCGCACCTGATCAGCGTCGTGGCCCTCTACCAGCTCACGTCGCTCCTCTCCAGGGACCGTCGCTTCGCCTTTGTCGCTTCAGTGCTCCACATCGTCTCACCCGCGGGACTCTTCCTCTCCTCGCCCTACGCTGAAGCCACGTTCGCCTGCCTGTCCTTTGTGGCCAGCTGCCTTTTCGCCCTGAGCTATGCCCAGTCGGACAGCAGCGGGCGAAACGTCCACGTTCTGAGCGCGGGGGCCGTGTTCGGGCTCGCCACGAGGTTTCGGAGCAATGGCCTCGCAAACGGGGGCCTCTTCGCCGTGGAGGCTCTGCGGTGCGCGTACGCATTCCTGCAGAGCCCCTCGCTCTCCTCCCTCCTGACCATCATCTCCCCCGTGATCGGCGGCTTGCTCGTCGCCTCAGGATCCATCGTGCCTCAGGCCAGGGCATGGAGCATATACTGCAGCCCTGAGAACGGGTTCGACCCAAGGCCATGGTGCTCTAATACGATCCCTAGCATCTACAGCTTTGTCCAGGAGCATTACTGGTAAGCAAAAAACAACATCATACCCTCGGGCGGCACGCAAGCTAACAAGGGCGGGACGTAGGAACGTGGGATTCCTGAGATACTGGACGCCGAACCAGATCCCACTCTTCCTCCTTGCTGCGCCGGTCCTCTACCTCCTAATCGCATCGGGAGTCAAGCTAGTCCGCGACCCTTGGCTTGTTTCCCCCGGCGAGAATCCCCAGTTTCGCGTGTTCGTCCAGGTCCTCGCCGCCAGCCAGGCCTTTGTCGCCGTGCTCGCCATCACCTCGTACCACGTGCAGATTATCAACAGGATCTCATCGGGCTACATCCCCTGGTATTGGTGGATTGCGAGGTGCTTGATGGACAAACAAACCCAGAAGTTTGGATGGGGAGTGACCGTATTCATGGTCATGTACGCTGGCATCCAAGGCATCTTGTATGCCTCGTTTTTACCTCCTGCATAAATAGGGGCCTTTAGCTTCGCAAGATAGACATGTAAAATAAAAGTATTATAGAATGCATCAAGATTGCGACCAATAGCAGATGAAACATAACTTGGCGGAAGTATGTTATTTTACTTCTATGCTAAATGAACATTATGAGCCGAAGTGAAGTAGAATCAACTAAAAACGAGGATAAAATGGCAAACTGTATTGAACAAAAACACCACCAAACCAGATAATACGATCCCATGTATTTGAAAAAAAAAAAGGCTCTCCTGTTAACCCAAAATAATAGTTCACTATTGTATTTAACTAGTACTCATCTTCTGAGTCGCTTTGATCGTTAATACGGATCGCTCGCCAGCGTCGATCGGTCAAGTCTTGGGCGGCTGTTCCCTCGCTCTCGGGGTCAACGTAGCCCTGACCTCCTGCAATGCTAAGTGCGACAGGGAGGAAGATAAGAGCATGGATGGCGGCAAATATGACCAGAGCCAGCCATACGCGGAAGTAGTAGATCTCGAAAATCTTGGAGCGAGTGAAAGCGAGGACGCAGACACCGAGAAGCTTGGTGACTGTGATTCCGGAGAAGACTGAGCCTCCGACGTTGACAAGTGCTGTCCAGGCTCGGGCGTCACGGCCCCGCAGGCCAAAGTTGTTGCTCTCCATAACGGTTCGTGAGGGGAACATGAACGCACGGGCGATATGGGCGCAGAACTCGACGGAGATGCCGACGCAAATGATCAAGTTCACCAGTGACACCGCATTCAGCGAGACGCCAAAGAGGGCCATGGCACCCATGATGTCAATGACGCTCATGATCACAGTAAGAGTGACCACGGCGGAGGTCAGTACGGAGCCAAGAAGGATCGCAGCGACGACGAAAATAATGCCTACGACGGCGGATAGAAGTCCAGCCGTCAAGCCGACAATCTCGAGGTACTGATGGAAGAAGATATAGAATATACTGTATGGGAAGACGTCTGCCCCAGTGCGGGCCGTAATGTCTGCTGCGATGCGTCGAGCGGACGCATAAGCCTTGATGAAATCCTCCTGACTTCTCAAGGGTGTATGGGCGGTTCGGAAATGAGTGGCCTTGACACTCTTATAATCCTCACCGAGAACAACTGCCTGCCCGTATGCGGCTTGCCCGCCAAGGGGACACTCTGATGTTGTTGGGGCGGTCAAGAATTTCTCGAGGTAGCGGATGAACTCGTCACCTACGGGCATACCGTAGAGGGTTGTGTTCCACGCAGGCTCTCTATTTGCAAAACAAGTCTCTCCGTCCTCAACGCAACACTTCTCGTAAATAGGATTGAGCCACGTAAAGAAGTCATCGATCCAGCTGGCAGTTGGGGCAGAGATGTAGGAAACATCGGATCTCTGTCTCTCAAGTTCCAATGTGTTGGCGAGGGAGAGAGGCTCGCACGTTGTGAATCTGGCGCAGAGCTCTTGTTGTTCTGGACGAGAGGTAGTATCTACACCTCGGGTCACAAAGTAGACAGGGGGTCCTATCTCGAGATAGTCGTAAAGATCATTGAAATATGGGATCAGATAGGAGCCATCTGGGATGGCATCCCTCTGGTCGAGTCCAAGTTGGATAGTAGGTAGTAATGCAAGACTGGCAGCGAAGAGACCAAAGAAGAAAACAACGACACCAGTCTTGACTTTCTTGGTGAGCAGGGCTGGGGCGTATCTGTTCTTTATCACGATCTGCAAGAAGCTTTCCTCATCATAGTCAGAGGTCCTACCCGATCCAGCATATCCGTTCGATCCGTTTAGATGAATGCGGGCTTTGGTGATTTGCCACCATGGCCACAACTCACAGCGATGATCCTCCACCCGCATTTGGTTGAGAGACAGGAACGAAACAAACATTGTCATTTGCAAAAGAGCGTTGATGAACACGGCTCCGGCGGCGTAAGCGGCGAAATTTCTGACCGCAGGCATGCCAACAGCGGAACCAAGAGCGAATGCCACAGTTTCTGTCAGGGCAGAGAACAGGATTGATGGGCCCATCCGACCCAGAGCCCGGCCAACGCGCTCCTCAACCATCTGATCGGGACAGCTGACATTGACTCTCTCAAGTTCATGGACGATGAGGAAAATGTTGTCCACACCGACGGCGAGGACAATGAAGGGGATGACTTCGACGATGATCAGAGTTGCTTTAAGGCCAACCCAGGAGAAGAAACCAATAGAGGCCGCAATGGACATGAGAACAATGATGATGCCGACGAGTCCCAAAGTGACCTTTGACTCGACGAGCAACACAGCAGGGTTTCTGAAGACATGCTTGAGCGGGGTGCCCAGTGCCATGCAGGCGTATATGAACATGACAATGTAGCTAATGACGACAATTTTGGCATCAGTGTTAGTCGATTTGTTCAGCTCTTGCTCAAGGGAGATCTCAGTATTGAAAGAGAGGCGGAGACCCCTGTCAGTTGCTTCTTGCTGAACCTGGAGGAGTCGATCCCGAAGCGCGTTCTCCCAGTCGATAGCGAAAGCAAGGGCATTGCTGCCCTCGTTCGCATTGTTGACAACCCATGTCACTGTGAGAGCTCGTGCTTGAGTGATATCGTCATCAAAACCGCCAAGCACCATGCTTGGTTCGATTGGTTGACCAAAATCGGGGCGGCAATCGACAGGAGACTTGGAGCACTGTCGGAGATCATCCTCCCAGTACTTGGGGCTTAGGCCACCCTTGGCGTTGAAATAGGCGGAGACGGATTGAACCACACAAGCATCATCGAGGGGCGTGAAGCAAATATCGCTAAGATACTTGCCAAAGATGGGACTTTCGAGTCTGGAGATGCTCTTTTCGACATCCATCCACCATTTGAGAGTCTCGTAGCTAAGAACAGGACCAGGTCCAGAGGGCTGAGTGTCGTTGACAAGGAAAATCTTTTCCGCACGGTAGAAGGGGCCGAAGTTCTGGTCAAAGTACGCCTTTTCTTGTGCTGCAGGAGAGGATGGGCTGACCCAAAGGCGCGCAGGATCTTTTTCTAAATCGAACCTAAACCACCCGGCGCTGAGCAGAGCAACAAGAACCAGACTTAGGCTGATGGTGACACCGGGGAATCGGGCCGCAGCATGGCCCAGCTGGTAGAATGCCTTGTCGCAGATGTCGTTGATGCGATAACGCTTCGTCGGGCGATCGCGCATGGCTTCGGTGAGCACAGGCCCGCCTTCATCTTCATCGTCACTGTGGGACGATTCGTGTAGCAGCCTCGTTCGTTCCACCCGGCGCTTTGAGTACCGCTTCCAGGCAATATGTCCAAATACCATGGTGGTAAATACGAATAACAGAACCGAATAAACCAAGATGGACGCAAAGGAAAGGCACGGCAGCACGCCGACATGGCAGGCGCCCTTGTCCTTAACTGCGGGTAGCTCGGGACAAACCTCAGGACAGTCTACACACACACAACGATAGGCTGGATCCTCGTCATTACATTTCTTCGGCTTCATATCCTTGGGGCTCATGTCTGGCTCGGTATAGTTGGCTGGAAAGTTGATCTGGAAGGGCGAGCCCACGAGAGGCTTTTTATCTCCTAGGAACTTCAACATATCGTGATAGTTGGTGGCACCTCCTCCGATCAGATCCATGGCCTTGCTTCCGGAGCCACCAAACTTGACTTCCTTGCAACTGTCGTAGAAGCCAGTCCCATACTCTTGTGATATCAGTTGGTCGAGCTCGGTCACGAGTTGCTTGCCGTTTTTGGCAGCGGAATCGGTAATATTGATAAATGTAGACTGGTCGGGGGAGCATGTGAACGTGCAGAACATGTTGAAGAAGTTCTCCTTGCATGCCGGGCAGGATCCGATCAGTGTGTTGGGCGTACCCAGCTCAGACTTGAGAGCTCGAACCTGAGAAACAGTCAGTTAAGGGAGATTCATTGGTGCGTTCGCCTCTACAGGAGGCGCTTAAGCCCATACCTGATCCAGCTCGCAGCACACAGGGCCGGTGCTCCATTTCTCGCCGCAGAGCTCAACAAGCTCCTTTCGAAACTCCTCATCGGGATCCTTGGCCAAGCCGTTATCAACGCAGGGCAACTCTTTGCCAAAAAAGCTCTGCTTCCCACAGTGGCCGCGGAAGGCGCACCGACCCGGCTCATGTACGGGCGTTAATTTCTGGGCGCCGCTCACAGATGCCGTGAGCAGCGCCAAGGTCGTAAGAAGGGTGTTTGCGGCTCGATGACGCATTGTCGAAGTGGGTGGCCGGATGGTCGGCCGGTGACCGGGCGGGATAGATGGATGTTGAGCGCACTCGCTATGCTTCTTCTAAGTCGAAGGGCGCTGCATTGAAGGACGGTCGCGGGGGCTATAGGAGCTCTGCATCGATGGCTGATGGCAGGGCAGCTCGAGTATAAATACGGCTAGATAGAAGTCGGAGTAAGTGTGTTAGCGGTGGATGGGGAAGCTCATCATGTCATCGATAACGCAGCGCGCTAGACATGTAGGTACCCAGGTACCTTCATTACGTACTTGACAGGGGGGCTGTGAAAGTACCGCTACCAGCCTGCATGCATGACACATGTCGGCGGGCTGCCTCATCAATTTATTATGCGACATGTGTGTCTGTGAACTATTCGACGCATAAGCTATTCTAATATTCATCATATTTCCCATTGGCTGATATAGAAACAATAAAATATGTAGTTGGGCAATATAATATATCCAGCAAGTGTGCTTTATTGAGCCTGGCAGCACAGCGTCACTAACCTTGATTTCCGGGGCTGCATTAGTCCTGTACCTGTACCGCCTTGTCCGAACCTTCTTTGCCCATGGATGAATGCATGACACTTATAGTATCTGCCTGGTGGCAATGGAGTCTGTACTGAAGCCTAATGTTTGCCTTTCCGCTCGTCCTTATGTTCCCTCATGTTCGTAGAACGGGGCTGAGTTACAAGTCCGTCCCCCCCGGCAAATATACCGGGTTCCTGCGGTCCCGGTCGCACTTGAGTTGGTCACGCGTGAGAGTCTCGTGTGAGACAAACAAAAACACAGTTCAGGCAGCTCAGAGCTGAGCGAGTAAAGTTTAGGACACCCTTGCTGCCCTTCGAGAAGATGCTCGATAAATAATTCAGGTACAATTCCTGTGTATTTCAGAATCGTACAGACTGTGTGAGACCTGATGAGAGACTTCGGAATTTGTTATTCAATTGTTGTCTAAAGAGTACACACACGTGACTTCATATTCAGGCGGAGCCAGCCTGCACGGCCTGTTTGATGTCGGAGCCTGAGCCGGCCTAAGCTGCCGTCCAGTCATTCAATGTGAGAGTCATTGGTTACTGGGCTTCAGAAAGTGACTGAACAGACCATCAACATTCACGCGTTGGATATTCTAATTCTAATTGTAAAAAGGCCAGCGTTTCTGTCACATTTCTCTTTCGACTGTCATACAAATAAGTCGCTTCAGCCCCATCTTAGATCATGCTGTATTTGAAGAGATCTTCAACCAACACAAGACCTTACACCACGCTTTTATCCGACTCCCCGCGTCCTCTTGCCGGCTGGCGGACTGGCTCACACCATGCCGTGTGGAAATGACCAAGATCCTATGCAGAGTCTAGTGGTGAGTGAAGAAAGCGTTTCCCCGCTTGGCATATTGTCTCAAACGAGGGAGAGGCTCGAGCGATGCTTGAGGCCCTCCATAGTAAAACTGTGGGATCCAAGTGGATGATAGGAGCCCGAGATGATATGTGACGTGGGAAATACTCATCGAATTATTCATGTACTGATATTTCATGTGCACCGGCAGGACTCATTCAGATCCCTCTTGGATGAACCCTTGATTGTCGCAATTGCAACTGATCATGACTTAACTACGCCCGAAGGCTACCAAACAGCCAAGGAGATCCTTGACGGGCTCTCACAGTCGGCTGTCTTTGAAGAAGCGACAGGCTTCAACGCGACAGGTGTCTCTGATCTTCCCCAGAACGCCAGTTTCGACCCTGACGATGATAAGAGCACAAGTGCTACCGTCACGAGTACCAGCAACCGTGTCCCCAAGTCTCTGGGCTCAGCCTCTGAAGGCACTGAAATATCCTCCTCGTCAGCAGAACCATCCTCCGCTATGCCTAGTCTCACCAAATTCAGCAATGATAGTGATGAGACCAAGTTCAGCAACCTGCGAGGCATGTTCACGGATTTGAAGGAGATCGACATCAAGAGTGCTATGAAGAAGGCCAACGGTGACCTTCAGGTCGCTCTGGATATCTTGCTCAATATTCAGTTTCTCGAGGCGACGGGACAGCGAGAAAAGGGCATAGACGGCTTCTTTCAACCTGACGACGTTGATACCAGTACCAATACGAAGAGCAAGAAAAAACAAAGAAAAGCCAAGAAACGGGCCAATAGCATCCAGGGTGATACATCATTTTCTCCCTCAAGCGGACAGCCCGTCAGAGCTAAGAATATCAAACGTTAGCATACCTCCCCCTCTATAGTTAACTTTTCTTGATTCTTCGTACTGACATCGTACCATTCCAGATGAGGAAGAGATTGCGTACATTGCCGATAGAATCGACATGTCGTATGACCAAGTCTCTGATATCTTCTACAGAAAACGGTGCTCCAGTGGCGCAACGGTAATGGATATTCTTGACCAGTTCGTTTCGTACGGAATCCAGGCTCGCGACGCTGAGGGCAAAGCCCAAGCAAAGTCGCTGGCTGCCAAGTACCGTAACATCCCAGACCACTACCTCCTCGCCCTGGTCCAGGTGACAAGCTCCATTTCACAATTCTCCGACGACATTGCCGGCATGCTGAGCAAATACTTTGTGAAGAATCCCTGGGTCCAACGCATCGACTTGGACTACCGCCTCACACCCTTGCCAAGCAATGAAATTGAGGGCGCTGCGCCACCGGCGGCTGGGAATGCCAGAACGCTAGAGCTGAAGACACCCATGCAGCCGCTGGCCGGATCTTCATTATCGGCTGGTGCTAATCTTGTAGAGATGAACCAGAAAGCACAAGCCTCCTGGGACGCCAAGCGGGCGACTGATGCATATACTTCCCAACTCCTCCGTAAAGGTGGCTCGAATTCTCTGTATAAGCAGGCTGCAGCTGTCTATCGGGAGCGTTCGTATGAACAGGCCCAGAATTCTCATATGCTTTCATCTGCTGCCGCCGAGCTCCTGGTCCAGAAGCAAAGTACATCGACATCTATTGACTTGCATGGTGTCACTGTGCTGGACGGGGTCAGGATTGCTCGCCAGAGAGTGCAGTCCTGGTGGGATGGCCTCGGAGAATCTAGAGTTAGGAAAGCTAGGGAACAGAGCTTGACAGTCGTTACTGGTATCGGACGTCATAGTGCCGGCGGAGTATCGCGGCTTCGACAAGGTGTAGCTGCCGCTCTTTTCCAGGATGGCTGGAAGATGCGCATCGAGACCGGCCGGTTCGTGATAACCGGCAGACGGTAACGCAATGGTCTGGAATAGAAAAAAAAGCGACTTTCTTATTCTTGCTCGATGCTCAATGCCTATATATGACGGACATGAGTTACGATAAAGATCTATAGCGACTATTTGAAAAGGTGGGTGGAGTTGGATATACAAGCTCCGGGGATATATCACCACGTAACTTCTATCTAGATATTCTACAATTTACTTGCTCGAAATATAGAATTCGACGCTCTCCAGACATCGCCTTGCTTACCACTAAGCGGCCTGGCGCCTCTCCAGGTCCCGTCCAACTCTCCTCCAAGCATCCAAGCCGGTCAGGACGGAAGTAGTAAACATCGCAATACCGATAATACCAGTGTGGACTTGGACCCATCCCATGACGGAGGCGGGAATAATGAGATCGAGAACATCGGCGAGGAACTTCTGCCCGAGGAGGCTCGTCTCCTTGCTGACCTTCTTGGCCCACTCCTTGCGTTCCTCCTTGCGCTTCTCAGCAGCCTCCTTCAACAGCTTCTTCTCGTTCTCAATCTTCTCCTCCTTGCTCTCTTCCTTCTCCGAGCCACCGGACTTCTCCTTGCTGTCCTTGCCGGTACCGAAGCCCTCGCCAGTCTGGGGGACAGGAGAGTACGCCAGGATGCGCACGAGCTTGATCGCCGTGCTGATGGCGGAGGTGTAGAGACCGATGAACCAGAAGATCTGGGCGTCCACGTTGATCTTGGTGGTTTGGGCGGGGCCGAAGAACTCCAGGTGGTCGACGCCGAGCAGATCCGGCAGCGTGACGGACTCGAGCATGCCGAACGTGGCTAGCGCCGACTTGCTCGCGACGTCGAGCCACGTCTCGATGGTCTTGGTCTCAGTCAGGTAGAGGGCGTAGGAGGCATTGAACGTCTCGAGGAAGCGGAACAGGCGGAACGTGCGGCGGGTGACGTTGAGGGTTCCCTGCAGCTGCTTGAGGCAGGTCTCGGTGGCCATGTGGACCGAGACCGGGTGGGTGGGCATGAGCTGGGCGATCAGGACGGGGTAAGACGTCAGGATCATGAAAAATGACTGGAAGAGGCGGAGAAGCCTCTCAAGGCCGCCTGGAAAATGTGAGCGAGTGCATTGAGGCCTTAACTTAGAAGATACATAGGGAGCGATTGTCGTTCCATTGGATCATAGATTCACCCGGCGTTTGAGCCAAGCCGAACAAGAGCTATGCCCGTCCATAAATTCCTAATATAGTGTATGCCAAAACGTACCATTATCAACGCCGAAGGCGACGAAGTGCTCGTAGCTGCTGACCATGGTGATGGGATATGCGGTGAGGATGAGCGCGGCCCACCTTCTGGACAGACAGATAGATCAACCCGGAAACCAGGAATCAGTTCCAAAAGACGATATTGACCAAGACCGAGCCAAATCTGCAAGAGAAAAATACTCTTGCCCAATGCCTTGGGGTTGTAAGGAGCGAGCCCTTGATGAAACGAAGCATTTCTTCCATCCGACCATCGGGCTGGGTTGTGGGCCCAATTAATAAAATCCATCACTAGCAGGCCGCCAGCACACTCGCAGTTACCTGCCTTCCGGATTCACCAGACCCAAGCGGAATCACACAATAATAGGTTGGATTGGATGGCAGCTGTTGACTGGTTTTTCTCTCGTCACTTAGACACCGCTTTACCACACACGGTCACGGAGATAATACGCAGGATGGCTGAAAACTGATTTTAACAAAACGAATACACCACCGTCATTTACGGTTGACTATGCATAGGTACACAGACGCGGGCTCATGAAATTACGGCCGCCGCGTCCCCTCTAGACTAAATGAAACCCTCACGACGAGCTCCCGACTATGTTTTACTGACCAGGGGCGACCAGCTTGCCCTGCTGCCTGGTCGAGGGGTGCCATCCACCAGCCAGTGCAGCACCACCATTCTCCAGCGCGTACTTCTGCATCCTTGCCTCGAGCTCAGGTCGGAAGTGACGGATGAGACCCTGGATGGGCCAAGCGAAAGCCTCTCCCAGAGCTGTAGGAACGTCAAAGTCAGTATATAGAAGATCGGTAGAAGATAAAGGGTAGAATACGTACCACAGATGGTGTGTCCCTCAACCTGCTTGGTAAGCTCCTGGAGCATGTCGATTTCCCTCTCACGACCCTCACCCTTCTCGAATCGTTGCATGATTTGCTCAGTCCACTTGCTGCCCTCACGGCAAGGTGTGCACTGACCGCAACTCTCGTGGCGGTAGAAGTGGCTCAGCCGGCTGATGGCACGAACGACATCGGCACTCTTGTCCATGACGATGACGGCAGCAGTACCAAGACCGGACTGACTGTCCTTGAGGGCGTCGAAGTCCATGAGCTGGTCGTCGCACATATGCTTGGGAAGAATGGGTGTTGACGAGCCACCGGGAATGATGGCCTGGAGGTTATCCCAACCGCCACGGACGCCACCGCAGTGCTTCTCAATCAGCTCCCGGAGAGGGATGGACATCTCCTCCTCGACGGTGACGGGGTTGTTGACCTGGCCAGAGATACAGAAGAGCTTGGTACCCTGGTTTCGCTCACGTCCGAAGCCGGCAAACCAGCTGCCTCCTCGGCGGCAGATGGTGGGAGCCACGGCAATGGTCTCGACGTTGGCGACGGTAGAGGGGCATCCGAAGACACCAACAGCAGCAGGGAAGGGGGGCTTGAGGCGGGGCTTGCCAGGCTTGCCCTCGATAGACTCGATCAGGGAGGTTTCCTCGCCGCACACGTAGGCACCGGCACCACGGTGGATGTAAATATCGAAATCGTAACCGGAGTCGCAGGCGTTCTTGCCAATCAGGCCGTCCTTGTAGGCCTCATTGATGGCATTCTGGAGGATGGCAGCCTCATGGTAGAACTCGCCTCGGATGTAGATGTAGGCGGCGGTGGCGTTCATGGCTCGGCCAGCAACGAGGCAGCCTTCGATAAGCTTGTGGGGGTCCTTTCGCATAATCTCTCGGTCCTTGCATGTACCCGGCTCACCCTCATCAGCATTGACGACGAGGTATCGGGGCTTGTTGTCCTTGTCCCAGTCCTTGAAGTTCATGAAAGACTGCGAGGGGTACAATTAGCATGATCGCGTACTTGCCGGCTAGCTGGACTCGTTCAAAAACCTACCCATTTCAGACCTGAAGGGAAACCAGCTCCACCTCGTCCTCGGAGACCGGAAGTCTTGACCTCGTTGATGATCCAGTCGTGTCCCTTTAGAATGATTTCCTTCGTCTTATGCCAATCTCCCATCTTCTTCGCGCTCGCAAGGTCGGCGGGAAAGCGTCCGTAGAGGTTCTGGAAAATGCGATCTTGGTCCTTGAGACCTCCGTAATGCCGAACAGGATTGGCATCTTGGACGGTGGCCAGACCCCTCACAGCAGTCCGTGAGAGGTTAGCGGCCCTCGCAGGCGTCGCTCTCTTCGAAAGCATCGTGTCGTCTTGTGGTGGCGATACAATGGGGATGCACGGAGAGGTCGTGATAATGCGGCACTTCGAGTTGACCACAAGTTGGTGGATGCAAAGAAATGGCGAAAGCATGATTGGCCAATCCAAGCCTCCATTACTCATCAACTCAGTTAACCGCTACCTCCCCCCCACACAAGTTTAGCGGCGAATGGATGTATTTTTTAGCAGACAATCTGGCAGCCGGGTCTCCCAATGTTCCCTGACCTCATGATCTTCTGCGACTCTGATTGGGAAGATTGCAATGGGCGCTAACACCGGAGCTAGATGAAGCTCTCCATAACAAGCATCAGATGTTCAGTACATGAGCACCGGTTCGATAGTCTTATTTATGGCCCTTAATAAGACGCATTATTTTTCCCATACTGTAAAAGCTTGAACAATTCTTTTACTTAATGTCGTCCTCAAGCAAGCGGCAGTCAATTGCCCCTTCCAGCGGCCCCAAGCCTCCAGTCAACTTCTCGTCTTCGCTCACGATTCCAAAGGATGCATCGCTCACTGGTCACCACTCGATTACGATTCAAGCCGAGACTGTTATCCATCCCCGTGCCCGTATCGACTCAACACAAGGTAGCGTCTTGATTGGGCGTCGATGCGTTATTCAGGAGCGTGCACAACTTGGCGCACAACCGGGCGACCGCTCATCTCTCTCGTCTACGGGAGGAATCACCCTCGGTGATTATGTTATAGTGGAGGCCGGTGCAACTGTAGAGCCTGGAGGCACGGAGATATCTGAGGGCACGTTTATCCAAGTCGGAAGTACGATTGGACGTGGTGCTAAAGTTGGCAAGGTGCGTATTGGACTGGGCCTTCTCTGTGACACGGCATCTGACTCAAATCTAGAACTGTACGATTTCTCCCAAGTCTGTCGTCCGTCCCGGGGAAGTTTTGCCAGACAACACTGTCGTGTTTTCCAACGGACAACGCCGCACCGACCGACGACGCGTCATCGACGTGAGAAAAGTCGCCCTACTCAAGCAAATTAATGTTACGAGGAAGATGATACGGAGCGAGCCGGATAGATTCCGATGAATGAGATGTTTGAGAGCCTCATGGACAGTTTGGGCTGTTTATCGGCCCTTGGCATGTTCTCAATCACACTTCAGCCTCAACACCAGGCGACACATTCGCAGGTCCGTAGAAGGCCCCCGAGTCCTCCTGCTATGCGTGGCTAGCATGATACAAACCAAGCCAAAGCCTTCTCAATGCACTTGTGCTTGATTCGTAATGGCTCAGTGCAAATGGCAAATTTCAGCGATGATCAGCAGGCTGGCCGTTCTCCTCCCAGGCACCTAGCTCTCTTTACGAGCTGGCTCTTCCAGAGCGCAGACAAAGCTCAGAGATTCCGAGTATGGGCGAGATTTGTGGTAATATAGTTGATCTCGAATCACACAGAAAGATACCATCAGATAGCGAGTCTTGCGACGTGGATCAAGGTGCTTAGCAACAAAGCAGCAGGCTTCCTATCGGTTTCCCAAGAGATAAATAACACGGCGATCCGTCCCTTAGGCAGTTCCTGGATTCTCTGGGCTGCTCAATTATATCCACACTCTAGTTGCAACTTTGAATAAGACTCCTCAAGTTGGCAGTGTGAGAGCAATTGTGTAACCTTGTCCAAAGCCCACGTCATATGTGCCAACCCCTGCTATATGGATCGTGTCGACAATACCTAGGCAGAAGCCAAATGATATTATCGACGGACCGATTGGCGATCGGTTGAGGAATTGTTCACGTCCACGTAGAGTGGAGTGAGCCTGGTGTTCCGGGTGACTCAAACCCGAAACCCGAGATCCGAATCTGGGTACGGTTCCCAAGCACAGTATATATGCTGGACGCCAACTCGATTAGAATGCGCATCGCATCATAAATATACTTATCAAATATTGTACATTTCGCAATTACATCATGTCCTCTCAGTCCATTCAAACACCAAGGGCCCGTGTTCGCGAGGTCTTTCCCGGCCTTGACATGGGAAAATGGCCAACTGGCAAGCTCAATTCCTTGACAGATGTGCCTGGTGTCCTCGTTCACACCGAGTCCGTCCAGACGGACCAAAGCGTCAATACTGGGCTGACGACAATACTGTTTCGGAAAGACTGGGCCAAATATGCCTGCTTTGCTGGGGTCTTCAGTTTCAACGGCTGCGGTGAAATAACAGGAACGCACTGGATCAACGAAACTGGCCTTTTAACTTCTCCCATTGTCTTAACGGGAACAGGATCTGTTGGTGATGCCTATCGTGGCATTCTCGAGTATTGCTACCAACACTACCGTAATGAAGATGGAGATATGGGCCTGTTCCTTTTCCCTACCGTCGCGGAGACATATGATGGATATTTAAATGACCCGAGCAGGTTTGCCGTCACCCCACAGCTTGTGACTCGCGGTATAGAGAAGGCAACCGCAGACCGTGTACCTGAAGGAAACACAGGTGGCGGGACAGGAATGATCTGTCACAGATCCAAGGGTGGCACGGGCTCCAGCAGTCGTTTAGTCGAAGGGTTTGATGTCTCCGGAAACCCAACGACGTACACAGTTGGCGTTCTAGTCCAGGCCAACTACGGCTCGGCAGAAAACCTGCATATTGGTGGCATCCCGGTCGGAAAGATTATCAAAGCTCAAAATGCAGCGCCAGCTAAGACGACTGAGGAGACGCACGGTGGGCCACGGAAAGATGGCAGTATTATTATCATTGTTGCCACGGATGCTCCTCTCCTGCCAGTTCAGCTTCAGCGTCTTGCAAAGCGTGCCACGGTGGGATTAGGCAAGGTTGGCGGGTACGGAGCCAACACATCGGGAGACATCTTTCTTGCCTTCTCAACGGCGGCACATATCCCATTCCCAGAGATAAGCATGGGTCCGGCCGCACCAAAAGCGGTCAGTCCATATACGCCAAGCGCGCAGGCAGTCGAAATGTCAGATAACGATACCATCACCGGCCTATTCGAAGCTGTCGCAGACGCAACGGAGGAGGCTATCTACAACTCCATGTTTATGGCCGAGAGTATGATAGGTCAAAAATCTAGAAGCGTAGAAGCTTTGGATATATCACAGGTTAAGGAAATTGTCCAAAAGCGGCTGGACATAAACTGAGTAGAGATGCCCGGATTGTTTTGTTCCTGCAAAATTAATGAAAGATATATCTGTATAGCATGTCTAGGCTGCCAATCTAGAAGTGACATATAATACCGGGTGATAATGATCGATCGTTGGTTGCACCATTGCTGTGTTCTGATTCGCCTTCACCTCTCTAAATATCCTGTTTGGGTAAGCCACCTACAGAGAACGTATGTCAAAGGTGCTATCCGTTCATTCCACGAATTTGGGGCCCTTTAGATAGTATCGGATCCGATATTGACTTTCCGGATTTCCGATAGGCTCATGACTTGAGGAAATTTGAAAAACTGAACGAGTCTCTATCATCTGTCTTCTGGAGATGCTTGGATCGGGTAATACGGGTATAGCGGGTGAAGGCTGTAGTGCTGGTAATCCCGGTGTTAGTGCTATCTGGCATTGCGAGAATCCATGCTAGGGACTAATTAACCATGTCTAGCGTTCCCCATGGGCAATTGCTTTCTGTTACGTACGCCAATGTTGAGAGTAGCCAGTTATGAATCATGGGCTCCCATGTTGAACAAGATCGCTAGCACAGCCATCACACGACCACTCCTGTCTGTAAATGCATGATGCCAGATCCATCAACCACGCAACGATGTGGATTGGACACTGTCGGATCCGATCTGGCAGAATGGGATGGATACCACCCTTCCCCGCAGACTAATTGAGCTAGGTAGTTTAAGAACTGGGCTCCTCCTCTCTAGTCGATGTTTAGGTTGGTATCCGAGGTCGTTGTTAGGTCCACCAAAATCCGTTGTCGGATCTCATCACATCATCCATTCCGTTGTCTTTCTTTATATGTGGCTAGAGAACCACACGTTCCTCCCCTGCTCTAGGACCCCATTGCTCAGGCCAGATATAAAACATCTCTCGAATATCTGTCTTACCGAAATTCTACATAATGGTATCACCAATTAGGGCTGTGCCTAATGTAAGTGCCAGTGAGCTGCTCAATTGAGGGAATGGAAACTCATCTTCTTCCAGGCCGCCAAGCGGGCAACCAGCCTCCTCCGTACAATTCAATATACGCATCCTCCTTCATGCCCATGTCACTCAAATCCCGGATATCATCAGCAAAACCCATCATCAAACCTCCTTTCTCATGTGCAGTCACAAGGGCGTCGCTTCGCCTCACCGGCCGCGGCAGAGCAAAAGGAGTATGCCTTTGAGATGGCTGCTTCATCAATTCGCTTTGGCCCCGGCGTCACCAAGGAGGTGGGCATGGATTTCAAGAATCTGGGTGCAAAGAAGGTCGCCGTGGTCACAGACCCTACCGTGGATAAGCTGGACGCCATGAAGCAGGTCCGAGAAGGCCTCACAAGAGAAGGAATCGAATTCGAGGTGTTCAAAAATGTCCGAATTGAACCCAAGGATAGCTCGTAAGTATATGCTTTCTGGTTCAGTTGATTATGAAATGTGGCCTAATCACTTGCTACATAGCATCAAGGAGGCCATCGCATGGACTCGGCCGTACCAACCTGATGCCTTTTTGGCAGTTGGTGGCGGCTCCGTCATGGACACAGCCAAACTTATGAATCTTTACAACGCATATCCGGAGGCAGATTTCCTCGACTTCGTGAACGCTCCCTTGGGAAAGGGGCGCCCAATTGATAGGAAATTACTGCCGCTCATTGCAGTCCCGACCACGGCAGGAACAGGCAGTGAGACAACCGGCACAGCAATCTTTGATTTAGTATCGAAGAAAGCAAAGACAGGTGTTGCGCATAGAAATTTGAAACCGACTCTTGGTATTTGTGATCCTCTCAATACCAGAACCATGCCCTCGGCTGTCAAGGCAGCCTCTGGTCTTGATGTCTTGTGTCACTCTTTAGAATCCTGGACGGCGATTCCCTACTACGAGCGGACACCCAGACCGACAAACCCTCTCAACCGTCCCGCTTACCAAGGTGCAAACCCCATCTCAGACGTGTTCTCGTTTCATGCCCTCAAGGCTACTATCAAATATCTCCCACGCGCTGTCCGTGACCCCGATGATTTCGAAGCCCAGAGCGAGATGCTTCTTGCCGCAACTCTTGCCGGTGTCGGCTTTGGAAATGCGGGAGTTCACCTATGCCACGGTAAGGAATTTTGATAGAACAATCGTTTTTTTAAGCAAGCAACGAGACTGACTGACTGACTACGTAGGCATGTCTTACCCCATTTCTGGACAGAACCCAGGATACAGGCATGCAGGATACGATGTTCCCAGCCCGCTGATCCCCCATGGTGTCTCTGTCGCGGTATCGGCCCCGGCTGTGTTCCGATTCACGGCTGCTTCCAACCCTGACCGCCATCTGGCTGCTGCCGAGGCTTTTGGAGTGGATATTTCAAACGTCAAGCGTGAGAGCGCCGGTGAGGTCTTGGCAGAAGCCATCACCAAGTTCCTCGCTGAACTCGGCGACCAGCCCAGTGGACTGTCAGATCTCGGTTTTGGATCGGGCGACATCGAATCTCTCGTAGAGGGAACGATCCCCCAAGCGCGAGTTTTGATGCTGGCACCTGGATTGTCCAAGGAGTTGGAAGCCGAGAAAGACCAGCTCAGGAAATTATTTGAGAGTGCGCTGAAGCATTAGAAATACGGGGTATATAGTTTGTGCATTATGTTGGAGCATGAAAGAACATATACCTTGCTGAGGGTAGAGCTATTCTATAAAGAAAACATTCCTGGTTCGCCCTCGCAAATACTGCCCATAAGTTTTGTGTTTGGTACAATGAGTGCTCCGTTTGTACAAAAAAATCCTCGAGAATCTGGCGGAAGCTCGAGGGCGTCTTGTGTAACCTTGGAGGCGGGATGATTGGTTGCTCCTTTAGATTCACGCAGCTAAGTTTCTGCGTCTTAGAGCATGGCTCTCCTTTGCTAGCCCCTATTCTCTGGGGTACTCTGTGAGACGTCAAGTGGAACGACCCCTATCATTTTCAATTCTTTCCGCCATGCAGTGCTGGGTTGGGTTTCTTCACACTGCTAGCTCATACTACAGGGGCGATCGCCTGAACTATTAACGGCTGGACAGCCCGTGACGCCACAGTGAAGCCAAATGCTTGCGCTGACGTTGACGGGAGCTGCCAGTCCCACTGTGGCTACCGGCCAGGATGCTCTAATTAGGAGGATGCTACGCCACAGGAGGCTTGGCCAGATTGCCAACCACTCCACGTCTCCCCAAGCTATGAACGGGCTGTGGGATTCCTTCCACCTCGCCCGAGCGATCTCCAAGCAGTAACGGCACGAATCAACGCGGAGATCATCTGTGCTTGCGCACAATGCCCCCAAGGCCGTTCATAACCCACTCGTCCTCTCCTTAATGAACGGCCCACGCCACGCAAATGGAGCGCACAAACGGGAACGGCTTTGGTCCTGCCACCCCAGGCACCAGGGAGAAGTTCGAAGATGAGAAGCGTCGCATCATCGAGAGTTGCTTTAGCAAGAGGGAGCCGGATGGGACGCGTATGTCTTGACCGTCGAGGCTCGACTGGCCATCTCCGGGAGCTCTGTGCCAGCTCTTTTTCTCGTCTATGAAGCTAACATCTAAGCCAGTCCAGGAGACGTACATCACCCACCTACGCATTACCGAATTCTCGACACACCCTGCGACGCCGCCGCCTCCGCAAGCTCGAACTCCCGATTCCCAAAAACCTCGAGCCATCATCATCGCAGTTCGGAAATCGGGCCGCGTCCGCATGCACAAGTCTAAAGAAAACCCGAATGGAACCTTCTCCATTGGCAAGACCTGGAACTTGGACGACCTCACGCACATCGAGTCCTTTACCAGCCCGCAAGCCAACCCTCAGCACCGAGAATGGGCTGGCGATACCGGGTTCATAGTCACCTTGGTGAAGCCTTATTTTTGGATGGCGCAGTCGGATAAAGAGAAGAAGTTCTTCATCGCCAGCATGATCAAGATTTATGGCAAATATACGGGCGGTTTGGTTCCCGAGCTCTTGGGTTTCGACCCAAGAGAGCTGGAGCAAGTCATGGGAGCGGGCAAGCGGCCCCCCAACATCGGCGGCCATTATCACAACGGACCACCGCCAATGAGGCCACCACCAGGGTCCGCGATGCCACCACCACAGGGCATGTCTTCTCCGCCATCAATACCCGGTCACCCCAACTTCCCACCGCATATGCCTGGCGCTCACGATGGCCCGCCTAGAACGACTAGAACCCCTCCAATCCGACAGCAACCGCCGAGTGGCACCAATTCCCCTGCCGGCAGCTTCGATTCGTCGGCCTCGAGAGACCGGGATAGGACCAACCTGCGAAAAGTCGTCCAGAATAGCAAGAGTCAAGAGTCCATGTCGATGGCGGTTCGAAACGGTCCACCAGGTCCTCAAGCTGAGCCGCCGACCCAACCACTGCCACAGATACCGAACCAACATGCCCGGCCGCCTAGCCGAGCGAGAGAGGAGCACGGCCAATTTCGATCTTCGAGTCGTCCGAGGGATGGGCAACCCTCGCACCCTCCTACTTCTTTTACACCGCCAGTGGGACGCAGCGGTGATGATCAATTTCGCCCACCAAGCCGGCCGTCGAGTCGGCCGAGGGAGGATCAGGCATATCAAAGCTCAATACCTCCTCTCATGCGACCGCCCAGTAGAGCGAGGGATGGTCAAACTTCGCCTAGACCAGCTAGTCGTTCGAGAGACGACCAGACACCCCCCATCCCACCTCCACTCATGCGACCACCGAGCAGAGCTGCCCGAGATGAGCAAGCTGCGCAGAACATTCCCTCGCCGAGTCGAGGACTGGGGGATCAAACACCCCCTGAGAGGAAGCGCCCTCCCATGGATCCAACACGGCCACAAGATAGAGACTTGGTGCCGGCACCTCTCATTCCTGGTACCGGTGGCCCTGGCAAGAAGGATCCCGTCATGCCGCCACCACGAAGTGCAGAACGAGCTGGACGCAAAAACTCTACCAGCCAAGGTCCCAACCATTCTCCCGCCCTTAGTCCCTCTCTGGGAGCAGATCCTACTCCCACTGTACCTATACAAAGTCCCGAGGTTCCCAAACCAGATTCTCCTGCGGGTGGACTGAACAGTCTCCCGATTCCTTCTCCGACCGTTAGCATCCCCTTGCCAGTAACGGGCAAAGACGGACTATCCTTGCAAACCGATCTTGAACAGCCACCCAAGGTGTCACCCGTATCAGCGGCTGCACCAACGCCGGGAACTCAGGAAGCAACATCGGCCAAGGATGATGAAACTACCGCCAAGGACGAAAGCAAGGCAGAGGAGGAGGAGAGGCCCGGTCTCGGGCCTATGATCAAGTCTCCGAAGACGAAGGAGCAGGTTGCGGGAGCATTTTGGAAGGCTGCAGCGGCAGCGGCAGCATTTAAACCTCGTCGAGGAGGTGCCGGAGAGCGACTACGACTGGCTGCCCAGAAAGTTACCGACGGCCCAGACGGGATTACGGATGTGGTTCCAGCACCCCCCAAGCCAGACACACCCAAAGAAGACTCTGCCCCTCCAACCCCAGATGTTCCGGCGCGTGCTCCTCAGCGTCGCTCCAACATTCCCGACGTCAAGGTTGCGGTGCCGACCATCAATCGCCCATTGAGTGGCCAAGGCGCGTCATCTATTATCAAGGAGGCTCCCGAGTCTTTCCCCAAGGAACCGGCTAGACCAGTCCGAGCTGTAGGGAAGGATACTGAATATTTGCAGAGTCTTGGTGTTGACCACCGCATTCTCGATAATAGAAGCGAAGGATTTGGTCGATGGCTTGACCATTTTGGCTGGATCCCAGGTGAACAAATGCAGTCTGGGAACGTCGATGACATGAGAGCCGACCTCGAACGAGAGTTGAACAAGACACAAGCCGGTGGCTGGCTAGCGCGCTTCCAAGAAGAAGATGACAAGGTAGACGCTATCAAGCTGGGAATCGATGTCGCCATCTTGGAATGCGAGGAGTTGGACAATCTTTTAACGTTGTACTCCGTTGAGCTTTCGGTGAGTATTCAATGGCCTCTCTCTATTGGAATTTTCTAACTGTCGCAGACGTTGTCCGAAGATATTGCCTATATTGAAGCACAAGGCCAAGGTCTTCAAGTCCAAGCCGCAAACCAAAAACTGCTAAAACAGGAACTCGAGTCTCTTCTTGAGACTTGTGCAATCACGAGCACTGATCTACAAGTGCTTCGTACGGCACCCCTAGACAATATTCAAGGCCTTTCTGAAGTTGAAAATTCCTTAGTTGTCCTCTTCAAGGCTATGATCAAGATTGATCCCAGCCTTGGAGGGCGCGATCCAGGAAAGGCCGGTGATTCGTCAGTTGATGACCAAGCCTTGGGACTTGATAGTGACTACGGTAACATGAGGATTGTTCAAGAAAAGAAGGAAATGTACGTGCAAGAGAGCTCGCAGTTCATGCAGCACCTCATCGGCTTCATGCCACAACAGTTCGAACTGGCACTTGCAGAGACGAAACGTGCTCTCAGTGGAGCCCTAGCAAAGAGAGGTGACTCGAGCCACCACGAAACTGGTCGAGATGTCCTGTGGAAGTACAGCCCCTTGATGCTTTATGCCCGAGACGTCGATTTGAAGAGCTGGAGTCACATGCTTGGCATCTATCAAGAGAAGAGCCATCCTGTGTATAAGAACGAATTCCAGAGTATCATGATGAGCTGCCGCAAGAACGCCCGCAAGATGACGAGTGAGGAACAAGTATGGCTCTTCACCACTCAAATAGAAAAGCAGCAGGAGAACGTGGCGACAGCGGCTAGAAAGATGACGGTGAAGCGAAGTCAGACGCTCGCCCGCGCTCTGCGATCTCCCCTCTCCGAGGGTAAGGCTGATCGCCAAAAGGCAGGGTCCGGGACCCTCCCATGGGAAGTATTCAGTACTGTTTTGGACGAGTTGCTCCCTCTGGTTGAAATGGAACAAAACTTCATCATCGATTTCTTCCACGCTACAACGCTCGAACAGACAGACTTCCCAGACGCGGTTGCTTCTAGCACGCCCCAGGATCGTCGTGGCGGTGATCTCAAGAAACATCGTATCATGGAGCCTGACCGTGATCTCGCTAGGCGTGTCACACGGTCCATGGAGACCATTTTTTCATTCTTGGATCATGATCTGCAAAAGCTCATGGAATGGGTCATTGCGCAGGATCCTTTGTAAGTCTTTCATCTTTCTTCGTAATTCTGGAGCACATCGACTGACAATTTTGATAGGCAAGGAGTGGGCATGTTTGTGGCGGTTGAGAAGAAGATGGCAGATATTAGCCAAACGAACCAAGACTTTATCAACACAATTTTCCAAAAACAGCACGGTCTGCTTGGTGGTCGGTTCAGGAAATTTGTGGATGATCAAATCCGAGCCATTGAAGAGACAAAGGTCAAGATCCACAAGCGCAAGGGAGTTATTCATTTTATTCGCGTGTTCCCTGCTTTCTCTACTGTGGTTGAGAATATGCTAGTTGGGATTGATCCCAATCTCCCTATCCGGCGGACAGTGGACCGAGAGTACGACCGAATGCTCAAGTCCATGTTTGACTCCCTTCTCGTCATTGCTCGCGAGAACCCGGCAGTGGGCGTCACGAGTGGTGGAGGAGACCCTGAGGACAAGGAGGCTCTGAACTTCCACATTCTTCTCATTGAGAACATGAACCATTTCGTTGAGGAGACGGACACACGGGGACTAGATGTTCTCGAAATTTGGAAGAACAATGCAAGCAGGGAATACCACGAACATATGGGCCTGTACCTCAATGCAGTGATGCGCAGGCCGCTCGGCAAGCTCCTTGATCACTTGGAGAACATTGAGGCCCAGCTGCAATCCGGCAAGGCAGCAACTCTGATCGCGGCCCAGCCTTCAAACACCAAAACTATTTTTAACAAGATCCTCGGCAACTACGACTCCAAGGAGGTACGCAAGGGCATCGAAGCGCTGCGGAAGCGAGTGGAAAAGCACTTTGGCGATGCAGACGATCCGGCGCTGAGCCGCGACCTTGTCGCGAACGTGATTCGCGAGAGCGAAAAGTTCTACGTGGATGTTGAGTCGAGAATCGGACGGATTATCACCGATGTGTATGAGGGCGATGTGCTGTTCGAGTGGCCCAGGGCGGATGTCAAGGCTGCTTTCAAGTGATGTTAAAACTATACCAACGTCTCCAGTAGGGTTGGGAAGGAGTAGGAACGGTGTTGTGGGAAGTTTGTCTTTCTTTTCTTGGATTCACGCGACCATGGTTGTATTGTTATGGAGTCTAATGATGCGCTGTTCGAAGTAGTGGCGTGTTTTTGAATGGATTAATACGAGCATACATAGGACGGATGGAGGCAACGAAGACACTGTTTTATTATCGCCGACCAGAGACTTGGAACTACAACTTGCTTTATGCTTGTGACTATGAAGAACGACGTGCTGCCCACCAACTCTTACACTCAAGTTCACAAGTAGCTGAAATAAAATAGAGTATACCAGAGCTCTTTTTATATAAGCTGGAGACCTTATTCTGTTATTTTTGATATTTTGAATAATAATAGTTAAATAATATATTATTATATATTATTTAGATTGATATTGTCGTAATAACCGGGTTTCTTATTTTGATATTGTGTCGAATTCTGAGGCTGTATGGAGGCCCAGGTGTGCCGTTTTTTTTTTTATTTCAGCCACTTGGTTCCCTTGCTTTAACCCACAGCACACCACATCACATCGTCCCTCCAGGATTGCCCATCCCCCAGTGCATGGCTGCCCAGCCAAACGGATACAGGCCGCCTCCGCCCATGTTGGGGGGCATAGGCCTGGCAAACCCAGGCGGTAGCCATAACCCTGTGAGATCGTCCGGCATGTTCCAGGATGCCATGGAGAGCTGATCGGACGGCAACGACATCGGCGCGGCCATATCAAGCGGGTTCGACTCTCCAGAGCTGAGCACACTCTCCCTCGTAGCCGGGTCAGCAGGCAATGTCGTGGGCACCGGCGCGGCGGAGGAGGACGACGACGAACGCGCCAGCCTGTCCTTGACCAGCGTGACGATCCGGGGCATCGCGAGCGCCTCCTCCGGCTCCCCCTTGTCCGCGACCCGCGCCTCCCACGCCTGGAGGACGAGCCGGGCCTGGATGCGGAACAGCGGGGAGTCGGGGAGATCTGCTGCGCACCCCGCGTCCCTGCGCTCGAGCCCGAAGACGTCGCCCTGGTGGATCATCCTAGCCTCGTAGTTGCTGCCGAGGGCGGCCCACGCCGCCTCAGCGTGCCTGCTGGAGGGCCGCCTCCTGAGGTCCTGGAAGAGCTGGATGTACGCGGGGAAGGGGAAGTAGTACTGGTGGAGCCAGAGGAACCCCCTCACCAAGGGGGAGACGAGGAGGTTGGTGTCGCACTGGAGCATGCTCAGGGCGTGGGCGTTTGCGGCGTCGCGCTGGGCGTCGGTCGGCGGCTGGTCGCTGCCCATCAGGGCGCCGTACTGCTCGAGCATGCGGTACTTTGCGATGAAGAAGCGCGCCACCCAGGCGGTCATGAAGTGCAGGGGGTTCAGGGGGTCGCAGTGGCGGAGGTACCTGGTCTCGATCAGGTCCTCGAGCGTCGTCACCTCGCCGCTCGCGGGCGGGGGCTGGCCGCCGTGGATGTCGGCGGCGATGGCCTTGAGGCGCGGGTTGTGGAAGTCGAGGAAGAAGCCGGCGTTGCGGATGAAGTTGGCGATGGCGCTGCGGACGACGACGAAGAGGGACTCGGTGGGCATGTCCCGGGAGCCGAGCGGCTGCTTGAGCTCGGCGTGGAGGTCCGAGTCGTGGAGGTTGAGGGGGATCTCGCAGTCCCAAACGGGGGACAGCGATCCGGCGTCGAACTGGGACATCTCGCCGATGCGCATGTCGAAGAGCACGATGGCCCACCACAGCCTGCGCCGGAGCTCGGCCTCGAGGACGTCGCACTTGGCGTTGGCCCATTCGTTGTGGATGCCTATCCGGCGGGCGATGCGGACGGTGATGGCGAGGAGTGACGAGAGAGTAGTAGGATCGGTCGTGGGCCGGATAGAGCACTAGAAACAGTAGAATGAGCCCTCTGCATGGTCGTATTAGAAATGGCGGACATGTTATACATACCACGTAGAAGAACAGAGCTGTCAAACAAGTCCTCTTACCAGTGCGCAGAAACTCACAGTTCATCAAAGCCTGCTGACAGCCAAACTGGCATCTCGTCAGGAGGTCGCTCTTTGATGAGCCGAACTTGCTAATGCATTCATCGTCTGACAGACTCGTGGCCGCGATGCAATAGATCCCAAACATGAGCGCCTCGAGATCCGGTTTGATATTGGCCAGATTGCTGACTGCCTCGATTATCACACCCTGGAGGCTTGGAGCATGGGTAACTCTGAGAAGCGGATTCACATTTTCGAGATATATATGCCAGAGGTGGAAAATGTGCGTTGGGTCTGGATGGAGGCCAGCCAAGTCGAGCCTGGCATTTTCCCGTGGACCAAAGAGGATATTGGAGTGAGCTCGGGTGAAGTCCTCCCAGGCCATTTTTTCCACAGCTTCACGTAGAGTGTCTTCTCCTATGCATGACTGCGAAGGGCCATCATCGTTTTCCAAATACTGGTACTGGTGATAGATAATTAATACGTCGTTGGTTCAGATGGCTATCTTGTCACCTATCGGAAGAGCATTGGTGATCTTACCCAATTTCTCATTGCCTGCCACATGCCCCTGAAGATTGAGAATTCATGTGAGAACATGACAGTATAAGTATGGATTGGAGGAGACTTCAGTGCAGCCAGTCTTACCTAGGTTGAGTACCGGTAGTTGGCGCCGGAGATGAACTACCGGACGATGCTTGCGCCTCGGTGTCCGCCAAACGCTCAAGCTCATGATCCGAGCCGGCATGATCCTTGTGCAGAGGCTCGAATTTGATCTGGTTCTCGCGGAGGAGATGCTCGTACTTTCGCAGGCGCAGCAGCAGCTCCCGCTCCGGGAAGCGACGCCGACGAGGCCCGAGTGAGCCGGGTACGCAGTTGGCTCTCAGGCGAATGCAGTTTGTGCAGGGAGACTTGCGGTCGCATCTAACCTTGCGTTTTTGGCACAGAACGCAGGCGAGAACCCTCTGCTCTTGGTGTTTGCCCTCCGAGAGGGAGCCTGACTTGCTCCTTGGCATTGCTTCTCCTCCGCCTCAGACACGGCGCCGGGAGACTCCACACTTCGGGGCGAGTTGCCGGAGAGAGAGTATCAGTTAAAAAGCGCGAGAAGAAAAGTAAGTTGGTTAGCGAGATGGAATGAGTCACGGCCAGATCAATTCAAATTGTAATCTAGACCCGCCAAGTTGGAGCATCGTCGAAAGCCGGATCTTGCTGCGCTGTTGCTATATGTAGGAATCTCAATGGGATTGACCAGGCGCCGACATGACCAAAGCTCATTATATCGGGCGGTTCTAACTTCCGAGACTAGGCCAATACCCAGCCAGGCCATACAGCCTCGGATTTCGACACAATATCAAAATAATCAACCCATTTATTAATACAATATCAAGCTAAATAATATAGAACAACTTATTATTTTACTATTATTATTTGAAATATCATTAATAAGAGAACAAGGTCTCTAGCTCACGAAAAGAGCTCTGGTGTGCCATGTTTTATCTCAGCCGCTTGCCAGTCCATCTCGTCGGAACTTAGATCCACCCGAATCAACACACAACCCTCAGCCATCAAGATCAGTCTATTACACAAGCGCTCACTAGTGAATGCACGGCAGTCAGCACTGGAATTGTCTTGCATTGAATTCATCATGTGGTGAGATCGGACGGCGGACTCCCAGAAAGTCCACTGAAGCTCCGTCTCATTTTCCGTTGAGCTCTCTTCCCCAACGAGAAAAACAATACTATATAAGACGATAGGAGTTCCTGCTCGAGGTGGCATCTCGACAGATTCGCCAAGATGCTCAAATCATCATTCAGCGTTGTTGCAAGACGCTCTGCTTCCCAGCTCACACGCCCCATCATCAGTTCCCAGTTCCACTCAGCCCGGATTCTCCAGCGAAATAACATGGTCCCATCCGTCGCTATAGTAGGAGGTGGACCCTGTGGCTTGACCCTGGCACGATTGCTGGAGGTCAAAGGTGTGGACTATGTCGTCTATGAGCGTGACGAATCGTCCAGCATCTCAGATCGGGGCGGTGGCTCGCTCGATATCCACCCAAAGACGGGGCAGCTGGCACTCCGAGAAGCAAAACTTCACGACGCATTCTTGAGACATGCCAGATATGAGGACGACAAGTTTGACCTCTTTGATCCTCAGGGTAAACGCTGGGGTGAGGTTGGTGGCGAGAAGGAAGAGGGCGACGTCATCCCGACGGAGGAAGAACGGCCAGAAATTGACCGTCTGGCACTGCGGCAGATCTCGCTAGACTCCATCCCAAAGGAAAAGATCCAATGGGGGCACGGGCTCAAGAGAGCAGTCTTTGATGCCGATGGTAGACCTGTCCTTGAGTTTGCCAACGGTACTACGGAATCTGGATTCAACCTCGTGGTTGGTGCTGACGGAGCCTGGAGCAAAATACGCCCCTTGGTATGTATAGACTGAGAATTCTCCCGCTGATTTAGTTTGTTAGAGTGTATGCTTATTCTGTTGCTTATTTCCCAGATCACCGAGGCCAAGCCCAAGTATTCAGGTAAACTCTATATTGAGACGAGGATACGACAGGGAAATCCAATCCACGATTACATGGCCACCAAGTTTGGCCCCGGGTCTAGTTCCGTCTTCGATGGGCCTAAATCTATCGTTATCCAACGGCAAGGCGACCATACCTACCGAATTTACTACGGAGCCGCTGTCCCAGAAGACTTTACCCAGACCACAGCCGATTTGTCGAACGCGGAGTCGACGCGAGCTCTACTTCTATCGGAAGACTTCTTTGGCGGATACGCGGAGGAGTTCAAAGATTTGATTCGGCACTCAGACAATTTCCGGGGATGGCCGCTCTATGGTCTACCAGTTGAGGCCATGGGTTGGAAGTCTGTGCCTGGTGTGACGTTGGTTGGAGACGCTGCTCACGTCACGATTCCTTCAGGCGAGGGTGTCAACGTGGCCATGAACGATGCGTTGGTCTTGGCGAACAAGCTGGAGCAGCATGGCACGGCGCAAGGCCGGGATCGTGCGGTCCGTGAATACGAGGAGGACATGTTCTTGCGCGGTAAGGAGACGATTGAGGAGAGTTGGAAGTTGTGGGAGCTGCTGTCTCATCCTGGTGGACCAAAAGCCATTCTGGAAATCTTCCTGCAGAGTGGAGCTGGAAAGGAATGAGTAGATGATGAAAAGAAACTAGATTTAGCCACTGTTTTCTATTTGTGTCATGGCATTCTCACTAGAACATGTACTAATATCGGCAACGAGGGAAGAGCTACAAGCGCATTTCTGAAACACTCACTTCAAATTGTCTACTCTGAAAATCCCAAATGGGAGGCTATGTAATCATAAATTATATCTTTTTATTCTCTCCCAGAATATGTATGCATCAGGAGACAGTTCCTTCCACCGTGTGGCTCTAATGTCCTTTTCTTCCATTAATGAATTCCGAACACCTCCACCACCTTCCCCCCAAACGTATATCAGCGACAGGAACGCCGTCTGTTATTCCAATGGGCTAATGACACAAGAATTCCATCCCAATCGAATCGTTCCAAGGCTAATGGCTCCTTCGTTCGTTTCTATATTCACCACCACCATAGTGATATTATCAGCCTAGTTGCACTTGATCCTTCCAGGGCCGATGGATCCTTCCTCCATTTCTATGGTCACTCCTACCGTAATAATCACACCGAGCTTGGTCTTTCCAGGGCTGATAGCTCCTTCCAATAGTAGTTTAGGAGTACCTAAGAGAAACCTAGTTTTCTCTGGCCTTGCAGCATCATTACTTTCACATTACTTGTTTACTCATGATACCTACATAACGATGAATCAAGATTTCTTTCCCTTTATTCCATCCTTCACGTACCTATAGAGAAATTGCCAAACAGAAGCAAGTTGGTTCAGCTGCGTCGCGGTACCTTAGACAAACAATCTTAGTATCGGCTGGAAGGTAATGAATATATTCTACAATTAAAATCCATCTGACAGAAACAGGTCTGGCCACTTGGTCTAGTGGTATGATTCTCCCTTTGGGATTCACCTGTATGGGAGAGGTCCTGGGTTCAATTCCCAGAGTGGCCCTATTTTTTTCTCCGCCTTCTTTTGGACCTTGCTGTCCGGGCACCTCTTTGACTGGCTCAACCACCCTGCCCCTCGTGTCGGTACCTACGATTGTCGTGAACTTGATCACGTTGTCTTCCGTCGCGACAAGCGATGGCTATGAACCTGGTCCGGATGTGATTCGTCAAGATGAGGGTTCGCTGTGTATCGACCGGGCGGTCTCTCATTAAGACGAATGATCGTTACTTTTTTCTGGTTAGGCATAGCTGAAGGAGAGAAGGTGTTGGCCGACCCCTTCAGGGATTGGGCGCAGCTTTCAGGTTTGTGTATTTAGATAAGGGTAGGTTACTCCATATCGATACCTAGTTATTAGCTACTGGATTTTGAAATAATTGGCAACTGGTTAATAACAATAGTCCTCGGGTTGTCCCGTGTTCGATAATACTATTGTGAGCTTACAAGGAAGGTGTTTCGTGGTGTGGCGAGGAAGTATGCTTTGTATGCGTATTTTTATGACCCTTACGAATACAATCAATAGCTGCAGCCTCGAGGAGCCTCGACCAGGAAATTTGATCCTATCTGCCGTAATACTCGTGAATACGAGCAACAGCCGTAGCCTCGGGCAGGTAAGTCAGACCCCTCCTTGATCTCGCTGGTCGCGATCTAGGTGAATGCGATCAACAGCCGCAGCCTCGAACAGCCACAAGCAGGGAGGTCTGATCCTATCCACCTCAGCCCTCATGAATGCAATCAACAGCCATAAGTACAGGCAGGTAAGTCGGACCCTTCCTTGTCGCCTCGAGCAGGTAGGAACACGATCAACAAATGTAACCTCGGGCTGCATCGAGCAGATAAATCTGATCCTATCCACGCTGACTCTCGCGGACAATATCAACAGCTTCAGCCTTATGTATGTACTCTCACAACCTACTTCGAGGGCGAGCTTGGAATCAGCCGACAAAGTTCCAAGTTCTGGCGAACGTGAACCTCAAAGCATCCCGACAGCGCGGTGCAATTGTTGGCTGAAGAAATGCAGCTCCGCAAAGACGACAGACCTCGATCGAGGGTGGCGATCAGGGTGTAATAAGAGGCCAAGGGAATCATTCGCTCCCCTTCATGCAAACCGCTCGTCATCTTGCCATAACAATCAAGGTACCCCGCAATGAGAGAAGGCTTCGTAATACTCCATAACTATTCCCGGCCAGGGAGGGGTGTGAGTGGCACGACTTACAGATTTAGCTGCCGAGGAATGCCGCACGAAAGTCTCTTTTCTTACACACAAGCGACACCATTTTCACCGGCTAAGCTCGGTGTGATATCATCCATATACCAAGATTGAGGAAACAGCGCCAGTCCAGGGCATGGGGGGGCAAGGCTTAAGAGTGTCTCAAATTTCCTTCCTCCTGCACTTGCAGCCAGCGCAGAGGAAGTCCCTCATCATCGTCTGCTCCTCCGACAAGGGTCTTTGCGGTGGTATTCACTCCGGTCTGAGTTGCCGCACTCATACTCATCGCCGAGGAGGTGACTACGACCTGGTTGGCAGGCGATTGAGTGAATGCGTAAGGAGCTGGTGGTGGCAGATAAGACATGATTCATCTCACACGTTGTTTAGATTCCTCCACCTCCCCCAGCTCTGCCATGTAGTATGTGCAGGGCTTGCGGAGTCCTCGTCCATCAGTGAAGCAAAAATGATCAATTGAAGCCTCGGGCATGTCGATCTGCTGGGTGGCCGTGTAGGCAGTGGTGGCGAGGGGCAGGAGGGTGTTGTCCGCGAGGCCGACGTCCTCGGAGGCAAACAGCCCCTAAAGCCCAAACAATTGCGAAGATGCCGGCATCGAAATCCTCCGCAACAATCGGGACAGACATATTTGTATTCTACCTGCGGTTACTCACGTCTGCAATGCAATCCCACATTTCTACCAAGGAAACGTCACCAACAGGCCGCTGCCAGCTTCCCTCGCACTCGTCCCACCTCAGCGTCAACTGTGGGACATGATCTTGCCTGCGGATATCGAGATTTCTCGTGCTGCAGCAGCTCGCCGAGGTCAAGCTGCGAGAAACGCTCAATGGCGATTCCCAGAGCCCCAAAACCAAGCCGGTACGAATCCAGGCTAGGAATGTGCGCTCCGAGGCCAAATGGTCCCGGGCTACTGAGCCAGTCTTTTTGTAGAGGGTGGATCTCTCCGTCATGCAGCGATGGGGCGTGTGAATTGACAAAACCCTACTCACATTGTCTCTGACAGTCGACGCTCCAGTCAATGATTCGTGGCTGGGACGAACGTGTTTGGTCCAGCGAGTGGAAGTGGGACGTGAGACAGATACGCCAAGGCAAACGAGCTCCGCAAATGCCTAGTCCTGTCGAACCGACGCTGCAACAAGCTCGAAGCGCAGCCTCCGACCCAGGGGTCGATGGAGGTCAGTAAGTTGAGGTGGTCATACTGGAACAGCACGCCGGGGGAATTTATAATCGAGGATCTGGACAATGCGTCCGTGTGTCTCGTCAAGAACGCCTTCGGGGTTGAATTGCCAAGGATATATAAGACGCGCCAGCATCCCAATATGAAAAAGTTATTAGACAGTCACCTACTAGGGAAAAAGACACAATTCTCGCCGGAGCAGCTATTTCGCTTCCTTGCGACGGCCTCCTGGTTTTTTTTAATTCCTTTCTATTTCTTCCCACTTTTTTTTTTCTCCGGCATGTCGGGAGGAGATAGAGTGAGGAGGAACAGATATTTAAGTCAGGATGGAATATTCTTCTCTCCCCAATCACAATCTTATTCTTGCTCATCTTGATTTTCTTGTTTCTTCTATCCTTCATACAAGAGATATTGATATAGTGACATAATACATTAAATGATACCATAGAGACGAATGTGTGGCATTGCCAGTAACTAGACATACATCTACCTACTTGCCGATTGCAAAGTAAGATTTAGGGGCTTGGAGAGCAATGTAACAGGAGAGAGATTGCAGGTATTTAAAGGACAGTAGGGGGTGATTGTCTACCGGCTTGGGGCCGTGTAAGAGATATGTATGGTAGGGGATGTGATGTGGAATCCTTGATCCCTACGATAGCTTGCCAGCATCTTGTATGATATCCTCAACAGTTACTCTTACTGTCCTACTAAACCATGCTCGGCCATAACCGTGCAAATTTGAGAGGAAGCATCGAGTAAATTTTCCCTCTCTCCCTACCAAATTTCCACGCTGCCATACCAAATGCAGTTCGATAGCGCGAGGATCGAGCATCAACAACCCCATCTTTGAGGGAGCTCGAAGAGCCCTGAGCGCGGATATTTTCGATGATCAAATCCCACAGATCACTCCGATGATCACAAAGTTAATCTTCATCTCCTGTAGCACAAATGGAAACCTTTCTGCGTCTTGGTGGAACAATCAGCGGAATGGGAGAATCTTCTGAAGTCGCTGACGCATGACAGTAAAGCCCTTGGTGGAGCTTTCATCATATACCTCATCCAAGAATCTCAAGTACGCCCCATTGGATCACGGATCAGAGCACTCGACATGAGCGCACATAAGGAAACTCAGGCATGGAAACTATCTTTGTTGATAAGGAAAAGCAATACATCACCGAAAAGAAGGGGGTGGTTTTCAGACGAGAGCCTTGAAACGATTCAATCGAGATGATATTTTAGCATGGTTGGCCGATTGGAATAGCAGACGACGTTCCTGTCGCTGGAGGTATGGTGTGCAGAATTCATTAACGGAGCAATGGGGAGAAAAGGAAGAGCCACACAGTTAGAATGAACAGTGTCCTGATGCATACATACCTACTAGGGGAGGGAACAAGCGGATAATTTAATTGGCCTCCCATTTGAAAAGTTGCATCTCGTTCCTGGACCTCACTCCCGTCATTCGCCGTTGGGTCTTATCTCTATCGAGTCCAGTGTCTGCTTAGCTAGGTGCTTGCTGCAGAGCTCCCAATTGGACTCTCCACCATTCCTTCAATTATGCCTACGCCATCACTTTCCGATCTTGGTATCGGCGAGCTGTTGTAGAAGAGGGCGATATACATATTTTGGCGTCATGAATGTATCACATCAATGTACCGCATCAGCCATTTGCGATCCCAATCTCATAGATCCCAATCTCATAGGTGTAATAGTTCTGGGTACATCGCCCCGCATATCGTGAAATGAAGATAACGTATACCTGGTGGCCAGACAGTAAATATTAGTATATCCATCGTATCATTCCGCGACATCCTTCCAATTTCGACTTACTATCTTGTATGCTTCGTAGAGGGCCTAGCTGTCTTAACTCTTGGGTCGCCCCGGCCCAGCAACCTGGCCTGCGACTCCTATCTCGCCGTAGTAGTCATCGTGCTGGGCGCATAGTGCCATCTACGTTACCGATGATGTTGATGTCACATCGTAGAAAGTAGACATTACTAGGTAGAAATTAGAAATTGAGATAACACGTGCTTGGTGGTTTGGGAAGCCGCACAGGTTAGTACACTGTTGAATACAGCATCATTCTGACATCTGACTTACCGTCGATACCCGCAGGCCCTGCCACAGCACCAGGCGTATACTAGTCGCGTTTCAAGCTTTATAAAACTGTCGTGATTCAGTGGCCTGTTACTTGAAGGTAGGTACAATAGGCCGCGTTTGTAGGTCGGGGAGGGACGAGTTGCTGACCTGGTTTGCGCGCACATGGTAGGTATTGGTTAGTACAGGAGTAGACGAGGGGATACATGCCAGTGGCACCGGCATGGGACTGTTCCGACACCCAACACCAATTTTAGTGTACACTTCGTATAGGGTCTGGCTGTCGCCTGGACCATCTGCTCTTTTTTACAGGCTTCATATATTATGGATTGTAATAGAAAGTTATGCACAAACAAAAAGGACTCTAAAAAATAAATGATTCTGGGCCACTCTGGGAATTGAACCCAGGACCTCTCCCATACAAGTTTAGAACCCAAAGGGAGAATCATACCACTAGACCAAGTGGCCAGACTTGTTTATAAGTGCTGGATTCAAGAAGCATATGATATAGCTATTACCAATTTCGAGGGGATATAGATAGAGTTTGGAAATCACAGACAGCCCGTGGCTGCCATAACTCCATGTTCAATGTGCATGCAATCATTCGCATACGGGCTGCGTATGCTATCAGTCGCTGCATAATGTTGAATTCCCTTCAAAAAGGATTCCTTCTGGCTCGGTACTAAATACTTTACGAGAGATCATGGTAGGTCACGGACCTACTACTACCTAGCTAAGGTAGGCATACTTGGGCCACACACTGTTTGTGAAGGTACTGCCCCCCCAGGTACCTACCTACATACCTAGGTACCTAGGTATGTGCCTACCTAAGGTACGGTACATTATTAGCGCCTAATGTACTTCAAAAAGTGGCTCCAACCGCAGCTTACCCTTTAACAAAAAACTTTCGTTCAAGACAGAATCATAAAGCAGTGACAGCATCACCTGTAGATATCATTTTAAGCCTTTCTACACCATACCTATTCATTTCAAATCGTCTATAAAGGACATTTTGTAATGTCCTTTCAATAGCCCTTGGTTAGGCATAATTAGACATGCCCAAACACCGTTAGTGTACTACTGAGTGTCCGTAGGGTTTTCCATACCAAATTGGCCTGTAAAGAGGTCGGTGATCGCGATGTCGGCGCCAGTCAACAAGGGGAATTGCAGCCAAGCTGTGTGGTCAAGATCAAGAACCACAATGAAATACTGTGTGTATGGTGATTTCTTGGGACCTCCCGCATTTGATCAATTGAATGAGGTCGTCCTGGTTATCATATGAGCCAAACTAGTCGTAAAAGGGGTTAAAGATCCCGATTTCAAATATGAAGTAAATGCAGCGGACAATAATTGTTGTATTTCAATTTTCCTGTGCAGCTAACTCGGCTTTTCAATTGCAAGTCATCCGTTCGGCCCGCCAACATATCACCCAGAAACAGAGCCCCCCAGGTAGGTATAGAACAACAAAATATTACAACCGTTATGAGATTGAGAGAATCATACCACTAGACCAAGCAGCCAGACTTGTTCTTGTCGGAGAACTCGTAATAATAGGTTATATAGTTGGAGAGCAATAGAAGTATCGATGCAACCCGTAAGATAGCACTTTTGTCGTAATGAGACCTACGTCTTCCGCTGTGCCGTACTACGCTGACCATCGCCGCAGCTTCAGCAAACAATCTCCGAAATTAGTCCTGCCTGACTTGGCGTTGCCAAGTGTCGTTGGAGCTAGAGATCGGAATGTGGCGGTACGGCTAAGCTACCAACGCAAGTCAGTCATCCACCGTCGTCATCGCGCCACCGACTCCTCCTGAACAGACCCTGAAAAGGTGGTTGGAACCTTCAAGACTCGCATGATTACATACCTAGCGACATTCAGGCGAGAGGGTCCTGGATTCCTACGGCGAGTAGCTCCACCGCCTGAATGGCTGGCTGTCCTTCCTTCAACGATATCTGCATTTGCAAGTCCCTAATGAAGGTTATCTACGAGCCACTGGATCTGACGCACCGCCCCTGCTCTCATTAAAGCGTGGGGCTCTTGGTGGGAGGGAGCCAACATACTAGTGATGCGCCCACCCACTGGAAATCACGGGGTTACATTAGCTCCAGTGGCCCCTAAATTTCCAAGCGAGGCCCTGGAAATTACATAGACCTCATTGCGCCTTGTGCTCTTTTAGCCGCGGATGGCCTGCAGCTTAACCTAGTCGGACGGTTATCTTGCGTCTTGTCCCTGAGTTAATACGACGCTGGACACCCAACCCTCTATTCCTATCCCCTCCACCATCTCTGTTCACCCCTATCGTATCATCGTTCCACGAAGACGAGCCAAACAAGTACGTGCTACTACCCTCTGTCCTGTATCTCACAACCTACACTCGACATCTGTGGAGCACCCGATTCACTCCTACCAATTGTTATCAATCGATCTCCAGCGCTAGCTCAAGACTAACCACCATCTCCAGATAGCTCTCCTGCCAACTTCGAAGCTTCTCACATCCTACCGCCAAGATGCCTGGTGTTCGTAAGTCAATATATCTGCCGACACAATAGCAAGTTCCACGAGCTAACCGTCCCGATCCAGCTCTCGACGCTCTTCACAACCTGAAGGCCAAGCTCAAGGCCGCCTTCACCAAGAAGTTTGAAAAGCCTGCCGAGTCCAAGCCCGCCGATTCCAAGCCTGAGGACTCCAAGCCCGCGGAAGACAAGCCTGCCGAGACCAAGCCTGAAGCAACCAAGACTGAGGAGACCAAGCCCGCAGACTCCAAGGTCGAAGAAACCAAGCCCGAGGCCAAGCACACCGAGACTGCCCCCGCCCCTGAACCTGCGGCTGCTCCTGATGCTGCCGCTGCTGTAGCTGCTGCCGCTTCGCCTGCTGCTCCAGAGACAGCCAAGAAGGAAGAGGCCCCAGCACCGGCTACAGCTCCTGCTAGTACGTTCAACCCGAAATGCTGTAGAATCCGGCTTGTATAAGTGCGGAGTGAACGGTGTTACCCCTCGCCCCCTCTCTTATGAGGTGATCATTGATCTAACTCGAAAGAAGCCACCGCCCCTGAGCCCACTCCAGCTGCTGCTCCCGTCACCACCGAGGCTCCCGCTGCCGCCCCCGAGGTCAAGGCTGAGGCCGCTCCCACGGCTGCTCCTACCGTTACCGAAACCCCAGCTCCTGGTAAGTACAAACCGTAGCCTGCTCATACATAAGCAAGCGGACCGAAAGAAAGCTGGACCTGGCTAACAATACGACAGCTGTTGCTGTGACACCCGCTGCCGCCCCGGCTCCGGAAACCGCTGAGAAGAAGGAGGAGACTCCAGCCGCTCCCGCCGCCGCTCCTGCTACAGCTGCTGCTACCCCTGCTGCTCCCGCCGCCACCTCCTAATGCGCTGACCACGATTGATTGATGTTTGTTTTTGTTTGGCTTTTCTTCTTCTCTTCTTTTTGCTGTTTCGATATCGAGAACAACGATAATGTACCGTTGTTAGTTCTGTACCATCGTTGGTTGGATTCGAAAGTCTAAAGGTTTGGCTTTGGCTACTTATCCTACATCTTACGACTACGGATGGTTGGATACCCCCTGAGAAAACAGGATGTTGCGAGCGATACCATATACCTAAATATATACCCTTGATAGTCTTGATTGAAGTTGATTGCTCCTCATATTACCTCGCTGTGCTTCTTATTTTTCTTATTTCGTGAGAACTGAATGAAGAAGAGTGATTCTAAATTACTCAGCCAAGCTTTCATTCTTTCCGGCGCTGAATACATGAATATCATGGATTTAATCTCGCGAACACCTTAATCTTTGGCCCACGGCGCTTTCGTAACACTAATCTGCGCATTTGTGGTCTCACCGCCAAATGACCTCCCAGTGGGCCTAGCACCCAAAGATCCGGAGCTTGGTCCTGGGGGTGCTCTGGTGTAAGGAATCCCAGGTCCCGACGACGCAGGTGGCATCCTTGTCGCCTGGGCCCACGGTGCTCCCGTGCCACTTCCTGGCGGCGGGGGTGGCGCTGAGGTGCCCGCGACGGCGGCGGAGACTATGGGCTGGTTCGCCATGTGGACGCTCTGCACGGGCTCGGCAGCCTCGGGGTCCAGGTCCCACGAGAAGAGCTCGCCAAAGGTGAAGTGCTGGACGACGGGGAACTTTGACAGGACCTCGGCGTTAAACATCTTGATCATGCCCTTGTTGATCTTGCCCCAGCCGTCCTTGATGCCCGATATGTCGAACAGGATGGGGGAGTGTTCCCAGAAGGGGCCCTTCTTCACGTCGTTGATGAACCCGATGGCCGAGAAGTACATGTTCACCTTGCGGTAGTCCTCGACGGCGGTGGGCTTGGTCACGTCGGCGGGACGAGGGGCACCACGGACGGAGCCTTCCAGGGGAGTTGCCTCGTTGGGGTTGATCGGGCGGGTTAGTTGTGCTGAGCCGAAGATGTACGGCATGAAGGCGTGGTCGTCGAGGCCCCATACGCCGTGCGAGCCAGCCGGCTCGAGGGTGTAAGTGAGAATGAGCTTTCTCACAACTCTCAGGTATCTGGCGTAGGTTAGCTCAGGCGCGTATAAGTGGAAGTGACATGCAGATACTCACGGCTCGATCACGAAGAGAACAATCTCTCGTTCGATCTCACCATCCTGTTGCTGCCCATCTTGGAAGAAACCCAGCTTCCATAGCCCTCCCAAGAAGGCGAGGAAACTAAGCTCATGCCCGGTACCGTAGTCGAGGCGCTGGGAGCTTCCAAAAGACCCGAGGAGGTAGCTGGAAACCTCCTCCTTTGCCTGGCCGTTGCCAACCTTCAGCGTCTCGCCAAGCCTTCCCTCGTCTAGAAGGCCGCTGATACGCTCTTCCAGGAGCCCGTGCCATTTTCGGAAGCTCACGTTGCCGAAGCGTCTTGGGCCAGGGTCTGGTGGCGCCTCGTCGAGATATGACTCGATCACCTCGAGCAGTTGCTGCAGGGCTCGGATGGACTGTGTGTTTGAAACTGTGTTGGCGGAGGGTAGAGGGAAGACGCGGGGTAGTGGGGTGTTGGGCTGGTGACGAGGAACGAGGGCATGGTTGAGCTGGAGGATGAAGATCCCTATGTCCCTGTATGCCAAGCTTTTGAGGAAGCGAGAGACGTCTGGGCCATCGTTGATTCGCTTGATCGGCTTTGAAAAGGGCGGCAGGTTAGACAGGTCAAGAAGCTTGAGATTGGGTAAGGCTGGCAAAGCTGGTGGAGCCACGGGCTTTTGGGGAGGCTCCATGGTTTGTGCTTGTAGTTTGAGCGAATGATTAACACCAGGGGCTGTAGGTACTCCGTGTTGGCTTTTATATGGTGCTACTATTTTTATATAAGGGAAGTTTTGTACAAGAAAGCTGAAGGTGGATAGCTTGGCTGTTACATCAGGGCAGCTAGCTGGCCAAGCTCTTCTGTGTGATGACGTGAAGTTAGTCAGCACAGGAAGGAAATGGAATACAGTAATGTGTTTACATCTAGGTAATGTGAGACAACGCAAAAATATTAAAGAGGTAATAAATTATGCACACAGATACAATTTACTTTCACATCATTATTTTGTGTGAATCAATAGGGGCTGTTTTAACGGTGCGTGATTTGGCTTTGAAAGCGGCGCTCTAGGGTAGGTAGGTCAACCCCGGGCCAAGCTTGCAGACGGGCAGGCGCGAAACTACGCGACCTCTTCCCAGTTACACAATCTCACCTTGCGATGCGCATAATAATCCCTGGACTGGCAGCATGAAGAGTCGAGCTAGACCTCGCTCGCATACCGATCATGAGCGATCCCTATTCTGAAGACCGGGTTGTAAGATTCATTGAATCTTTACCCGATGAAACCTTGTGCCCTCCATGGGCTGATCAACAGGTGGAACCAAATCGCGTCCAACCGGAAGAGCAAGGCGAACACAACTCGGGAGCGCAATTACCAGAGAAGCAGCGCAATGAAACCGAGACATACTTTTATCAAGCGGTTGAGGGACGAGAAACTATAACCACAACGGTTAGTTCACAGAGCCTTGGTTTACTGTTGAAGGCCATGGGAAGGCATGAATGGACAGCCCAAGGCATGAAATGGGAAGAAAAGTTCATAGGTGGAGAAAACGAGGACCAAGCAATATGGTTACGCGTACACTCCAAAAAGATGAAAAGTGAGCGATGTCGAACGCTCCTAATGTTCCTACACAAGCTATGGTTCCTCTATCAAGAGGCTCCTTCCGCCCATGGTATGGACGAACAGACGTCTGCCGTTCATAGAACCGAGCGGGCAAAGAAGTTTAGACAACTGATCCATGCCATCCACTCTGTGGTTGGTAAAATATGCGCCAAGGCACATGCTGCTCTGTCGAAGATGCCAGAGGAGAGGGGCCATGCTGCCAATAATGCAGGGAGCTTGCGGTGTCAAATCATACCTCTGCTCCTGTTGGTTATAAAGGCAGTCTTTATGACGGGGAGCCAAGAGACAATGAGTGATAGCTCTCAGGCCCTGCCTTCAGCCGGAACATTTGCTGTTTTTGCAATCCAGATGATGCGACAGATTATGGATTGGGTTAAAAGACTGCACCTTGCGATGGTTAATGAGCTGGAGGTCAACCCACCCATTTCTGAGAACATGGATATTGAAACGAGGCGTAGAGAGTCTCATGAAATATCCAAAGTACTCCGCCAGCTCAAATTACCAAACCGGCACTTCATGGACTTTACAGCCAGACTCACAAAAGCATACGAGGAGTTGGAAGAAGAGGCCAATAGGCCAAAGAGAAAGCGAGAGGCCATGGAAGAAGACAAACGCATACGGCAAAAACGAGAGGACAAAAAGAGAATAGAGGAGGAGGCGGTCGAGCGGCGCATGGCACTATTTCGATCATCTGTTCAAGCATTGCATGCACGAACTTCGACACAGAATTCCAACAGCCAGGAAGTAGAAGGTCACGGACCGAGACACAGGGATGCGGACGAAGACCACTATACTCAGATGTCAACTTCACAGGGACTGGCTAAAGTTGATCCAGCCTCTAATGTTTACAGAGATCCGAGCCGCAGCCAGGAACAAAACCGTTGGGCGAAGGAGGAGCGGTTGGCCGGTAGCCAACCAAGCCAGAGTCTACCGCAGGGCGAAGCTCGTCAAAGAGTCTCTTGGTCCTATGAAGAGAGCAATATTCTCCTTACACTGATTCGCACGACGTCGCAACCGAGCCTGGCGGATTTAACAGAGAAACTACCGGGACGAAACGAGAAAGAGATAAGACAGAAGATCAGCGAGCTCAAGGAAACGTCGCGCAAATTCTACGAGGAGCGTGGATTGATACCCCCAAAGTGGTGTTGAGAGTGGATGATTTGCGTTAGCTTACCACGGTTCTTGCTTTTGCAGTTTAAATGATACCCTTGATTTACAGACCAACCACCTACTTTAGCTATGGGGTAGCTGTCCAGCCGGCTTTCCCGATCTGGGGGCTATCTGACCGGCATCGGGAGTGAAAGCATGTCGTGCCTAAACATATGATAACTCGTAGTCGAGAGCACTAGGAGCCACTCCTTACCCACCTCGAAGCTCCTCGTTATTAGTTTGGTTACCAACACGCCACCGTGATTTCCATAGGACCCCTAAGGTGCCCCCTGGAGACGCTCAAACTCACAAATACCCCGGCTTTCCATTGATGTGCTGGCGCTGCAAGCTTGACGTACCTGTCCCAATACTTGCCGTGAAGCTAACCCGCAAATTAGGTCGTGCCACAGCTTGCTTGGGCGGCTGATGTGGCACCACTTCGTTGGCGGATAGACCCGCCTGATTGATGATAGGTACATACAGGTAGGTACCTCTATAGGACACCTTCCTTAGGATGGGCGTCTGTCGAGCTGGAGCCTGAGTTGGTGTGCGCATGGGGTCATATTCATGAAGGACCGACTTCCTCCGCCTTTGACGATTAAGACGCTATAATAAATGGTGTTTGAATTGATGGGAAAGGTTACTGAGTAGGTCAGCACCTGCATCCTCAGCAAGCAGGGAGCTGATAGGCGAGCTTTCGGCTGAACCAGGGCGTCAATACCCGACATGTTGCTTTCAAGGTAGATACTGGATCGTGCGAATCTGAATGGCTCGCCTTCAAAGTTCCTGCCCCTCCAGCTTGGGCAAGGATAAACCCGAAGCTAGGAATAACCGTACGGGGGCTGGGGGTTAAGTTCGATATTACATACCCCTGAAGGATCAGTGATTTATGCTAGCCGGCTTTGGATGGTGGTGAAACGGCGAGGGCAACCGGTAGAGAGATGGGCAGATGGCTGGATGGACCGGTATGAGCTGTCGTCTGCTTGGGATGCGAGGTGGTGATGCCCAGCCCGTGCTCGACCAACCGCCCGGCCGCCTTGGACAATGGATGGGATGGATGGATGTGAGGCGAACCTGCCGGGTGGTAATTAGCTGCGCATCCTCGTGCATGATGGGTGCATCGGTGCTACAAGACAGCGGGGGTGAGCTACTTTTAGTGCCACTCGACCCCTGTGGCCCAGTGGGGCAGCGCTCGAACACCCTGCGCTGACTTTTCCAACGGGCGTGCAGCGCGTTGAGATGGGCGACTTCCCCTTTGCTCGCCTCGCGCGCGAAATCACACCTTGGCCTCTTCTCCAAGTTCCCCTGACCTCAAGAACACTCGTTCCTTGCCTCGTTCCCTGGTTCTTCTGCGCGTGGGGTTTCGATTTAGCAGGTATCTGATATTACATAGTAGGTCCCTTTTTCCGCGTCTTCATCAAGGACTGGCTCTCTTTTCTTTCAGGAGAGGCGAGCTGCGATCGACACAATAGGAGGCATCTGAGGTGAAATTAGTGTGTGAGTCGCTACCCCGTGCTTATCGCGAGACCCCTTCCCCTCTGGTTTATGCTGTGGCTCATTTCCAATTGCGCTCTACCTTTGAATTCGAGTTGGCTCATGCTTCAATTTTAGTTGCAACTGCGTTCCGCTGTCTGATTCAACATGTCTGAGACCGAGGGATTCGAAGTCGTCCAACGCGATGAAGTCCCCCAGGAAGCTTCGCCGGTGTCTCCAGCTACCACCAAACCCCAATCAGCTTCTCCAGCCACCAAAGCCAGCCCGGCGGCTAAGACAGCAACCACGGGAGCGTCGAAGCGCCTGAGCACGAGCTCAACCACAGCGACTCGCCGTCCTGGCACAACTACTACAACCACGGGAGCGAGAACGACCGGTACCGCCACTACGCGTACTGCAACTGCTGGAACCACCAAGCCGCTCACGCGCCCGGCGGCTAGCAGCACGCTGAACCGCCCAACGACGAGCTCGAGCGCGACCAGCCACCGTAGCCGACCCAGCGTCAGTGCGAGCGAGGATGAGAAGAAGTCTACAACCTCGACTTCGTCTCGACGGACAAGCACCTTGCTGTCCAGCCCGTCGAAGACCAAGACAACCCCCACGAGCACCACCGCTGCTGCTCGCAAGCCTGCAACTGCAACTGCGACTAGCACTAGCAGTCCTCGCACAACTACGGCAGCGAGAACCTCTACGACCACGGGCACAACCGCAACAAGAACTGCCTCCTCCCGTCTTGGAGCGGCCCCATCCACAACTGATGCAAGAAAGCGATTATCCACTGCTGGAACTCCCACACCTACGTCTCGAACTACCGCTACTGCCCGAACAGTCGCTAAGCCCGACGCCTCGGCGGCATCTGCCAAGGAAATCGAGGAGCTGAAGACCAAGGTTGCTGAGGGTGAGGCTGAGATCGAGGCCCTCAAGACCCAGGTTAAGGAGTCGGAGGAGAAAGTTGCTGCTCTCACGGAGCAGCATAGCCACAGCGAACCCAATGGGGACGATGCGAAGGCGCAGCAATCCGCCATCTCAACACTTGAGAGCCAGCTCTCAGAGACCACGGCAAAGCTCGAGGCCGCGCAAGCAGAGCTCGAGCAGCACAAGACCGATTTGTCGGAGGCAGTTGGCCAGAAGGAAGCCCTCCAGTCCGAAATCGAGGCAATGAAGGCATCTCTCGAGACTGTTCAGACAGAGAGCGCCGAGAAAGTTCAAGCCAGCGATGCTGCGCTGCAGAAGGCTGCTGATGAACATGCCGCAAATGTTCAAGAGCTGAAGGATTCCCTCGCTGAACAGCAAAAGGCCGCCCTAGAGGAGCTTGAGACTAAGCACAAGGAGGAGCTTGGTCGGGGCCAGGCATCTAGCGAATCGCATGAGGCCGAGATCCTAGCACTCAAGTCAGAGCACGATGCAGCCCTTGCCGAGCTCCAAAAGAAGATTGACGACTTGTCTGCCTCACAGGCTGCTTTGGAGTCTGCCAGTGGCGACAAGGCCAAGTCTGAGCAAGATGCTCACCTCGCGCAGGTTGCTGCACTTGAAGGGGAAATCGCAGAGTTGAAGACCAAGCTCGATGCTGCCGATATCGCGGCTGAGAAGGCCCAGGCTGATATCAAGTCCATCGGCACCGAAATCGAGACCCTCCAAGGATCTCTCGCTGAGAAGGAGAAGGAACTGGCCGCTGCTCAGGATGACTTGAAGAAGGCCCAGGATGACCTTGCAGCTGTCCAGGCCAAGGCAGCCGAGGCTGAAACCACTCTTGCTGCCAAAGACGAAGAAATTACTAAGCTCAAGGGTATTCACGATGAGCGCATGAGGTCAATCACTCAGGACTACGAGACCGAGATTGAGAGCCTCCGAGGTGACGCGTTCTTTAAGCGCAAGTTTGAGGACCTGGAACGTCAGCACACTGAGCTGCAAATCTCCTCGACTGAAGCTGAGGAGAGCCACGCCAAGGCAGTTGAAGCTGCCAAGGCCGAGCATGCCAGCGCCGTGGCTGCACTGGAGGCTAAGGAGGCTGAGCATCAGAAGGACCTGGAAGCTCTTCGAGCCAGCCACGCAGAGCAGCTCGAATCCGCCAAGAACAGTGCCTCGGCCGACAAGGATGCTGTATTGAGTGAAATCGATTCTCTCAAGGCTAGCCACGCTGAGCAGCTTGAGGTCTTGAAGAGCGAGGGCGAGTCTGGATTGGCGAAGGAGCTTGAAGCCCTCAAGGCATCCCACGCTGAAATCATCGAGGGTCTCACGAAGAGCAGCGCCGAAGAGAAGGAGAAATTGCTGGCTGATCACGCCGCAGAATTGTCGTCGATCAAGGAGACCGGAGACAGTGCTCATGCGAAGGAGTTGGCCGACATCAAGGCAGAGTTAGCCTCAGCCAAGACAGCTGGAGACGAGGCGCACATTGCTGAGCTGGAAAAGATTAAGTCTGAGCTTTCTGCTGCTCAGGAGGAGAAGGAGTCAGCACATGCTGCCGCTATTGCTGCCCTTCAAGCCGAGCTTGCAGCAGCCAAGGAGGCTGGAAATGAAGCTCATGCCGCTGAACTTGCCAGCATCAAGGCCGAACTCTCGGAAGAAAAGGAGGCCAGCGACAAGGCGCATGCTGCTGAGCTAAGTGCACTCAAGGAGGAGCTCGCTGCTCTCAAGAAGGAACTTGCAGCCGCCAAGGATGAAAAGGAGACCCAGATTGCCGAGACAAACGCAGCCAAGTCTCAACTCGAGGCTCTTCGACTTGAGCAGACTGATGCGAACAAAGCAAGTGGCGAAGCGCATGCTGCCGAGATCGCTGCCCTCAAGGACAAGCTCGCCGTCGCGGACGAACAGAGGGAGCTGCGTGCTGCCGAGCTCGTCACTCTCCAGGCTCAGCTGGCTTCCCTTGCGTCTGAGCACGCTGACTCCAACAAGGCAAACAGCGAATCTCATGCTTCCGAATTAGCAAAGCTTCAAGCGGAGCTTGTGTCTGCCCGGGAAGCAGGAAGCGAGGCGCACTTCGCTGAGCTTGCTGGTCTCAAGGCCTCATATGCTGCGGCTGAGGAGGGCAACAAGAAGGCACATGATGACGCTCTCGCTGCCCTCAGATCTGAGTTGACAGCAGCAAATGAGAAGAGCAAGACTGAGCACGCAGCTGAATTGGCTAAACTGCAGGCTCAGCTTCAGGAAGCCCAAGCCGAGGTTGAGAAGATTGAGAGGAACGCTGAAATTGCTTTGGACAGTGCTAAGTTGGAGCTGGAGGAACAGCACCACAAGGAGATTGAAAAGTTGCTTGATATCAATGCTGAATCAATCCAAGCCTTGAAGGCGGAGGGAGTCAACACTAAGAAGGAACTCGAGGAGCTCGTGGCATCTCACACGAAGTCTCTTGACGATGTCATGGCTGAGTATAGATCAAAGGATGCATCCTTTGAAGAGAAGCTTTCCGCTGTCACGGATGCTCGGGATAAGCTTGGTGAGCAGCTGAAGACTGTCCAATCGACTCTGGACAGCGCACAAGCTGAGGTTGATGAGCTCAGCCATCAGCTTGCGCAGGAGAAGTTCGAAAGGATGACAGCGCTTGCCGAGCTTGACGCAGCGAAGAGTGCCAAGCCTGACACGTCCGCTCTGGATGCATTGAAGAAGGAATACGCCACACTCAAGGAGGCCCATGAGAGCACGCTAGCTGAAAAGGAGACCCAGCTGAAGGATGCTCAGGATGCCCTTGCGGCGGCCAAGACTGAGCTTGGCGCTGTCCATGCCAACCTCTCCGACGTCCGTGAGGACCTCGAGCTGTCGCAGAAGGATCTGGAAGCTTTCAAGGCCGAAGCTGATGCCAAGAACAAGATGGCCAAGGCCGACTACGAAGACCTCAACGACAGTATGACTACCATGGTTGAGGACGCTAGGAAGGAGGCGGATGAGGCCAAGGGCAAGCTGAAGGAGCTTGAGACCCAGGTTCAAGACAAGACGGCATCGATTCAAGGACTGGAGAAGAAGCTCGAGGAGCTTCAAGCAGTGTTGAAGGTCAAGGAAGCCGAAGTTGTTGAGGCTAAGGTATGAAAGCGCAAGCCTCCCCCGGCGCGCATGTTGCTAGTGGGTGACTAACGGATTATGTGATCTAGGCTCTCGCCGCCCCTGCTAAGGCCAAGGGTCTTGCAGACAGCAGATATGCAAACTCCAACGACGACGACGACGCGGTATCAGCGGAAGGTGAGGAAGACGAAAAAGATCACAGTTCCGCCGGATTGGCCTTGGTGCGAACGCCCCTTGCATGATGCCAGCCGTCCTTCGGGTGGTTTTCTTCACCGAGATGTTTATGAACATAAGCTAACCCGTGCGTTTTTCCATTGATTTAGCTAAGTAGTGCAAGGCTGACGGCCAAGCAAGTCCTCACCCTCGACCGCGAGATGCGAGATCGGAACCTGGCCATGCTGAACACAATCACTGATACCAAGTCGTCTGTATGAGCAGCGACTTTGCCCAGTGCACAAATATGTGGCATGGGAGGTTCACAGTTGGTATTTCGGAGCATTATATATTAAAACTTGTGCATTAATTCTCGTACTATTTCGTTGCTGTTTGGTTTGAAGCCCTGGCTATCATGGGAGGATGAGTGGATATAGGTGATGTGCCTAGAAAGTGAGGATGGGTGCTTTGCGTGTGGGCGAATCTTTAGTTCTTGTTGAGGAAAGATGACACGATACCCTTTAGTGCAGTCGTTGCCTCTAATGCATTTTATCAGCGTACCTAGCCAAATCATTGAATATGGGCCGCCGTCAAGTGATAACTCCAACATGGGTGGCGTAGAACGTAAGGCTGCCATCGCATTCTGGCCCGCAAACCATCAACGCATTGGGGAGTTGAATATCATGACAGTATGTGACATGACCGGTTTATTGTTCTTTTTTTATCATAGTTATTCGGTTCACTAGCCATATTCTCCGTTCTGTAACCCACCCTCCAGGGGCTCACCACAGTGTTTTATGCTACGGACTCGGTGATGCGTTCACATCGCCTTTCCTTGGTATATTATCTTGGCTTATTATCTTGGCTGGGCGCGCCAGATGTAACATCATGTCACCACTACTCGTGGATTTGCTCCTGGACTAGTTTTTAGGATGCCAACTCGTGTCGATCTTTGACGTTGAAAGCTTGGAGGAGGAGGGGATCATGTCCTACTTTGGCTTGGCAATACGTCAAAGATGTTACAAAATTAAGCTTATCCCGAGAAGCAAGTCGACGGATAGGCACGAGTTGTTGATCCCCTGGAGAGAACCAACAATGGGACCCAGAGGGCTAACTTGACCTGATATCTTGGGGCGGATGGTACGGATCAGGATGCATGAAGGCGCGTGATTAACTTGAATCAGGGGAGCGGGTTTGATTTAGGTCGCGCTCAAGTGGGACAAGTTTGTTCAAACCGCGGAAGAAGAATGGTATGGATGGAGCAATGATCTGACTCGGAATGTCCTGACTGTGGCATGGCCAAGCCATCGTCGATCTGACCTAGGAGTGACGTTGTGTGAGGGAAGGGTCCAGCAGGTACCTCGCGATGTATCTAGAACCCACCACGGCATTGGACCCTCGCTGCAACCGACCGGCAGGCAGCTCAAGCCCGACCCCGATGACCACATGCTGGGGACCGCCACTGGCGCATGGTCTAGGCGGCCCAGGGGACCCTGTTTGCCAGCCAGCGCCCTACAAGCACCTGCATGGGCGCTGGACGCTCACTGGCCGCGGGCTCGATTCGTCACCATTATCATAGCTCATGCTATCCCTGATTGGCCCGATGCAAATGCGCGAACAGACCACCTCAGACAGGGTGCAGAAGTTGCCGCATTTTCAATGACGTCTTGCCCAACACGAGGACAATGTGATTGTCGTTGCAGCGCGATGTCATCCATGACATCGAGCCGTAGCCTCCGAGCGAGGAGGGCCCGGCCCAGCAACCCCATCCCCTTCCAAACAAACCCGTCGGCACTAGCTGTATTCCAGTAGATGCGAATCCCGAGCGTCGTCTCCTGCCCAGGTACCTATGTATCCGTGCAAATCAAGTTTACTCGCCCGTGACGAATCAATCGCCCATTCTAGACTCCATCTCATCTTTTCAGCCCGGCGTTTTCCTCCAACCCGCTATGTTCCTAGCTCACGGCCCCTAGAGTCTCCAATGACCGCCAGCTCCAGAACATTTTGTCTCATCTCCCCTTTTTAAGCTTTTCCCTTCTCCTCCTCCTCTTGCTCTGTTCCTCCATCATCGTCCTCATCGCAGCACAAACCCGACGGCGGCCCTGCGCTTGTCATCCGCATTGACCGACTATGCCTGAAGTTACGTATGGCAGCATCGAGAGGTCGAATTCCGACCCTGGCTTCCACCAGAGCGATGCCTCCGACAATACCGCTACCAACACGACACCGTTGCAGAAGGCCTTAACCTTATCAGATAACCATGTTGCCGAAGCGCCACCTCGCCGCCTAAGCTTCGCCCCCGGCAGACGGGGCAGTAGTAACAATCCCTCGTCCCCCGGCAACGCGGCGCCGACGAGCCCCGACACGACGAAGCGGAAGGGCAGCGTCCAGGTCGACGAGGCGCCCCCGAGGAAGAGCCTGTCGTACGCGCTGAGGCCCGAGGCGGAGGCATACTACGACTCGAGGGCGGCCACGCGCACGGAGTTCAAGAGGCGGGGGAAGACGCTCGAGGAATACTACGACGACAACCCGGAGCTGCTGCCGCAGCTGCCCTTCACATGGCACCACGGGAACCGGCGGTGGCGGTTGTGGTTCTTTGCGTTCATCGTGTTCGTCGATGCATCCGCCGTGCCGATTGCGCTGTACTATGGCATGAAGTACGCGGGGGACGTCCAGGAGTACATCATTTTCATCATCGTCACGACGATTTGGGGCGGGCCGACGTATCTCGAGTTCGGGATCCGGACGCTGCGCCTGATGAAGAAGGAGAGATTCTACCGTCCCCTGGGCACGACGAACCGCTGGTGTGCCGACATGTTGACGTGGGCCTCCGCATTGACAATCACCGTCGTCACGGTGCTGTTTATCGTAGGTAGCGCCCCGCATGATCCCTGGTTGCGTGTGGTGTCGATGGCCGCTCCATCTATTCTTTGGTGCTATGGCGGCGTCCTTCTGGCCATCACTCTGCTGTATCGGTTCAACATTCCCGCCCCTTTCCGTATTAGTTCCACCGCAAAGGGCGGAAAGGTATGTATACAATGCGAGTAGACAATGGGTCAAGAAGAAATAAATGCTAACCCGTGCTTGTATAGGTTCTGCCGGGTGTGTATTACTTTATCGAGGACACACTTGCGGTCAACGGAGGCTGCGGTGCGCCATATCGTGAGGCTCTCGCAGCAAGATATCGGGCCAGCCCTCGATTTCGCGAGATGCTTTATGAGCAATCCCTGTTCTGGTCGATACCCACGTTGATCTTCGCCGCCATCTTGACGGTGATTGCCGTCATCCCCCAAGTTCCTGAGAATTGGTCTTACGGAGTCTGCTGGGTTGCCCCGTTTGGATTCACCTTCGTCTGGGGCCTTATTACTATCAAATGGTGCAAAGCACGCATGGTTAGGGAGAGATTGGAGTGGGAGGCAGGAGAGTTCCCTCGCAAGATCCCATCACCCAGTGAGAAGTCGGTGCCCGTACAAAATTGTGATCCTGTTGCATGATTACTACATTTAATGAAGATATGAAGAAGACGAAAGCAAAAATTGCATTTTAGCGTTGGGGTAGAGACTGAGCTAGACAAATATACGTAACATTTCGTGTCATGGAAACGGATGGAAAGATCCCATGCACTGTATAGATGTGACCACCCTTTGTATTGTGAAGCATTGACCCACAGATATAGATTCTTCTATCCTGCTAACATGCGATTTGTATAATATTTTACGATTTGCTTACCGGCCGCAGCATCAAAGGAGAAGTAACATCGGCCGGGCCGCCCCAGGGTGACAGGTCCACTACGAGAGTATCAACAACCTCGAAGCCGCACTTGGCGTAGAGGCTCTGCCCGGCTATGGAAGACTCGAGGTAGGAATCGATTCCAAGGCGACTGGACTCTTCCAAGCCCCAATCGATAAGCATGGAGCCGGCACCCCGGCGCTGGTGGTTCGGGTCTGTGTGCAGCAGCTTCAAGTCTTGACAAGCGGATGTTAGATAAGTCGAGCAAAGCCATTGGCATATTCATTATATAGAAGGAAATGACATACAAGAATAGGGCTTTCCAGCAAACCTCTCGTTCCGCTTCGCAATCATCCCACCAAAGAACCGCTCGCAAGCCTCGGGATTGGTGCCGGGCGGCCAGGTCTCAGGCTCATGGACGTGGGGCGCCGTCCAGAAGAACCAGCTCGCGAAGGCGATCATGCTCTCCCCCTCGGGCAGGCCGGTGTCCACGACCTTGACCCAGCGGTTCGCCGGGTCCGCGCGGAGGATGTCGACGAGCTTGGACGCGCGCGGGTGGCTGCCATCGGTGGAGGGAGGAAAGGGTCCCGGGAAGAGGGCGCGGCTCATGGGGGATGTCCCGTAGGCGGCGTCTTCGATCTCGACGGCGCGCTTGGCGTCGGCCTCGGTGGCTGGGACTACTTTGAGGCCCATCTTGTGTAGTTCCTGGGACAAGGTTGATGAGTGTTTGGGGGGACTAGGCTGGTGGATGAGGATGGCAACAGGGAAGAGGGACATGGGATGAATTTAAGATAATCGAGCCCATATCAATGGGTCTGGGTATGGGCGAGGGAACCATGCTCATCATACTGGCTAATTGATGGCTGAGCTGCAAATCTTCACCTGGTGATACCAAGGGTTTGTCGGCGAGCCGGTTTGGGCAGGCGGGGGATTACATCGTCCTCCCCCACATGAGCTCGCCGATACCAAGATTGGAAAGTGACGATGTGGGAATTTTCGAGGCAATGATGGAGGTGACTTAGTCTTATACAACGTGCTCCGCTGTGAAATTTGAAGTTCGGTAGTCAGGCAATTGTGAGGGAATGACAACGACTTTCGAGTACGTCCAAAAGAAGAACCGGATGACTAGCCCTGTGATGGTCGCTCAGAAGAGAATCATTCCGCCGAGAACGGTGGAATGGAAAGATGTCTTACAAGCCCATCGACGAGGTCGATGAACATTTCGCTATGCGGATATATCATTTTGTGTCTAGTGATGGAATGGCGAGAGACCATGTTATATAAGTGTATAAACTAACATGGACTTGATCATTAATTCCTCGTTTCACGGGGCAGCGATACTCAAAGTATGGCGGATTCAAGGCGCCATTTGGCTGTAGCTGCCGAAAACCGAAAAAGGAACATTGTCCCAATGTTCAAATGAAATAACGATCCCAATTCCCAAACCCATTGATAGTATAAATACCCATGATTTTCTGCCTCACCCATATAGAGGCAGCTTAAATTGTTGTCTCTGCTACTAATGTTCTTGTTAGTCCTGTTGCTGACTCGGCTGCTGGCAAAATGATGGCAGCTCAAGTTGCTGACTTTGCTGCTCTGTTACTGAATTCGTCGCTGAAGCCGCTACTGAAGCCATCTCTGATCCCTTTGGCGTTTGAGAGCTTGTTGGGTTGGGCTAGGCGAGGGTCTATGCCACGTACTTTGATTATGGCGTGTTCGATCTTGGTCTTTGAGTGAAATCCCGTGGTGTTTCCACCGGTAGTCTTCCTTCTCACGCGCTTGTGCCTCAAGGGCTCGTTGGTCCCGAATATCCTGAGGCGTCCGTATGTCGCTGGAAAATAACGGGTTCAACCTACAGGATGAGACAGTATTTAGACGGTATCCTGTTATCTGCTGAGTTATTGTTATTGATATTGTTTCTAATATCGGTTTGTATCCATATTATTGTTAAACTATACAGGCTGTACATGTTGGTACACTTCTAATCTGCCCGATATAGAGTATGGTAGACAGAAGTCATATTGATTCGATTAAGCTGTTTGCAAATTCAACCTGTAAGTGCCCCCTTGTCTTCAGACGGATCCGGCTTGAATGCTTATATCACCAGGTGCTGATATCTGCGGCCTAACCTCCCAAGACAGCGAAGCAGTTGAGAGATACCTGCTCTAGGTGGGCTGCTATCTACTATATATTATTTATCAAGTTTTCAGAGAAAATTCTGATCATATCCATCGAAATCCACCTGTCTAGGTTAGACGTCGCGTTATCGCTCCGGCGTGGTGGGCGTGTTAACCACCAACTATTAGACTCAAGTTCCCTTGCTTCAACCCACAGCACACCACATCACGATCAGTCAGATTCATATCCCCTCATATCGTCATTGCAAAACCCAGATGCTGCAGGCGTACTGGCCAAAAAACTGTTCCTCTTTGTGCTTTTTTCTTAGCCAATCCGCTTTGATACGCTTCAGATACTTGGTCATTGTAACGAACCAAGCAACAGCGAAGGGAGTGAGAATTAGATGAATCGTGAACATTCTACTTAAGCTTTTATCTTCTTCTCTTTATTTCAAGACGCAATATGTTCATTTAGAGACAGCTCTTGCTATATTTAAATCAAGTGTTAATTGGGCGCTATAACTGGGGAGGCCCATGGGAAAGTCCTGCTTATGAGTGTATTCCCTTCATGTAGCCAATGACCTGGCTTATTCTTACCGAGTTGACATGAAGTGGAGAGTTTGAAGAGGCGCATGTCAACGCTTGACCTACCTACTAAACAGACTGCAGCAGCCTTAAAGGTGTAGCTAGTTCTACTTAACGCGATACTGAAAGTTACATTCTTCACGCTATGAACCTTCTATTTGGTGACTCATAAAACGAAAAGGAAAAATAAAGAGATTTGATTTGAGCTGTCGCCAATCAAGTCGTGGTCATGAACCACCTCGATTCGACCATCGGAGCATGAGCAGGATGTACAACTCCATATACCCGGAGTCTGTTCAGGTTTCCCGACTCGTGGAGCTTTCAGCAAGGCGCCACTCTTGGGATCAGCTTCACGACCACCGACGTGGTCTCGTTGAGAACTTGAACATCCTTGACATCCTCGCACACCTACTGCTGAGCTTCTAACGACCCTCGGCTACGGTGGATCAATGAGGACTGGCATGGCCGTCAGCAAGCTCAAGCTCGCTGGCTTCGACTCCATTCTCACCAGCTTCCCCTGACCTTGTCACACTCGTCTATCACCCAGGGTCTCAAAACTGCCACCAAGGGGGCTAGAGTATTAGAGGGAATATAGCACTCGATGACAGCAGCATAAAGCATCTCCTCGGTTTTTTAGCGTCACGGGGTCGACAAGATTTCCCAGGCATTTGGCAAGCTCTATGTGTGTGTCGGTAGCGCCGCGTTCCTCCCCGTGCCCAAGGCGGTGCTGAGCGCGCGGATTTTAACCTCAAGGATGGATGGTTTGGATGGCCTTTTCGATCAACCGTGCTGGGGACTGTCTATATACTGCGGGCATTTGCCAGGCACACAGCCGAGAAGGCCCAGTTCCTCATTTCAATAGCCGTCTCGCACATTCCACCGCTCAAGGTTGGCCTATCTGTCCATGCCGCATGTAAGGCGGCTGGAAACAGGTGTATTGAATACATTGCCCTGAAGAATCCCAAGCTGCAATTTGTCAATGTGCACCCCTTCCATGCTCAGGAGTCGCATGGCTGCTCACATGTAATTCGCAACAATAACTGGCAGAGCAACCCCCGGAGTCGAGCGCTGAAGCGCAAATTTCCTACTTCCACAGGAAGCTAATATTCCTTTGCATTTCGTATTGACAATTTCAGTTTCTGCATAAAGGCAATTTTTTTTTTTTAATTTCAGGTTCATACATATAAATCCACAGGTATTCCATTCCTGTTTTTTTCCTTTCTTCTACATCACGGTTTTCAGCAAGTCGTAACAGGTTCTTTGGAAATGAACAATGATGAGACCGTCAAGCCTGGCTCGCTAGGCAGACTACATTCTGAGTTCTCTTCCACCCATGCAAGCTTCCTTATCCCTTCTCCCCCAACTCACATTGCACAGTTGATCATGTAAAGCAGGTACGCCAACGAACCTGCCTCATGATCCAACTCTTCGTTCTTATAATTCAAGATCAGCAGAGGGGTAGGTATCTTAATAGTATTATATAATACAGAAGCTGGAGGAATGATTGATTGGTTGGAGACTCGAGGAGAAGAGAAGTGTATTACGAAGTCTGGAAGAATGATTGGGTGGTTGAGTACTCGAGGAGGAGAGAAAGGTGGCTTGGTACAGTAGCAAGTGGGTGATGTTGAAATTGAGATACTCAAGACATTAAGCTGCTTATTATCCAACTGCGACAATATTAACCGTATCATCTCTCAAGTATGTATTATTGATTATCAAACTATTGAGAGCCAATAATATATACTTGAGAGATAATACGGTTAATATTGTGGCTTTATTCTCTTTTATACTATTGAATTTCTGGATCATAAAGTAGTTTATTCACGATCACTCCTCCGTTAGGTGTAGGGTATGACCTCCTATATGTGAGGTCCCGGTCTCATTCAATAGTGTTTTTGATATTGTTTGTGATATCGTTTCTCGTATCGAATTGTACCCGCATCATTGTCAAACAATACACACAAAAGGCTCGTCATTGCCTCGGCGGTGGCACATCCCTCCCATACCTCCTCGCAAGCTGATTGGGGCCTACCGGCCTCCTATTCAGCTGCCGCCTCCTCTCAGCAGAGAGCGACTCCCTGAGCCTACAAGTCAGGCGGTCCAGGATCCACTCGCTCTCCTCCTGGCTGCCCATGAGAGGGCTCCGATGCCCGACCCAGGACCACTTCAGCTGGTCAGACTGATCCAAGGTGGGGACGGCGACTCCCTCGGCGCCCACGTCCCGAACCTTCTCCCTTCTGCGGCGCCGGCGGCCCTTCCGCAGGTGAGTCACGTGGTGCCGTACTGTGCCGTCCGGGGAAGGGTTCAGAGGGTTGGCGCGGGGCTTGCCGTGGCTCGAGGGGTCTCTCTCGTCCTCGCCTATGAGGCGGAGGTACCAGGCCCACTCTTCGAACGTGTACCTGCGAGGCTCTTTCCGTCGAAGATGGCGACTGACTACTTGGATCTCGGATATGAGCAGGAAATGGAAATCGGTGCCCGCGGGCAGATCCTGGAGAGGGTCGCGGAGACGGGAGAGCGAGCGCCTGACTTTGGAGGTAAACGTGGAGCCAGCATAAGCTGGGCCATCTGGTTGGCTCTCGGCCTCGCCACATCCTTCGGTGTCTTTATCAAGCGAAGAGGGATGCATTCGGCCTCGCTTCATCGCCTCGACTTGCTGGTCTGGAGATAGTTCACCGGCTGATTCTAGGTCGCTATGACCGTCGAAGTTGCCAGAGAGGTCATTACGAGGGTCCAAGACCGGTTGGATGTAGTCCGGGAAGCATCGTCCGAGAGTCAGCCTATTCGCAGCGTACTTCAATTCGCCGAGGAAGCGATCGTCTCCGGGGAGAATGGTGATGTTGCCCAAGCGGAGCGTAGCGTCGCGGACAAACTTGACGACAGTGTCTCCGGCGTTTGAGATGAGAACGGTCATAGTGGGCAGGGTCAGAAGGGACCAGAAGACGAAAAAGGACTTGCCTGCGTTGGACTGGGGAGTGTAGTCTCCATACCCTACCGTGGTGAAGGAAACGTAGCAAAAGTAGAAGCCATCGAAATAGCTCCAACCCTGATATCTCTCCTCACACTTGTGAAAAATCAGCGCCCCAACGAGCCACAGAACAAGCCAGGAGCCGGTGGATATTCCCATGGCTATCCATCGTCTTCGTACATGGGCCTGATCCTGGATCTTGCGCATGAGTTGGAACTCGGCCTTGCGCCTCTCATACTCGGAGCTGGGAATATTTTCCAGCTGGGTACTCTCCGTAGACGAAGGCGGGACAGACGGAGAAGTCGGGTCTCTCTCGCTGATGGGGTTGAGGATGAAATCGTCCCCCTTCAGAGTCATGCGTCGGACGGTCCGGCAGCGCTTCTTCTCTTCCATACGCGCCTCTACTCGGCGCCTGCCTCTTTCCAGAATCATGCTGCGGATAGAGGCAATGACAAGACCGAGACTGATGATGCCGACTAGGGAATAAGGTATAAGAAGCGCCCGACCGAGGCTCGTCGACGGACTAAGATCGCCGAAACCGACAGTGAATAGTGTCACATCAGCCCAGTACAGAGCATCAAGATAGCCCCATCCTTCAATTTTAGAGAATATGAGAGCACCTAGGAGGAGGTAGAACAGAAACATAATGGTCTGCAGCATCAGCGTGCGCTGGCTCTTGGTCAAATTGAAGTCTTTGGGGTAGTAACCAGCCCGTGCGCCCAAGAAGGTCACCACCATGAACGAAGCGTTCAGGAAATAGAGGATGGCTGCCCAAGTGCCGTACCAAAGGGCTTGAGACCAGATCATTTGGTCGGCGGGGAAGCCTAGGTTCTGATGAAGAGGCCCAGGTCCAGCGGCAAGCAGGGCAATGAGAAGGATGGCCGATATGTACCTAGCAAGACGTTCAGAATACCCCTAACAAACTTCACTCTGTCTTCGGCATATCCTTGGGGTCGAGCTCTTACCATCCAAGCATTGTAATAGGCTGTGCTATCCCGAACCGAACTCGTCTGGCCATATTCAATAAGAGGAAGACATTGGCCACCAGGGCAAGAGCCAGCTGGATAGCATTGATTGCGAGAAGCCTTTGGAGCAACGAGTCAATATCCTATCCCACGGGGAAGAGGACGTGCACGGCACGTACCAGGGGGGATCATTAATATATGTAGCTTTGCTAATGTCTTCTCTGGGAGCCAAGTGTTGCCTCCAAGGGACGACCAGAGCGCAGATACTGAATGCAGAGGCTACTGGCCCAAGGGTGCCAGCGATCATGGGAAAGGCCGACGACGCAAACCACCAGCGGCTAGGGGAGAAGGTTAGTCATTTGGAGCTATCAGACCTCAATCCGCTTGGCCACTTACCTTGGCATAAGATGTGCCTCATCATTCTGGATACGATACTCTCTTGGCAAGCGACCATGGTCACCCAAATCTAGTGGCGGACTCTCGGCTTGCATTGCTGACTGAATAGAGACCCGGCGGAACAAGGATTCATTTCGACGTGATAGGATTTTACCGGCTGTAGTTACACCATAAGCAAAATTGGGTGTAAATCTGCATCGTGGAGTGCCTGTGGCAGATCGCACGAGAGGGGCAACAAAAACGACGAGAGTCCATGATAACACCTCCCTCTGAGGTCTGTCCTTGGACAGGTGAACTTAGTTAGTCCCATGACCCTGAAAGGAGCGATTTGCACATGGCGGGCACAGGGAATGACGTCGGAACACGGCACATGAAGCAGGTCATGGAGCGATTTACCAAGGCGATGGATTTGGCCACTCAACTAGTGCCCTTAGTTGCCTAGTCAAGTTAGTTCCCTGGCGGGTGACATAAAACGTGGTAAATCAACGGCGGCTGAAGCTGCATTCCAACACGAGATCAAATAGTCTGTATGCCTAACAATAAGCGACACAAATAGGCAAAACGCCACACAATAGTTTATTACTTGCTCATTATTATACTTATTACCGGCTTCCTATAAACAAGGCTGAGTCACCAAATGACCTAAACCCGGCTTCTCCAGGTTTTTGTGTCACCCTTTTTATGTCACCCTCTACCAGGATGCTGTTTGTTAGTGCTTTGTAACGCTGAATGATGCATGCAGTATGAATATAACAAGCGGCGCCTGCTCAGTAATAAATATGTAAACCGAAGTCTGTCATTATAATTTGAACAATATTTCTCAGATTTGTTTCTAATATTTTTGGGAGTATTTTAGAATTACAACAAGGCACATCCTTGAACATGCTCGATATGCTGAAGGCCTAAGATTTGAGGTGTCTTTGAAAAATCATCTTAAATTACCTACCAACCATGGAGCTGGATCCGTCGCGCACCGTCATCGCACACATTTATACTCAGCAACAGCTGCTTCACCCATGTACATAAATAATGCCGATGAGGTAATGACTGCTGAGGTCCTTGATTAAGCTGCCAGAAATAAGAGTATGCGAGCATGGCGTCGGCTGTTGCGCCCCCGCCTTGCTGCTCTCCCAGTGTTGCCTTCGCGCTCGTTCACTACCAAAACGCATGAGCGAGTTCAGGTCCAATGTGGCTCCTCCGGTTATGTGAACATCGAGTAAGCTAATCCAAATCTTACCATGATATGTACTGTCTAACAGCGAGCCCTCGACAGCCTCTTCAATGTGGCAGCTTCTGCCCCTGACTCACCAGTGTTCATCCATCTCCCTCCATTCGCTTCGGGAGACGAAACCACGCCAACAAATCTCCCGGCTTCGTTCCAGGAGTGGCCTATCGCGAGGATAAATTACCGCTGGGCAGAGCAAGCTGATGAACAGCTGCCGTACTCGGGATGGCCAACACCCATCCACGACACGGCCTTTGCCTATGAGTGGCTCGTCGAGAATCTCGCGCCTTCGAGCACTGCTCGACGCGACATCTACATTTACGGGTCGTTCTTCGGCGCCAGCCTAGCACTGTCGCTCGCCTTGACTGAGTGCCATGGCCACGCTAGGTTTGGTGTGAGGGGAGTCGCCGCATACAATGGAATTTACAACTGGACCATGTTTCTCCCCGACCACCCTGTTCATAAGTATAAAAGGAAGGGGCTCTCGTACTTGACAGAGAGACCTCTCGCAGATGGACTGCATCTTGCAGACGTACCGGAGCAGCTGCCAAGCCTGTTCAGGACACCAGCCAACCTCTTTGATCCATTCATCAGCCCAAGCCTCCTCTTCCACAATCCCGGTCTCCTGGCTCCAGGAGACTTCGACGGCTCGCCGGCATCGTCGCCCATCTCGGACATGGTGGCGCGTCTGGTAGCTGGGGAAGACGGAGATGCTGATAGCATGCTTCCGATCAAGGTGCCCAGGAAGTCACACCTCCTCTTCCCTCCTCGCACATCGACATTGAAGATACCCTCAACGCTTCTTATGCATGACAAATTCATCGCGCGGACGCCAGGTGGCCGGATCTCAAAGCGAAGACCGCGGGGGAACACATTCATGGCTCAGGCAGAGGAACTCGCGGAGCTCATGCGGCGGAGCATGGAGAAACTCGAGCTCAAGGAACGTAGCAATTGGGATGATGATTTCCAGACCTGGGAAGCAAAGGCTCTTCGTAGGATACAGGTAGCCGACGTGGGGGTGGAACATGAAGGGCTTTCCCTCGGTGAAGCTGGAGAGCAGCGGCTGGCAGATTGGCTTGAAGAGTTCATTTAATTCGTATTACACTTACGGAGCTTCAACAGCTAAGGTCCTTCACATACGCAAATGCAAGCAATCCCAAAATTCGAAGATCTATATCAGTGTTTGGTCACATTTCCTTTTGTTTACATTCCTTGGTCATACTGGAAGTGTTTGTAAACATCAGCTAATTTGGGGCAGACATTGCGTTGAGACTTATGCCGTGAGGTTATCAATCTATATTGGCTCTTGGCAATACTTTCTAATTATTCCCACTTAAAGGCGTGTCTCATAAATCAATTTTCAATTAATAAATCAATTTAAGATGACAGAAACAATCGCGTGGTGCGTCTTACGTCATCAGGAAAGACGCGACGAAAACCCATTAAAGACACGCGATTACGCGACTGGCCAGGGAAGTCGCCCCACCATAGACCAGATGGATCCATACCCATCAGCCCAGCACATGCCCGTCCCATCACACAGCAGCACATCAGTACAGCTTTGTAAAGACGAAAACTTGGTGATTTAAATCTGCTTTAACTGGATGCCGGCTGCAATACTCCTCGAGACTGTTAGCCAGAAGCTGACTTGATGGCGCCGTCAACACGCTCCCGAGGCGCCCCCGCACCAAGCCGAATCTACAATTCAACCCCATCCCTCCAGCAGGCCCAGTTCCCCCCGCGCAAGAAGACTGTTCGCACATATGGCAGGCAAAATCAGAAAACCAAGGGGTTGAGACAGCAGACGTTAACACAAATAGATTTTGTGTCCAGCTTTGAGGAGGATGCTGAAGACGATCTATTGAGTGATGCGACTGAGGAAGGGAACGACGAAGGGAATGCGGCCGAGGACAAGGAGAATGACATGCTGTCAGAGCTGCCCAATCTCGAAGAGAAGGGGAGCGATGGTGATGAAACCGAATCTGGTGAGGAGGAAGCAGAGCAGGAGGAAGAACCAGTTCGCCCAGGGAGAAAGCGCCGGGGTGCTTTGAAAGAGAAGAGCAACGATAATCAGACCACCAAGAGACGGCGGACGTTCGGCGGCAAGGTGGGAATGAAGCAGAGCAAAAACTCAAGGCGCAAGACCGTCGGCGATCCTCCAAGTTCAAGTTACCACACCCAGACCTTGACCCAGTGTTATGCGAAGGGTCAACTGATAAAGGATTCAGAGGACGAGGATGGGGCCGACATGGAGGACGACGGCAAGGAAAATGTCGACAACGACGGCTTCGATGATTGGCTCCGTGAGCCCAACAGCCCAAGCCCTCAGCCAAGACAAGCTCCGGCTGAAAGCTTACCAGGGCTAGAAGACATATTTGAAAGTGCCTCACAGCGTATCGCTTCACAAGAGGGATCAATCATCCCCCAGACTATTGCGAAACGCAACAGACGCGCCGTAATACCATCGTCTAGCCAGCTCTCCACGCCGCTCAGCAGCCATCTTCTCTCTCGATATGGTCCGCTCTCGGGCATCCACGAGTCACCGTCCGTTCGGGGAACGCAGGCAGACTCGAAACCTCACCAACTCGATGAACTGCCTGGGACGGTGACTTCGCCAACACCAACTAGAAGGAAACTAATTATCGAGGACTCTTACGCAACGGGAAGCTGGGGCTCAGAGAATCAAACACAATCTAAGCGTTCGCCCTTGAAAGACGTCACCCGTGATACTGGTGGCGCACCAAGTCTGGCTCCGAGCCGAGAAACTACTAGTTCTTCAGATGAAGAACTGATGAACACCCCGACAAGAGCAAGGCCACGCAGAGACGCTGGTCTAGAGTCAGGAGGCAGGCTCCGGTCATCACAAGCCAGGTCAAGACTTAGCACGCCGTCTCCATCGAAGAGAAAGAAGTTTTCGCCCATCAAGTCTACAATGGGTCTCCGCGAAATCCCCGATTCGGATGAAGAGTCTGAATTCTGGGGCGAGGAGGAGATCGACCAGGAAAACCAAGCTCCTATCAACGAGCCAGAAACGGAACCCGGCTCTGGTAAATCACAACGTGGTGGATCTGGCGCTGGAACTCAACGCACCAGACCTGAAGGACTAGGGCTGTCAAATGCACCCCCACAAGAGAAAGGGGGAACGAGTTTCAAAGACAAAGGCATCGAGGTCGTTGAAGATTCGACAGAAGGCGAGGATAGTGATGATGACGACCAGTTTGCTGCCGGACCCGATACGCTCTTCGTCTTGGATGAACTTGGCACATCGTACCGCAGCACAGCCGATGAAGCGCTCACGCAAAGCCGAAGGCACGAGCCAAGTTCAACACCTCGAACAACACAGCCTATACCTACACCCCAGGAACCTCTCTCTTCAAAGCCTCTTCGCGAGCCTATCCATTATCCCGCACCGACACACACCCAGACACAACCCCTTGAGTCGCAGCGTGTTCCTCTCGCAGTTATCCAGGGCCTCGGCGAGCCAGCCTACGCCACCGATATCCTCCTCCCCGTCTCGCCCACAGTTGTATCACGACTTGCTAGCGGGCATCTCGTTCACATCAACCTCCCTTTCAAGATATATCCCCAAGTCACTCGGTTCTGGCTCTATGACGGATCCCTACTTCAATATCTTGCATGCCCCCAGCCAGGAGTGCAGCAGGGGCCAAGCGAATGGAGACATGAGATTGACCAAGTATATGAATTGAACAACCCTCGCGATGAGGAAGACATGCGAGAGGAGGAGTGGTACCACGACACCATCGGCAGGTACAAATACCTCCCGCCCGCCATTGTGAGCCAGCTTCTCTCCAACCTCAGACACAAGCTTTTCAGCACCGACGCTGGGCAACAAACCCCCGCCGAGGCTGTCGAACTTCCATCCGACCCCCCATCCGACGAGCAACCCATCCCATTGCCAAACTACACGAACCAGCTCGCCCCCAGCAGTTCCATGGGCATCAGCATCTCCCAACAGGTCGAGGCCCAGCTTCGCAGCGAATCGGACCGGCTGACCGAGAACCCGGGCTCCGAGGACACCATCCTCGTCCCTTCGACCCCAATGTCCAACCGGAAGACCCCGACCGCGCACAACAGACAGAGCATCGTGCGCCCCTCGCAGGCCACGACGGTCTCTGTAGCCTCGACCCCCGACAAGTACCACCGCCACCGCCAAAGCCAGCAGTCAAAGCAGCAGCAGCAGCACCAAACCCCGTCCCTCCGCTCCTCGCACCACCACCACTCATCCAGCAGCCACCTGACCTTCCAGGACTACGGCTCCTCCTCGCCCCCGCTGGTCCTCCCCAACTCCAACAACGGCCACAGCGCCTCGCAGCTCCTCTCCAAGAGCCAGATGCTTCCCGACAGCCTGCTGCGCGACGAGTCTCAGATGCCCCCGGAGATCTGGAGTTCCGGCGAAGAAGATGATTGAACTTTTCCTTTTTCTTGGTGGATCATCGAAAATGTCTTGGCCGTTGCGAATGGGCGAAATTTACGAAATACTTATTTGCTTCTGTAAACCTTAAGAGAATATGGCTTGGCTAAGGTCTCGGATGGGACGAATACTGTCTTACTGTCAACAGCTCATGGGCAGATGCTGATATAATAGCTGTAAAAATTAGCCGATGGGACAAATAAAATGAAGACAAATGAATAAACGATATTTTGGGCAGAATGGATCTCCACACGGCGAACTAGGTCAAATAGTTTTCACGCATCATGCACTGTCAAGTGATAAGCCAACTAATATAAAACCTCATAAGATATCTATAGTTCGGTCATAAACGCTGAAAAGCATTATTTTGAGCATCAAGTCGGTTCTGGACCAATAGACGAGCCGACCTCCAGCGCCATACACAATTGCATACAAAACCGTACCGGTAAGCCCCACCTGCTCCTCGCCTTTTCGATTCCCGTACGATTAAAGGGTACTTTTCGTAATTCACAGAAGGTACTTGAATCTCTTGCTTCACTGGTGCCAAAAGACACATCTATACTCCCCAGTCCGTCCTATGTTCTCTCATCGATGTCTAGGAGAGATGGAATGCCCCTTGTCCCTCCTTCATTGCCTTTGAGAGCTGCCTGTCCATCACCTCGACACCGCTGTAGTTTGGTAGCTTGAGATAGTTGACACATGTCATGACACTGGGAAGATAGTCATCGGACGTGTATGGTTCTTCACTTGGTTTGCACACTACAGTGAACATGGGCGTCAAGCTCTTGAAGCCTATATTTGGGTTAGCATGCAAAAATTCCGTGGGTATATAAATTCAAGCTCGGTATACTTACCTCCAATTGGTAGCTTGGGGCTTCCGGTTGTGAACTGTAGGAAGTCTCGTCTTTCTGTGGCGTCAAACCCACTCATCAGTTGGAGCAGGTTTCGAACGCTGGGGCTCTCCATGTTATAGCCATGGTCTGCCTTGATGGAGTCGAGGAGAGCTAGTAGAGGTTAGCAGCAGAAAACTTAACAGGGTCCATTTGTCAACTCACTCTCAAGGGACCAATCCTCATCGGTTCTTCCGAATAGATTCACAAGCTCGTCTGGTGTGAACGCACTCAGTGCAGAGTAGGGGAATACTGAAGAAAATCCAGAGCGGAAGGCATCTACTTGACGACGTACTCCCGAGCCTAGTGTCACATCGATCACCTTTGCAAGGTAAGATTCGACGTTGTCAATCGTCACCCTTGTATGAGCCCCACCATCTTCGAGCTCAATTTCTGGATAGCCAGGAAGAGTGAAATCTAGGCACAGATCTTCCAAACGCACATTGTCGATTGAGATGTCTGCTAATTCATCCACTTTCTGTGCTGGGGTCTTATTGGGGTCCTCATCGATTTGTTTCTTCGCTATGGCGAAATCCTTGATTGTCATAAGAGACTGAGCCAGGCCAGGATCGACCATCTTAACCGCGCCGAGTGATGGCTTGACTCCTGCGGATGTAGCTTCTCCGATTCGGAAGAAGATAGGGTTTAAGTGAATATCAACGATACGAGAATCAATCATTGACCTCGCCACGAATTTTCCGAGCATCTTGAATAAGTGGAGAATACGTTCGCCATTAGGTGTTGACGCCTCTTGGTCGCTTATGGGACGGGGGAATAAGCCGGTTTGAACTGTAGCAAACTCGCTTGATACATCAGAATCGATGTCACGCCACAGCTTGAGTTTCTTCTTTGAGAACTCGAGGGAGACAGTGGAGTAGAACTCAAGGGTTGGCCCGAGGCCAGTCCCGACCTCCTCAAAGTATTCAACTTCCAAGATGCTCTGAGATGCGCCATATAGATCCATGACTTTTAGGGCAGACTCAAGGATTTTGGTACGTGAAATACGTACTTTCTGCCGCTGAAGACGCCCAAGGAATGGGCGTTCGTTATGACGGTCGCGGCGGCTTTCCTCTGCTGATTGCGTGTTTTGCCACCTCGTCATTGACCGTGCATACCCGAAAGAAGTAGATTGAAGGAAGAGATGCCTTGTTTCAAATGGGAAGAGGAAGGGGTAGAGTCGTGCAAGATCTTCAGACCATCCAGGAAGACAGTTGCTTGCAACGATGAGAGGTTCTTCGAGTTGGCGGTTTAACTTGGCAGTGAGTTTGGTGTTCACGAACTGAGAGAGGGGCTCACGGTAAAGGCCCACGATCCCATTCTTCTTGTCCATTAGGACGTCCTCGATATTGGCATTGAGCTCATGGAGAATATTGAGCAACCTTAAAATAAAAGCAGTTGAGGGGTGCTTTGCCAAAGATGCCGGGATGCCGCTTTCAGATTCCCCATCGGTCTCTCCATTAGAGGTTGAAGTCAAGGACTCGGTGGAGGGAGGTCCAGGCACTCGTCTAAACTTGACGGGATGTGTTGCGGACCAAATACTGCGAGTCACAGGTTCCCCGGAGCTGGCATTTGAGGTATGGACAGCGCGGTAGATTGTCGTTTCGTTGGGCACAACTTTCCCATCCAAGCTGAATTCGATATGCCAGTCCTGAGGTGTCGCTTGGAGAGCGGACGCATACGAGACGGACCGAGAGGATGAAGGTGTTGCACCACTGGGGGGCGGAGGCGGCCCTGGACGCTTACCTCCAGTTGAGGCTCCTGGTGTAGAAACCCTACTGCCATCCTCCTTGCGTGCCGTGACGCTCCCTTCGGTAGCTACTTCCATGTTGACAGCAGAGGGGTCCGAAGGGGGTTCATCGCCCAATTCTTCTTGCAGATCCCCAACGATGGCGTCTAGGGCACTGGTATCGCCCATATCCTCGTCGTCGGTCAGTTGCTTTTCATCTGCACACTCGAGTGTATCTTGGACTTCATCATCCTCGTCTGGGGGAGGACGTGGAGGCGTTGGTGTCTCCTCTGATGCGGCCTGACGCCTCGAACTGCGCCTCAAGACTCCCTTCTCACGCGAAGATTCCGAGAGGGGGTCAGGGACAGTCGGAGACTCAGTTGAAGGGGTAGAGCGAGTCTTCGCTCGACGGGATGATCGGGAGAAGGAGGGGGCCGCTGGCGGAGGAGGGGGTGGAGGCATGGTTCCTATTCCAGCGAGTCGAGCTGCTGCAGCGGTGCTCATGGGGAATGCACCACCGGCCATGGCGGCTAAGGCCCTCGTCAGGCCATCTCGTCGTGAGCCACGAGGTCGCTCACTAAGGCTAATTCGAGGCCGGAGATATTCATCCAATGATTTGAATGTGGCGATTGCGTGTATTGAGACCATGATGCTCCGATAAGGTCGAGGGATGTCAGAGTCATCATCAGCGACTAAACGTAGGCGGATTTGCTTCCCTAGCATTGATGCAGGGCTGCTCCTATTACCATCGAAAGAATTTTGGTGCACTGTGAGAACTTCGAAATGCTCTGACCTACTGAGCAAGTCTTGTAGCTTATGTATCATCACGCTGTAGGGCGTCACAGGCGAGTCTCCTGCGGCACTCTTTGGCTTTGATTTGACTGTATTTCCCATGAAGACCTCGAGGAAGGTGGTCCGAGCCGAGCGCGTAAGTTGCTCATCAGGATTGCCAAACACATTGACCAACACCCGGACAAGGCCGGATGCTAAGAGCTCGGAACTGGTGACGCTCTCTAGGACATTGGAGTCAAAATAAGAAGCTAATTTTTCGAAGAGAACTCTGCCCCGCCCAGGAGAGAGGTCGGTAGCGGTACGCTTGAGGAAGAAATCTTCGAGGTCAGTGGCAAGCTTTGAAAGATCGTTGAGAATGACATTCGCCCTGTCCCTCATAGTCTGGTCGTGTTTGTCACTCTCACGAGCCTCCAAGAATTTCTTTGCCACATGACGGATCCGCGACTTCATCGAGTGGCCATCGGAAGACAGTCGGTAAACAGGTGCATCGAGGGACATCGTGGATCCCCGAGAGCTAACCGGTGATGCATCATCTCTGTGGATTGCTTCATGGTCATTCTCTTCCTCATCATCATCATCACCCTCATCATCACCCTCGCCGTCACCATTCTCTTCGTCCTCTTCGTCATCCGAGGTCTCTCCATCCCTGTCATCGTCCTCATCATTGCTGGAGTCATGCCTGGCCTGATCGGCGTTATTTCCTGTGTCATTTGCTTCGGTAAGAGTTGTGTCTCCCTCGCCATGCCGATTGTTACTTTCGACTGGAGGGTCTTGCTCGTTAGCTAAGGCAGTTATTTCTGCAATGACTCCCTCGCGATAGAATTGGTAATGAAACACATCATCAAGACGGCTCAGTAGCAACTCAGTAGCTTGAAGAGCAAGCATGACCAAAGTCGGGTGATCCTGCTGAGACAAGATTGATGCCATAAAAGACGCATATGGAACAGATGTTAGTGCCTCGGCAAGAATATCCTTGTCCAAATTAGAAAGCATTTTCAGTTGTGCCGTCAAGACTTTTTGTCGGACACTCAGATTCACTGTACTAGAGAACGCATCCGTCAAAGTAGGGAATAGGATAAGTGCAAACCGCCTGACCTCTTCCTTACACTCTTCCAGTAAGGCGATCCGCTTATCGTTAGAACCACTGCCATCATCTGACGAAGAGGTGTTTGCTTCCCGGGAAGCATTGAGCTCTACAAAGTCACCGCAAACAGGATCTGCGTTCCGGGGAAGGCTGGGAAGTAGCTCGCAGATGACATTGAGGGTTTCGACGATTTGCTCCCGGGGTCGATGGATCAGGGCCTGCATAATAACCACGCTGTCGAGTTTCGAGGCAACATCCTCAGTTCCGCTTGGAGGGGATACACCAGTCAGAATTTGATAGAGGGTCTCAACCACATTGAGCTTGAAGAGTTCAGTCGACAGCTTAGGGCTTGCGCGGGCGGTAAATGCCAACACTCGCAGAAATTGAGTGTGGATGTTAGAACCAATCAGGTTCGTACTGCCAGGGTGAAGGAGTCGTAACACAACTCGGAGCAGTGGGACGCTGACGAGCTCCTCGAGTTTGTCTGCGTGGTCTTTGAAGCTCTCAACAATGCCGGAAACGCAAAGGGCTGCTTGTTCCACAACTCGTTGGTCATTGCTATCCAGGACATTTAGGAGGGTTGGCATAACATCTCGAACAACGGGAAAGGAGTCGTCCGGAATATTGCGGCAGCAGTTGGCAGCAGTGGTTACCGCAGTTCTCTGCGTGCTTGTGGGAAAGAAGTCTAGAAAGGAGAGGCAAGCTGTCAAGCCACCTTCGCGAACAATGCTGGCAGGATACTCAACAGAGATCTTCTCCAGAGTGCTTAGAGCTTGCTCGGCCAGGTCGATGAACGAAATCTCCAGGAGCTTTTGGCAAAGCACAGGTACCGCATTGCCATATACAACATTTGCCACGCTGGACGGCAGGGCTTCCATCAGATTAGCTAGGCAACGACATGACACAAGCATAATCTCCGGGCTTTCTTCTTTGTTCATCAATGCCACGAGCTCCTTTACGAAAGCGTCGGGTGAAAAATGGCCAGATAAGTTGTCCTCATTCGACACAAGCAGTATTTCGGAGAGCTCCTGCAGCGCTATCAGCTGGACTGAAAGATCGTCTTGGCGGAGGCTATTCAACAGGTCCCGAAGTCGAGAGGTGAATCCGGACATGATGCCACTCAGTGCTCGTAGAGTTCCTGAAAGCCCGGCTCCGCCCGGACCGCCAAATGCACCGAACGGATCATCTTCATCATCGTCTTCATCGTCCTCGTCGTTGTCATCATCATCGTCCTCCTCCTCCTCCTCGTCATCATATCGTCGATCTTCGCCATCGTCATCTTCACTATCGTCCTCGCGGGAAGGGTTCTCGGTTGGTGGAGGAGGGCCGTTATCCTGAGGATCATCTGTCCCAGTCATTGCGGTGTCGCGCTCTGAGGTGTTGCTGTGTCTTTTTGATCTGCGTGTTGACGAGGAAGTAGCGGAGGGGTTTGAACCTATGAGGAGCCAATGTAAGTATGTACAGACTGATAGGCAAGGCTAGCCATGTTCCACACAAACCTTGAGCACCACTTGCCGGCTTCTTGCTTCGACTCGATTTCCTGCTCGAAGAGGCTGGTTGAGTTGTCGTACTGCTGTTGTTTCTCGGAGGAGGCCGGTTCGGGCCACTTTATAAGTAAGTATGATATCATAACCTTGATTTCATCTCAAACGAAAGAAGTTTCACTTACTCTGAGAGATCCATGGCGTCAGACGCCTTTGCTTTCCTTTGGACTCTCGTTGACACAGAAGCACCTGTAGAAGAGGTGCCAGTCGGTGGGATCTTCTGTCTCTTGGACTGTCGACCCGAAGGCCCGGGGAGGGTACTTGGGCTGGTCTGGCTCCTGGCCTGGTCCGGAGGAGGGGGGTTCTTCCGCTTCCTCGTCGACGACGGCGTTGTTCTGGAGTTATTCGAGATTTCTGTAGAAATGGTACCGTCCGTGGTAGTCGAAGGGACAGGTGCACCCGAGGGACGCGCTACCTGGCTGCTGGCTGCTTGGCGAGCAGATGATCTAGTGATTCTGGGAGGCATGAGTAACGAGGTCTCGGAGGCCACGAATAGACACGGCCGACGAAGCAAAGCAGGGGTATTTGAAGAAAATGAGACAATGGAAAAGGATGTGTTCTGAGGTTGCACTTTGATGCGTGATCACCACAACCACACGTCTGAAGCTCAAGACTCAAATCCCACTGGAAGCCTCGGGCACATGGCGCAGAATGTTGTGCAAGGCTGGGGTGTGATGGAAAGAGAAGGGGAGAAGAAATATTGAGAAAAAGTGAAGAGGGAAGAAAAGCGACAAAGAGTATAGCGACCGTCTTGTATCAGTAGATAGGAAGGAAGGAGAGAAGAAAAGTGGCCCGCTAGGCAGGAGAAAAGATGGTGAATGCAACCAGGGCCCTGTGGCTTGAGATAAACCGTAGTGAATCAAACTATGGAACAGCTAGGGTTTCGGCCCATAGTCAATCGGATGGGAGACTGGCAAAGCTAATAGCGTCCAGACAGGTGCATGTGAGCGAGCATCAACGTCGGAGGTGGGCTGGGTAGAGGGCCTGGTGCTGGGTTGGATGGATGGAGGAGAGACAGTCCGGGACCCAAGGCTGCGTGCGGTGTGGACGTATGTAACGCAGGGGCAGCGGCATAAGGTAAGCGGCAGAAAGAGATAAATGATTAGGGCTGGTAGGATAGGATGGGACGCAAGTAAAGCAGGCAGGCAGCGAGAGAAGCAACTTGGACCTGGGCAAACGCGGGAATCAAGGTTCACCTACCGTTGAGAGCCTATGGGAGACGCTGCAGCTGGTCTCGCCTGGGGGGGAAGTCGCGCTTCGTTCTCAGCTGCCGATGTTTGTTCTGCCATGCCCAGACTACGCCATCAGGAGGGAAGGCACGACGTTGACCAGCAGCGGGGGAGAGGCAGGGCAGGCACGGGACGGAGCGGCGTTGGGCGTCTTGCGCTTTCGGAGGCGGTTTGCGGGGGAGAGTCGGTGATGTCGAGAGGGTCCTCAGTGCTGCCTGAGATCACGCTTCGCTGCCTGGGTCGCAGGGAGGTCTGGGTATCGTCGTGGGTATGGGATGCAGCGGCTGTATGGCGAGCGACGGTCGGCGGATTATCGGTGCCACATATGGGAAGAGAAAATGTGTAAAAGAGATGATCGTGCGCCGGAGCTGACTTTGGCTGCATTGGCAGCGCTGGACAGTATGTAATCCGACTTAATGCCACTACGTGCATGGCATGCCCGCTATAAGGGAAGTGGTGGCGTGTGTCCCATCTTGTATTGTGCAAGGCAACGCCCCCCGGTCGCACTAAGGCCAGGACGTCTTTAGAGCTTCAGCCTCCCTAAATCCACTATCTCCCGACGGCCCACCAGCAAGGGTAGGCTTCTATCTGTGCCGATGACACTATGGCACTCGGACGGGGTATCTGCATTTGCACATGTACCGAGTCCCTATTTACCACGCAGCTCTCCCAAGCGCCCAAGACGGTCTAATTCTGTCCTAGCTTTGAAGTGTATATGTCATCAGCTGGATACCGGTAGGTAAGCTCTAGCCGCCAGCCACCAAAGGTTGGCGGGGTTGCCCTCCACAGAGCCTACTGATAACGCAAACCCAGAAATCATGGGCCAAGGCCCTCTGGGTAATTTCTGGTGCAAACCTTGAGGCAACGCCAAAATTAGAGCAAGGGCGATCAATGAGCTGTACGTACTAGAACATGGGATGTTGAAAAGCGTAGTACTACTCATGTCTCACCTGGCGGCCGCGTTAAATCCTCTGTGTTACCCACGGCCTTGCTGGCACTACAACATATTTCCCGCAATATTTTTTTTCAGCCCAACTTCTTTGTTGATTTCTGGTTGTTTGTTTTATTTTCAATTTTTTAGTGCCAGCCGGAAGGTTTGTGGTTAGCCATCTAAATGCAAATTCATTGGTAGTAGATGGCCGAATGCAGCCAACAGATGGAAACCACGGCCGTATGACCAAGCCATCCATCCACAAGCCCGTATCCCCTGACCGCTTTTGCAGGAGACCACTTGGCCAGCTTTCTGTCAGGCATTCTCTTCCCGCATGCCTCGTTGGGCTACGATGGCACGGCATAACAAACACTCCATATCTATCAGAGAGTCGCCGTGGGTAGGTGGCGGGCTTACAGGCAGCATACTTTGTACCTTATCGTGCAGAGAAATATCGTTGCAGGTCGGTTTTCCTCCTGGAGGCTTCGTTTGATTATGGTGGTACAAGCAAGGATATTCGTACGCTGTCGTCTACTGTTGTTAAAAATTGGGTATTATTAAACTTCTTTGCTCTGCTTCACCTTATATCTGTTTGCTAAGTTGTCTTGCGTACTCTAATCTTTTTTCAGGCTCTCCTTACCACCGTCGTATTCTGCCACATCATATTCGTTTGGATACTTGTCGATGACTTCCCGCAGCCTCTTCATCTGCTTCTTCAAGTCCGGAGTCAGGTTCTCATAAGTATCCTCGAACATGTAGCTCAAAGGGGGCTTCTTCTCCTTCTCGGCCTCACTAATACCCTTGAGAATCTCCTTTCGTAACCGGTCTCTAGCCTCCTTCTCCTTGGCATCGTCCCACATCCCGTTGTTTTCCATCCACTTTCTTAGCCGCGTGATGGGGTTATCACGGCGCTTCCAGTCCTCAACCTCTACCCGTGCGCGGTATGCGAATGAATCATCAGATGTGCTGTGGTGGGACACTCGGTAGGTCAGGGCCTCGATTAAAACGGGCTTGCCGCCATCCTCAATGGCGATTTGTCGGGCTCTCTTGACTGCCTCCCGGACAGCCCAAATGTCGTTGCCATCCACCCGGATTGTATCAATGCCATATCCAATTCCTCGACTTGCAATGCCATCACCACGATACTGGTCCAAAGTTGGGGTGGAAATAGCATAGCCGTTATTGCGGCAAATGAAGATTATAGGACAGGAACGAGTTGCGGCGATGTTGAGCCCCGCGTGGAAATCAGCACCGCTTGCTGCACCCTCACCGAGGTAAGCAACTGTGACAAGAGGTTTTGAGCTAGGGTCTCGAAGTTTAGCCATTCTTTGGGCATACGCGCTGCCTGCAGCATGTGGTAATTGGGTGCCGATTGTCGATGAGATAGTATGCTATGATAGGGTTAGTACTGTCTAAATATGCACGTGTGATAGTTGAGGACCTACGATATTCAACTCCTTGCATCCATAGTGGATAGGCATATTTCTGCCTCGCCCGCTATCTTCCCTGTTGGCAAATAGCTGCGCCATAAATTGCCTAGTGGTAAAGCCCCTCTCACGGAAGCATCCTTGTTCGCGGTACTGGCAGAAGATCACATCTTCTCTGTCCAACACACTGGAGCTTCCAACAGGGACAGCTTCTTCTCCAGCGCTGACCATGTAAAAGCTTAGGCGGCCCTGTCGCTGTGCATCAAACATGATGACATCCAGTATTGAGATATAGACCATATCTGTATACAGCTTCACAATTGTTTCCTCGGGGATATCAGGCTTGAATGACGGGTCGACAATTGTGCCATTTTGATCGACAACTCGGTAGGTTGGCAAGGCTGTCCATTCTTGCGGGTGCTGGAACTGAAGAGTATTGGTAAAGGCACTCTTCAGTGCCCCTGGGAAGGATACAAAGTCTGATTCTGGTCGCTGGGAAATGCTGCTCGCGGAGCGAATTGATCTGTAGAAGCTAGAAGTCGGTAGGGTTCGTGCTGCGACCGCTCGACAGAGGGAGGCGTTCCGTAACGCGCGAGCCTTCATTATGAAGGTCGTGTGAGTGTGTGTATCTGGGGCGAGTTCGAATAAGACGACGTGGGCAAGCTGGATTTGTGTACCAGAGGTGAATAAATCAACAAAAAGTATCCTTAGAGTGGCGCCTCAGAGAGGTAGGTCATTGCCGAGATGCTGGTACGGTTTAGCACAGCGCCGAGTACGTCAAGTAAAGTAGTCAGCTGAGCCGACAGAAAGCGAGCCGAGGGAGACCGCAACAAACCATCGCCGTTCCTGGGCGTATTTCGCTGAACCTTCAACCGAAACCCGCCAAATTAAGGATCTCGATTTATAGCGGCTAATTACCGCAGCCAGTCATTATTTCTGCCACGTACTGCAGAGATGAAAAGGGATTGACCCCCGACGGGATGAGTCTCAGACAATCATTCACAATGACGAGAGTGACGAGCCCCACCTCCGCATTTTCTTATCGATAAGCAGCCACCTCCGGATTTGCTCCTCGCTATTCTAGGCCGACGAACTAGGTCAAGGTAAGTTCTACTGGAGTATTGTCAGTCGAGAGAATCGAGCTAGGATCCGTGGAATAGTAGCCCTCTCTATCCTTCTCTACATTCAATTCTCTACCTCAGCTAGATTCCAACCACGAGCATCCTGGCTTTCTTGAAGCTAATTTTGTCGATAACTTAATAATCGGAAGCATGAGTTGGCTAGACATACAATCAATACTAAATTACGAGCTAAGCAAGTATAAGTAAGTTTTGAATCTTTTGCCTATGTGGGCAAGGGTGATTCGTGATATACAAAAGTCAGATCACCGAGGAAATTTAAGCAACATCCATTCGGCACCTAGTTTTATTTACATCAATCGCGGGTTTTCAGTAAATGGATTTATCATAAGCCGTCACCAACAGCCGGTAGCTTCTGTTACATCCACAGGTGGAAGCCTCGATAGGAGTGTCAGAACTCGGCCTATATCATTCGTTACTTTTGAGTAATTTACATTTATTATACAACGAAACATGGCTGCCCCAGTGCTTAGAGAGGTTTGATACCGCGATGAATAGCCGCAATGCCGCCTGTCAAGTCCTCGTAACCCTTCCCAGCAACTTCAAAGCCGGCATCCACAATCATATCACGGAAGTCCTCCTGGCTTGGGAAGCGCTCAATGCTTTCCACCAGATATTGGTAGCTGTCGCGGTCGCCAGCCACGAGCTGGCCGATTAGAGGGATTGCCCCGAACGACCACTGCTTGTAGAAGGCATTGAACAGCGGGTACTTGTCCACCTTTGAGAACTCGAGGCAGGCAAACACACCACCTGGCTTCAGGACGCGGTGAGCCTCCCGTAGAGCGGCAGGAATGTTGGAGAAGTTTCGGATACCAAAGGACACAGTGTATAGGTCGAGCGAGTTATCTTCAAGCTTGGGCGGCAGAACCTCAGCATTGGCCTCTAGGAAGGAGAGGTTGGCCTGGTGGGTGGCAGGGAGGGCAAGGGATCGCTGGCGGCCGACAGCGAGCATGTCGGGGTTGATGTCGGAGACGATAATCTTTACGTTGGGGTTGCTGTTGTAACTTTGTGCGTGCTGCTGCATCCGGAAAGCAATATCACCGGTGCCGCCAGCGACATCAAGAATGGTCTGAGGGGTTCCGATAGGGGTAGTCGCTCCCGGGTTCAATGAAGACACAAAATGGTCCCTTCACACATGTTAACAAGAGCCATTGGACGGTGAAGAAGGATCGGTGTGCGTACTTCCAAAGCCGATGGACCCCAAGGGACATCAAGTCATTCATCTTGTCGTACGATTCTGCGACGCTCGTGAACACTCCCGCAACACGTTGCTGCTTCTCGGATTCTGTGACGGTCTCATATCCAAAGTGTGTCGGCCGATCGCCCGTAGGGGTCTGGGTGGAGGCGAGGACGACACGCGATGTGCTGAACGGGCGTGCCAGGTTGGTACTGGGGCGTATGGGGCATCTTGAGATGCTCCCATAGATCCTCGAAGCAGGCCGCACTGCCATTTTGGGAGGGATTGAAGAAGCTCCGGTGGTGGAGCTTGACTGGTGTGGAAGCTGATTTGTTGCGTGATGTCGGAATTCTTGACAAGGCTGAGGCCGAGAATTTGCGACATGGCCGAGTGGGGCGCCACCATGTTCCCTGCGTTCATCAGCCTTGTCGCCCACCCACATCCTCAGGGCTCCAGATAGAACGACTAAAATGGCCCTTCCCTATGTAATTTAGACTCTGGATTCACCAGAATCTCCTTGCTGGACTTTTTGACGGTGGCCCACAAGTGCTTGCACGAATGATCTGATCTGGGACTTGAAAAACCAACAAACCAGTGCGACCAGTATGAACAGGCATAGAATAATCACAGCCAGACTGGCAGCCGGTGAGATCATACTCACGAAAAAAACCTTCCCAATTTCGGAGTAAATTGTAGTCGGGATTTTATGTCTTGATTTCGGGCAGGCTCTCTAGAGAAAGAAATGTCGAGGAAATCGAAGTTGGCATGGGATGATGGCGTTGTTGGAGTTTGGAGAGAAAAAGTGCACGAATGACTTGTGGGATTATTGGGAAGCACTCTACCTACCTAGGTATGTAATTATGTAACAAGCCAGAAGGAACACGTATTGCCTAGCAACCGATGGTGCTGATAACTACGGACAGCCGTTGACGGCTGTGTGGGCAGGCTCTGTTACCTACGGGTTGGCATCACTAAATCACTGCAGATGGAAAAGAGTGTATGAGATGTAGTGGATTCACAGAGGCCCCGTGCCATAATCACAAAGGACCTATTCTATCCTCTTCGCACTAAACTCCAAGCAAGTCAAAGCCACCTCAATGTCAGAGCGCCACGGCTTCGACATCTCATTAAGTACACATACACAGAAACTGGAAGCTCAGCCTAGAAGTTTTAATCCCCCTTCCGAGCCCAGCGCAATGACCACCAGGGGAATGAATAAAGGAAAAATGAATCAACACCCCGCAAAAGAGTAGATGCCGGATAAAAGAGCACGATGAATCGAGTAAAGAGGACGAGTTCGTTTGGACGAAGCATCAACACATGCCCACGTCCTTATCACTACTCTGGACCAGGAGCAGGTGAGGATGCGCCAGTCTCACCCTTCACACCACCTCTCCCACGGCCGCCACGACCTCTCTCACCTCCACGACCACCTCGGCCGCCTCGACCGCCGCGGCGATTGCTCTCTGAGTCACTCGCACCGCCGCCAGCGCTTCGGTAGCCGCTGGCAGTAGTACCACCACGGCTGCTGCTTCCCCAGTTTCCAGCGCCTCCCCGGTTGCTGAAGTTCTTGCTTTCGCGATGCTGGAAGATCTTTACGAGGGGCTTTGAACGATCCTCCTGGGTACGTGTCTTGACGTCCTCGGGCAATCTTGCAAGGGCAGCATCACGTTCCTCAACGGTCTTGAAATGGACCACCTTATTTTGGCTACTCAAGCCGCCCCATTTCTCGACCTTGACAATCGTGGCCTTGTCTTCTTCGGCGAACAAATCACGGCACTGTTCCTCGCTGTTTACATTCATAATGAAAAGACCGATGATATCGGAAAAGGTTGATTTAGTAGGGGCGGGTGAAGACGCTGTCTCCTGGCCATTGGTAGATCCATTGGCTGCTGCAGGTGTCTTCTCAGCGTCCTTGGTGGCGCTGCCCGGAGGGTGAGGAGTTGTCGACTTCGGGGGACCAGTCAAGGGAGTAGCGACGGCAGGCTTGGGTGGCTGGGCGGATGAGGCTTGTCGGCTGGCTGGGGGTGGAGCAGACGATTGTGTGGAGGGAGGAGCCGGTGCAGGAGCGTTGCTGGGGGATGCTGTCGATGCCGGAACAGCAGGCGGGGCGCCGGCCTGTTGCTTCACGCCTCGATGGGAGAAGTTGAATCCCTGGGCACGCATTTCGGTACCGATTCTGCCATCCTGGATCTCAAGCACAAGATATCCAAAGGCAGCATCGGCAAGATTGAAGTTCCACATATTTTTGAACGCGCTCTCGTCAACTTGACCCAAAGCCCCAGTTCCAGATACCGGACCGCCAAAGGGATTGCCTCCCGCAGCAGTTGAAGGCATCTTTTCAACAATCTGAAGAGCATTCTTGAGCAAGTTCTGCTGGGCCTCGTTCTGTTGAATAGCAGGCTCGACCTCCCCCTTGACAGTATCCCAGACATCGTTGAAAGATGCCTTAGAAGCAGCGAGCTTGCCTCGATAATGATCCAGCGTTGGGTTGACACTAAACTCGTTGTAGGAGCTTCCGTAGCGGAAATGGAGACCAGCGGACACGGAGAAATCGGCCTTGAGGGTAACGGAGAGCTGGTTCAGGATGCCCTCACGGGCAGGCGAGGCATGCGTCACGAAAACTCGAGTCTCGGTAGGATCGTAGACCCTGTGCGCTGTATCAATAAGCTCACCCATCTGAAGAAGCGTGGTCCACATGGTTCCCTGTCCTCCCGCAATAGTAGTGCGGCCTTCTCCATTGTCGAACAGCTTGTGCATTACCACGGCACCGCCCAGGCCGAGAAGTCGTAGTTTCACACCACCGATCTCAAGAAGCATTGATCGAGCCTCATCGATGATGTGCAGATTTGGTACCCGATATTCGGCAGATCGGAATTTTTCAAGAACTCGCACATCTTCGCAGGCACCCCAAACAGTATAGACGGGGACCTCAAGCTTGAGCTCTCCGGAGAGGAGCAACGATAGTTCGGATAGTGGGAGCTCGCTGGGAGCAAATCTGCTCTTGACGGGACCGGGGCCACCTTGTTGAATAGCCTTCTTGACAGGCTCCGAGATTAAAGGCGAGTATTGAGCAACATGCTTTAGCGTCTTCTCGGCAATGCGCTCTAGAGATGTATCATCGTAGAACCCGAAGTCACCGGTGTGGATAATGTGATCGGCTCGAGCTTGCTTGGCTAAATCGTTGAGAGACCGCAGATTTCCTGTCGTCAAAAAAGATCAGCGGGCTTTCTGTCGTAAAATATGAGACGCATTCATGCCATACCTCGTACGTCGGCAATACACAGAACTCGGATTGGACCGGTTTGGATGACACGACCCTGGTTCGGCAGGAGGGGTGCAGCACCAGGGGGGAGACCACTCGCGCCGTTCTGGAGGTAGCCTGGATTGTTGTACGATCGCGGCTGCTAGGTGTTAGCGACATAGTCAAAAGTAGATGGTCGTGGAGCGAAGAAGATTGTGGTGTCGGTCCATGTGGAGGCAGGGGGGTGCGAGGGAGCCATGCGACAGAACGCTACGCACGCAAAGGCATGGTAAAATGAAGTTCTCGATATGGAGCGCAGCTTGAGTTCGCCGGACAGGCCAAGCAAACGCGTCCTTCAGAATGCGTGGCTGGCCGAAAATGTCGAGCACACATTGAAGGTGGCCATTATAAAGGAGCTCGAGGCAGAAATGAATCAATTACTCACAGCAGCCATGCTTTCAGTAGATTTTGTACACGGCAGAGGACAGAGGCTCTTGTCGGCCAAAGAGAGGAGAAGAGGAGACGGAAGTGAGGATTAGGAAGAGTCGTGATGGGTATCAAAGAAAACAGGAGGTGAGAGGGCAGGAAGGGCAAGTCAGATCTCAGACTCTTCTCAAAGGCGCTCTAGCTTGGCTGGCAGGTTGGAGATAATTTTCTGGATTAGCCCAAGAAGTCGCGACGCAAGGCCTTACCTAGAATGGCTTAGCGCCTAGGAACAACAAGCTGTTCAGTTACCATCAGTGCGCACAGGCACTTCACCCTCGCTTATTAGTCAGCAGCGTGAATGCGCTGTCTTTGTCCCTCAAGCCGGCTACTAAGATGGCCGCTCTGCACGCTTGGGCAATGCTAGCTGCTGTCCTGAGAAGAGCAAGCTGTTTCACTCAACAAACGTTTGCATATGTGTCCTTGTGCGATCAATCTCCCGAAAGCTTACGGCAAAGTTTACACAACGAACCAGGAATCATCCCAAAAGGCAGCACACAATAGAACCAGACGCTTATTATTTCTTGGGCATCCTATCGTACCATATATTCAAGGTGGCCCAGGCTCGGGATCATGCCGAGTCTTTTTCAGATATCTATCCGGTCCTTTCCCCGAAAAAGAATGACGCGGCGGGGGAGTAAGGAACAAACACCATTGTTATGTCCATCGCGTATGCATGTCCAGTCGCATTCCCGTGTGAGAAATCTTGACAACTTGATGGGGGGAATATGTGTCAAGACAAGTAGTGAAGTCTAAAAGAAACCAAGAAATAAACTGAAGACTGAAGATGCGAATAATTGCAGAGCCGTACCTCACGCTTGAGTTCAAACCACACGCCATCTCCGTCGCTAGTCCCTATGATACCATCGTTGATCTCAACATAAACCTGCAAATACACCCGAATACCACCGCCCAAACCCCAAAAATAAACTCCGCCAAATGCTTAGTGTAGATTTTGCTTATCAAAGCACCGTATACGATCTCGACAAGTTCGCCACTGGCCTGCCAAGACCGCCGTCGCCAGAAATGGCTGTATATAGTTGGAAACCTAAAAAGAACAGAATCCGCGCTGAGTTTAGAGCCAATTGTTGTCGTCGTTGTTGTTGTTGCTGTTATTGCTGTCGTCACTACCATGTAGTCACCACATATTGTTGTCTCTTCCATCACGACGTTGATCATTGTCGTGATACTGGTAATAATCCTTCACCTCGTGACCGTAGGAGTCTGTACCCTCATAACCATAATCCTGCTGACGGGTTTGTTGGTGATGGTGATCAGTCCCATGCTCATCTTCATATATTTGAGCGTCATCAACGTAGTCCACCTCTTCGTTAGCCCCGGCCTCACCGTATGCCACGGCAGACTGTTCACCTTGTTAGTTAATGTCAATGAGGGGAGCAAAAAAAAACACTTACCCGATGATAATCAAAGTCATACTGGTCCAGGTCTTGTTCATTTTGTCCTGCCTGCATCTGCTGCTGGGCCAAATACTCCTCCTCTTCCCGTTTTCGTCTGGCCTCTTCCTCAAGACGTTTCTGCTGGGGGGAGACGGGGACGTTCATGTTGGGATGCATCGCTTGAACGATTGCCAAATAGCTGTACATGAAGTTGCTGAGCAATACCTGGCTTAACAACGGGCGTCGAGGGTTTGCCAGTTTGATATGTGCCATTCGATAGATAGCCCGCTCCTCCAAGAGGGGAAACCGAGTCCAGTGATAGTCGACATCGGGTTCCAAGGGTTTGACGACAGGGGGTTCGGACGGGACTCGGAGATGCTGGGACTTCTTGCTGTGCCTGTCCTTCTCTTCCTTCTTCTTGCTGCCTCCAAAGATGGACGAAAAAATGCTGGAATCCTTCTCCTTCTTCCCGTCACTCTTTCGGTGGCCATCCTTTCTCCGATCATCTTGAAGTTTGCTATCCACACTATCCCGATCCAATACGACGCTCTCGCGACCCTTGATCGCCGTCTTATCGATCGACGTCTGTATGACGTCCAGCCGTACATTATCTTGGGCTCGCTCAACAAGTGCCTTTGTTCTCGACTTCTTGCCTTCTTCTTTCTTTTTCTCCTTGTCCTCACTGCTGCTCTTGAACCATTTCCATGCGCTGCTTGTTGATTTGGTGGACGCAGAATCGTCATCCTTGTCCTTCTTTGACTTCTTTTTCTCGTCCTGACTGTTGAAGGTAGGGATGAAAGCCAGGCTATCAGTTCTTGAGGAGCTGTTTCCGCCATAAGAATTAGAGTTCCCTGCAATCTGTTCATTTAAATTCTGTGAAGCATTAGGTGCTGGCTTTGTGTATTGGTGAGAAGGAGATGCATTCTGGCTCAATTTGCGTCGAGACGACTTTGGTGGCAACTCGGAAGGAATAGGATCATGGGCAGGTTCTGATTGTGATGGGATTGGTGAGCGCACTGAGCCCTCTCGGGGAGGTGAGCCAATTTCTTTGTCTTGTTCCACCGTAACCTCGGAAGGCCGTGGGCTATAATCGGAAGCTGAAGCATATTTTGCTGGCTCGTGTGACTCTTGAGACGACGCCTGCGTTGGCGGCCGCTCAGCTCGTGGCGAGGGGCTGTCGAGTGTAGTTGAGGACTCCGCAGATTCTCGAGTAAGCTCAGGTGAACGAGCTGAGGATCTCGACTGTTCTTCGGAAATGGGCTCTGTTTGTACTCTCATAATCGCGTGTCCTGGTGGAGCTGGAACTGGGGGGGTTCCCGAGTCCTCGCTCTCCTGGTGGCGGTGCCCTATGCGTCTTGAGAAAGGCCTTTCTCCCCGTAAACTTCCACCTTTGCGGTATTGGGTCCTGGTAGATCTTCGAAGACCCATGCCGGGAGGCATTGGCAAAATAGGCCTATCATCAGGGTTGCCTTCCGCGCCATCGCTGGCAGCCTGGGATTCTTGAGCGAGCCTTTTCACAGCTTTGGTTGGGTCCTTGACAAGGTCCTCTAAACTGAGTTCGGAGTTCTGTCGTTCTCGTTGTGATCTTTGTCGTTCAAGTCTTTCAGCACCATCAACATATCCCGAGGCACCTTGGCCTGTATTATTCACAATCTGCCTCGAAAGCTTTGACTTTTGTCGCCTCAGGGACTGACCCACGCCTAGTGATGAGCCTGAATTGCTGGGGCCGAGATCTCCGTCACCCAATCCCATATCTCTCGACTTCCTACGTATCGATTGGACTCGAGTTTCAAGAAATGACTTGAATTCCGTTGGTGCTAGTTCCGGGTGAACTCGCGCGGGCACCCAGAGTAAACGTGAAGGATCGGCCTCATCATCATCACCAGTTGGTGCAACCAGGGGAATGCTCGAGAGAGACATCTGAGGCATGTCCGGATCTTTGATATTCCCCACATCCATTGACATCCGCCTGAGTGCTTGTAGATTACTTAATTCCTGGGCAATGTCGTTCGCATTATCGATGTTTGTGAGTGTGTATTGAGAGGTAGCCGCATCCGTTTGCACGTCTCGGAGAGACAGAGGTGGTGATCGTGGTGATTTTGGACCATTTTCAAAAGAGCCTTTACGTTGTTGACCCTGGAGCATCGCTGGAGGCGACTTTTTGAGACTGCCCCGTTCGCCATTGAACAAGGGCGATGTTGGCTCTGACGCCGCCCTATTTGTTTGTCTCGACGCATCGGGTGACAAAAGATCTCTGTTTTGTGGTACAAAATGGATTTGTTCGGAGAAAGGCGAGCCGCCAATGAAACTCAACGGTCTATTCATGTTGTCCGCCAGCGGTGATTCATCTTCGTCGCCGTAGAGTGTGCCAATCGCTTCAGTAACATGATGGCTAGGATCCGAGATGGAGAGTTGACTAGCATGACCGCGCCGGTTGGCGAAGCTGCCGCCAACCTGACCGCCGAGCCGAGGCGAGGTCTGTATAATTCCGCAAGTTAGTCTCGAGGTCCATTCAACATGACAAACTACCATGCCGTAGAACAGGTGTCTCGGCAGACAAGTCATCTGTGATAAAAGAACATTTGGAGGAAAATGAAAAGGTCCGAAACGCATTCCAATTTCTGCCCGGTCGGGCTATTGCATGGAACATCATTAGGATCACTCACCATCATCGAAAATGAGGACGAGCCTCACGAGAGGCTAAAGCGCTGGCAGTTCCCTTTCACAGACAGCTGGGTCCAACAGCTCCTAAATACGACGGTGAAGTTGTTTCAGCCCGTTCATGGGCAGAGCGTCACCACAGGAAAGTGGGCGCACACCTGCTGTTGGAATCGTTGAGAAGGGAGAGGTCGAGCACCTCCTTTTGTCGTTTGCTTCGCCTATGATCGCATGGAGATGGTGATGGTTTAGATGTTAAAAGCTCGAGATCGGCGGAGAGAGATGTTGGCGGTCGTCGTCGAGTCGGATACCGATAGTCCGCGGTTGTAGAATGTCGATATCGGTTGCTGGCTCTCGATACTGGGTGACCGTGATAAGTCCGTATGCTCGCCAAGTGGATATGGATGTCAGATGAGTTACCTGGATGAGGCCAAGGGTGACAATTGGCTGCTCCGCATTGGCGCGCGCTCTTAGCGAAGGATGCCAGCTTCAGGCAGGTTTTGGTGCTGTCAAGCCTGGCTCCAGTCACGTGCAGCTCTCTTCAGCGGATCGAGGTATCTGTCATGCGCTAAGTCTTGATGCCCCTCCATTGCTTCAGGTGGTAATTTGGGTCCGGTAATTGCAGTACCACTCAGGCTGTTGGGCGCCCAAAGAGCCGTCTAGTCCGAAACCTGGACTCATGTACCTCGTATTATTTTCCACCTTGGGACGAAACATGAATCTTCATGACCACGCTCTTAGTGGTGTTCACGAGGACATTAAGCACGATACATTAGTAAGGTCCCCAGATGATTCCAGTAAACCCTCGATAAGACATAAATGAAGCAGTAAAAATGAAGTCTCTCGCGTGCTGCCCTTGTTGGCGGCAAGCATTCCTGGTCAACTTGCAACCAATCGGGGACGCTCTTCAACTGCTTTGCACCTACGTAATGTCCTAATGCATACCTTGGCTTGGATCATTTTCCTTCTTCAGGCAGCCCGTCGAACCCTGAGCAATGCAAATAGTTCATTCGAGTATTAGTACAAGTATAAGTTTTTAGGCGATAATAAGATATGTCAGCGAACGAGAGACGCGATGCTCTAGTTCAAGAAATTTCCTAGCACTGTAACTTAACCATATTCCCTCCGATCCTGCTTCTACTTCAACATGCGCGCAAGTGGCCCTTACAGTTTCTAAATCTCCGCCTGCATAAGGTACTTCATTGCAATAGCTGGCAGTACCTCCAGGAAACTTCAACATATTTGGTCTTCACTATGCTTTCCAATAATCAACCAAGTGGTATTTCCGCTCCAGTTCGCGAAACTTAGCAGCAAGTTTGCAATGACACCATGCCTTCAATTGTTGGCACGGCACAAGTTCATTTCATGCAGTGCAGTACGAGGGACAAGTATGATGCCGTGTTATTTTAGTTTTAAAGAACGTACACTGAGGCTTATCAGTGAGTTATATCTAACAAATAAGTCATACACAGTCTGTTCCAACAGTCTACTTCTTAGCCTCCTCCTTCTTCTCCTCTGGCTTTGGTGTGGGCAATTTGAACGACTCGGGTGTCCGGGTCTCACCTGGCCCAACCTGTTCCCAAACACTAGAGCCGCCCTCGAAGTTTCGGAAAGCCTGGGTGAGTTCCAACGGTTCGGTGACGATACGTTTCTTCTCCTCATCGTAGCGAACCTCGGTGTAGCCGGTAAGAGGGAAGTCCTTGCGCAGGGGGTGGCCTTCAAAGCCATAGTCTGTCATGATGCGGCGGAGATCCGGGTGACCGGCGAAGAAGACACCAAACATGTCATATACTTCACGCTCGTACCAATTGGCACCGCCAAACAAGCTGGTGATGCTAGGGACGGGAGTAGCCTCGTCGGCGTATGTCTTGACTCGGATTCTAGAGTTGTGCCGAACAGAAAGAAGGTTGTAGACAATTTCGAATCGGTTGTCCCGAGTCGGGAAGTCGGCAGCTGTGACAGCGCTAACTTGTGTGAACTCGGCAGCGGTGTTGTCTTCAAGTCGGAAAATTAGTTAACACACCTAAATGAATCATTCTTGTGCACTAACATTTCAGGAAAGAAAACACCGGGATGACGCCTGAAGGCGAGATGTAGATCGTGAGCTCGTCCTTCCAGACCGAGAACTGCTGGACATATTTAGGAAGGCAACCCATCAGCCACGCGCCATATCGGTGGAGGTTATCCGCCTTGCTTTGATACTTGTCGGCTGGGTTGACAATTGGCGCTTTGAGAGTTCCGATATGGTCGCGGGGGGCTTTTCGCATGTTCGGAGAGTCCTTGCCAATTGCGACAAATTGAGCGGCACTGACGGAGAGGCAGCGGACGGCCTGGTCGCCCCGGGAGGCCTTCACGGGTCGTAAAGCTGAGGCCAAAGCCCCGCTTCGGGACAATCTGCTCGCCATGGCCGAAATTATCAGGTTCTATGGCCAATTGTCGATTCGAGGGTTTCACCGAGGTCGTGATGAGGTTGTCTGGGAGCAGGAGCCCTGATTGAAATGCAGCTCTCGCCGTTGGACGAGATTCCCGAATATTTGCCGACATGTACTTTCGAAAGTTTCGCGCTAAGTCATGTGATAGTAGACTGGGGCTAGACCTATAACAGACTAGCTTAGTTTACATCTTCTTTCATGGCCTGGCCTTTGTGCTAGTAATGAATGTCCCTTAACGATCCTAACTTTTCTTTAATCAGCTCCCTACCAACACCTCATACCTAATCATCATCATACCCCCCTTTGATACCGCAAAAATCATGGCACCTCAAGATTCTTTTATCGAGGAAGAGGGCGATACATGGTATGTCGCGCAACTATGTGCTTTGCCGAGCGCGTTGCAGCTCCCGCCTTTTTCGTTGGGTAGCATTAGGAACACGAAGCTAACAGCCAAAAGCCCTCTCTGCATAGAGGATTTCGATCTTTCAGATCGGAATTTCCGGCCATGTCCTTGTGGATATCAGGTACAGAATCCTTGTAGGAACCTTGACAGGCTCATATGTTGGACTAACTCTGTCGCAGGTTTGCCAGTTTTGTTTCAATAATATCAAAAATAATATGAACGGCCTCTGCCCAGCTTGTCGACGCCCCTACGATGAGAAAACGATACAATACAAAGTCGTCACAACAGAAGAGTATGCACAACATATTTCGACTACGACAATTTTGCGTGCTGACTGAATTTTAGGGTGGCCGAGTTCCGTGCAAACATCCAGAAAAATCAAAAGAAGCGAGCCCAGGAGCAGCGACAGAAAGAGGCCCAAAAGCGAGAAGCCGAGAAGGAGAACCGCAAAAATTTGGTTGGGGTGCGAGTTGTCCAGAAAAACCTGGTGTACATCACGGGTCTAGCGCCGACGGTGCGGGAAGATGAACTGCTCAAAACACTACGGAAACCTGAATTTTTCGGCCAGTACGGCAACATCCAGAAGATCTCCATTAGCAATAGGAAGAGCTCGGATGGGCAACATCAGTCACTCGGCATCTACGTGACCTTCGAGAAACCGGAGGAAGCCACAAAGTGTATCCAAGCCGTCCACGGCTCACAGAACGGCGATCGGTACCTGAAGGCTCAGCATGGGACGACAAAGTACTGTTCGGCATGGTTGAAGAACGAGAAGTGTAATAACCCTGGATGCATGTTCCTTCACGAGCAAGGCGACGACGAGGATAGCTACACTCGTCAAGACTTATCCTCTATGAACAGCATACATACCCAGAGGCCACTCCCTGGTGGAGGAAGCAGCGGCCCCTCACGAGTAGCGTCTCGACAACTTTCCCACCCTACACCGCCGCCGCAGGCGCAACCTGCCGCTCAAGCCATGGCTCGATCTGTGAGCAAAGACGGGTCTGACGGTGGGGTAGACTCATCTGCCTTGCCATCTTCGGCGAACTGGGCTCGAAATCCACAGCGGAGCCGTCGTGGAAGTCATGCTACCAGTGCTGCTGCATCGAGTCCGGCAGTGTCTGCCGCCTTAGTAGCCACGGCAAAGGTTCAAGTTCAAGAGGAAGCAGTTGAGGATCCTGAGCCGGCAACCCAGCAAGAGCCCAGTCCTCAGCCGCAAATCCAAAAGAAGCCATCCGAAGAGTCCTGGCGGTCTGTTCCAGAAACCTCGCTCAAGGCTTTGATCAAGATCCTCCACGAATGCCCGTTCCCTGACTTTCGAAATGCGCTCCTTGATGACTCTCAATATCCCCCCTTGTTTGATATCCAAGGTGGTGAGAGACGAAGGGCCATGAGAGAGGAGGATGATCTTCGAATCAATGGCGAACAGGAAGAGCAGGTTGAAGCTATTGACCAGTCCGAGGGAGAACCAGAAGCTGGCGGGAGCCTAGCGTTAGGAGGTGAACCTGAGGAGCGTGAAGTGTCGGGGGAGAGCCTAGGCTTCGAACAAAGAAGGCCAGGAACTCAGCCGCCGATCCAGCGAACAAATACAGATGGGCCGTTTGGTCCAGCCTTGGGCGCCTCGGCATTTGGTCAGACTTCCACCAATCCTGTGACTCGAACCATGACGCCTCAACAGATTTTCAACATGCGGTCCCAGGGTGGTTTCAACGATCAGATGCCACCCGGTATCTCCAACCAGACCAACCTTTTCCAATCCCAGGGTCACAATCGACAGTCCTCGCGCTTTAACTTTGCCAACGAGAGCGGTAGTTCTGTGACCAATATTAAGCTGTCAGCGAACCCCCGCATCATGGCGCAACAATCATCAATGATGCCAAATTCGTTCCAATCTCAAGGCAATCAATATTATGCTTCCTCAATGCCCGGTCCACCACCCGGGCTGAAATCAACTGGAACCCCCCCAAACATGTTTGGACAGAGCGGGTTCGCCGGGTCTGCCTTTGCAGGTACCCCAAAAGATTCATCCAACGACCTCTTACAAACCTTAATCGGACGTACTCGGGGAGCCAACAGTCAAGCTCCTGATACTGGAAAGCGTGAGTACATGATCTCTTCTTTTTCTAATCAGTACCCACCCTCTACCTCTACCCCAGCTCCTGCTCCTGGCCTTCTATCGCTCTATGGCACTCAGCCCGGGGCGTTCCAAGATTTTGGTTCCAAGCAGAAGAAGAAGGGGAAGAAGCATAGACATGCTAACACTTCCTCCTCGGGGGGGAGTGGCTTAGTTGATCTTGCGGACCCGAGTATCCTTCAGGCAAGGATGCAACACCAGCCGCAGAGCAATGCCGGAGCCGCACATGGACTGTTTGGTGGTCAGAGCCAAGGTGGGTACAATCCCAATATGATGTATAATGCCGGATATACCAGATGGTAGATGAGGGATGGAACATGATTTTAGAAAGGCGGGAAGCATAGCGGAACCTCAGGCACACAATAATGCCAGAGTTCATTTCATGTATAAGAGCGGTGTTTTTGGTTGTTATTTTTGTCTTTTCAGGGCTTGGGTTTTCTTTTTCTTTTTTCTCGTTCATCGAGGGCAATGCATTTGACCCGAAATCGTCAGCTTCTCTGCATTTTGAAACAGGTTCCCACAGGAACAGTCAGCCTTGTCGACTTTTTTCTACTTTGGCTTGGCGCTTGGTTTTACGTCTGGGAGTATTCAAGGGTCAAGTCAGGCAAGCCATCATCGTCTTCCACAAACCCCTGTTATGTACGTTAACTGGTTGCATTCACCGCCTAGGTCGGTGGCATACTTGGTCAGAATATACCTATCTGTCTTTTATTCTCTCCAAGTTGCCTTGGATTTTTGTTATTGTCGAAGACGATGATGGCAGCCGTAGCTTGACCTGCCGAATTCTTCCTGTACATATTAACCGGCGTCAACGCATCGTAGCCTCCCCATGCTTCTTTCACATCGCACTATCATCATCTCACACACTCTGAATGAACCTAGGGGCTAATGGGTATTTCTAGATGACGATCTACCATCCCTGGATGAAGCTACGAGCTCGGTAGATGCATTGGTGTCCGACGACACATTTGATACCATCATCCAGTCTGGGTCAGCCCTACAGAACACCACCGGTCCGTCTGTACCGCCTGGATTCGATGACCCCATAGGATACCGCCCTCCCGGCCTAGGATACGATGCATTTCAAAACCAGTTTCGCTTCCCGACAGCTATGGCTTCCATAACACCCGGACCGCCACCCGGTCTGTCTGCTGGACTATTAACACCAGAACAAACGCCTCGTAGTGTGCTTCCACCAAGCTCAACTGAGACAAGGCAGGGTGCCGAAAGCTTGGTTGCTGAAAGTGGGCTTGCAAAGATCATGTCAGGCCAGGCCCAGGCAGACCCAACTCGGCCCAGCACTGCTCTTCAGGAAGAAGACTTCCCAGCGTTGAATGCTCCCAAGTCTAGAAAGTCCAGTGGGCGGCCCTCCCTGACTACTGTCCCAGCGGTTCCAACCCCGAAGGGCACCCCGGCTCTAAAGAAACAGCAACTCGACAAGGCCATCAACACTCAACTTAGTAGCCCGGATCCAAAATCGCCTGTGCTTGCTAGAGCGGACGTCAGGAGGGCTGAAACTCCTTCCCCTCCCTCACTCAAGAAAGTTGATACTCGCGACAATCACGAGAAGCCGTCGAGCGCTCAATCCACTGCTTTTCCACCTCTTCCGATACCCTCATCAGGCAATGCCTCCCCCTCCGCCACACGAGCGCCTAAAACACTGCGGCTTCTCCCAATTCAAAAAATGGAAGTCCCACCTGTGGCCTCGCCAATTTCTGCCGTGTCGAGGGCGCTGTCCCAGACGCATCGACCGGGCACTCCTGGTAGTGAGATGGTTAGTGACACAGCCTCTATCGTCTCGGCGTCCGTGTCCGCGTCCCGAGCTGGATCTCCTCCACCATCTAGAGTAGGCGCTGCTGCAGTGCGTACAACCACGAAGAGCCAACAACGCAAACAACGAAAGGACGCCCTCAAGCAAGATACAAAAGCTATCGCCGAGGCTCCGAAGCCTGAGCTAGAGGAACATGCTCCGGTCCTGGGTCGAAAGAAAAAGCAGAAGAAGGAAAAGGCGCGAAAGACAATCGTTCCTCAGCTCCAGGAAACGGCAGGGGGGTCTGATACGAAGCTTGCGGAGGAGGAGAAACCCGCGCCGGTGAAAGCCGCTGAAGACGTTGTTGCTCCACCAGCTCCTAGCAAACAGGAACCGCAGGCTCCGCCAGAGCCAACCAGCAACGAACGCAAAATCCAGAACAAGGGCAAGGCGGTTGAACGTGCTCCAAAGCCATCCCCCGTGAAAATCGAGGACGACAACAAGACTCTTACTGCAGAGCCAACCCCCGTTTCAGAGGGCGGCGAGGTCGAGGAGGGCGATAAAGACGAGAAACCGCAGCTCGGGCCGTTTTCTATCTTTATTGACATTAAAGACAGCCTCTGGACGGCCACAGTCGATAAACTTCACATGCTAAAGCCAGTGACATCTACTTCCTCCAGGGCGGAGCAGAGCACCTCCAGCAACTCGGGTAGCAAGCACAGTGACAGCACTGTGTCTCCGGCATCAACTGAGGACCGGGCCACCCGTTGCAAGGACACCGCTTGCAAGTGTGGCGAGATTCAGGACTCTGACCTCACAGCATTGCGAGCCGGAAAGCCCGTACGCAAGCAATTCCACGTCGATGGTAGCAGAATGCTGATTACGCCCAATGGGGATTGCGTTCGCGGGTTGACTGTTGAAGAAGAGAACACGTTCCTGGATCTGCAGAATTCCATTGCCGGTCATGCCGAGCATCCTGGCGCTTATGTTGCGGCTCGGCACCAGCCTGGAAGCGGCGCGTTCTCACTCATCAAGGGGAGGGCTGTTCCCAATGGACGCCCGAACATCTTCCCTGCCACATCCCAACCCCAGACACAAGACCCAATCGGAAAGCTCCAGCGGGAGGATGCCCTCAGCTACATCAACCAGTATGTCCTTCCAAGGCTCAACCTGGGTCCCACCAATGTCGGGTGGCCAAAAGGCGCAACCTTGCGGCAAGATGCTGCAGCGGCAAGCCTCAACTCCTTGGCCCCGTATTTCTATGGTCCTGATGCTGCTGCCGGCGTTGGTATCTACAGCGCACCAGACGGCAAGGATTTCAGTACCCCCTCGACAGTTCTTCATCATCCCACTGAGGACGGAGCGGCCAAGTTTGGTAATGCCGGTGTGAGTGGCATGCCTTTGATGAGCGTGGAGGATGCTGAGGGCGCACTTATAGCGGCGAGGAAGGAAACAGAGAAGCTGGAGAAGGGCTTGAACCAGGTTATTAAGAGAAACCGAAGGCTTCTGGTCGGAACCAGCAACTAGCGGTGTGGTATCCTTTGATCATTGATTCTCAGCGCCTAAACTGGGGAATGTACCAAAATGTTAAATTATCATGTATATCTTATCCATAGTAGGAGCCTTATGGTTCTTCAAGCGAACTAAGCGATTGTTTTTCTCATGCCGGTTACTTCATCAAACGATTAATGTGCTTTGGGTCTTGAGTGAGAGCATGACTATGCCGAACTCGTCAAAGACGAGACGCTCTTCGACCCCACGGGATGCTCAACAACTTGAGGGCGGCTTAATTTGGCAGCTCAGCCTTGATCACTAGGGCAATAGTGAGCGTACTCATGCCATGCTACTTTTCCCATGCATCTGCCCGATCTTTGACACTTGTTCCCTTACAGATTGAGTAACTGGGCTGACTGTGTGGGGTCCGAGGGGATACCCTAGACATCTCGCTTCGCCTCACTTGTCGATTACCCTCGTGTCGTTCATTCTTCTGCCCCTTTATTGGAATAACGTTCGTCACCGGATTGTTATTTGTAGGACGATATCGTTATAAAAGTGGTTATAAGATATTTCGTTTGCAAGTGAAGGGAGGGGAGACTGAATGCAATCTTTAAACTTCTGCCTAAGGGATGGCAATGTGATAGAAAATAACGTAACCTTGTATACTGAATGAGATATGTGCAATCGAAGAAATGAGGTTTCTTGAAAGCTTATTCAATTTCTAGTTTTCTAACTGTAGACTGGAGTACCGGCCTGACACAACTCTGGTAAAATTCAAAGTAATAAACTGTGTGTTTGATATCTAACATTGGAGTCGTTGTCTAATGAAACCCGTCTTCGGCTCCTCGACTCCATATACTCATCGCAGGCTTCCCGTCGTCGTCGATCCATGCTCTAAACATTCCAGCGCAGTTGAAATCCATCAAGATCTCAGCACCGGCGTCTACGATCCTCCCCTGGCTATCTCGAGAGATGACAGACTCAATGGCAATCATCCCGCCCTCACCTTCACCAGTTTTCCCAAATCGAGATCCCGCGCTGCGCTGAAGCTCGCCTCCTGTGCCGGCGACATTGGCGAGCGCTTTCGCAATTGACTCTGGTTTGAAACGAGCCATGGCGGCAACGGTCCGCGCTGCGTTTGTTCGTAGAAACGAATCACCGTTGCCGGTACCAGATACACCCATGGATCTTGTAGTTACCGTGCCTGTTACAGGCAATCTTGACGAAATTGGGCTGTAAAGGGAGGGGTTGGGAAGGCAATCTGCAACGAGTCCTCTCAGCGAGTCTGATAGACCAAAGAATGGGGAACCATAAGATGTAACCGCTGCTTTCGACATGTCCCAGAAGGAAGATGGTGGCCCCTCCTCTTCCCACTCCTCGGCCCAAAATCCTGCACCGGGCACTGGAGTATCTCCCACTCTCCCGGTCAGCTTGTTGGTCAAACCGCCAGTGCTCGTCGCAGCGCACACGACGCCATCCTCATCCATCGCAACTGCGCCGCATGTCCCCTGTGGTAAGTATTCATCCACCGCCCACGTAGCACCGCCTCTCCCAAGCTTCTCTTGCTCGAGCGCCCTTATATGCTCATCCCAACGCTGCTGCGTGAAAAAGTAGCTCTTATCCACGATGTCAAGTCCATATTGCCTGGCCAGCTGCTCCGCCGTCTCGCCGTAGATCTGTGTATGGCCCTGAGCAGACGGGACATCAAGATCACCCCCCTCGCCCGTCGCCATGAAGTTAGGAGAAGAAGAAGACATCTTCGGCGCGAGGTCCTTGTCACCTTCCTCAAGCATGCGGCGCGCGAGCAGGATGGGGTTGCGCACCCGCCGCAGGCCCATGACGCCCACGCCGCGCTTCGCCCGGCCGTGGGAGACCATGACCGAGGCCTCGAGCTCGTTGATGCCGTCGCGGGTGAAGACGGCGCCGTGCCCGCTGTTGAACAGCGGGCTGTCCTCGAGCTGGACGACGGCGTGGGTGGCGATCTCCAGGGCGGACGGGCGGGGCCGCCGCTTGCCGTCGCTTGCTACGCCGTCCATGTACGCTGCCGTCTTGGACACGATGGAGAGGAGGGTTGTGCGGTATAGTTCATACTTCTCAGGGGTGAAGGTGTCTCGTTGGACGTTGCCTGCGCCTCCGTGGATGATCAGCCGGGGCTTCAGCTTTGGGCTGGGGCTTGGGTGGGTTTGCTTGAACTCCATCTTGGATGAATAAAATTGACAGGTCTTCGCAAATGGAATGGAGTGGTGTAGGCAGGCCGATAAGTGATGTGGAAAGAGGGAATAGTAATGTCAAGATAAGACAACGAAGTTGATGTAGCGGTCTCGGCGATCTCACACCACTTATCTATCGCAAATGGCGACATAGAAGGTTGCACCCCCGCTCAGTCTATCACAGAACTTGATAAAATTGCAAGGATAATGAGCAGACAATCAACTATTGTAGGATGACAGTTTGATAATTTATTCATAATTATTATAGTGATTGTTGCTTTTATACGGAATTCAATCTCGAAGGCTTGCGTGCCATAGGTTAGGATGTCAATTGGTGGGCAACCCCTCACTCCGATCGAGGAGATCTCCAGCATCCCTTCCAAATTGATAAAGCTTCAGAGCCAGTTGAGTCTCATTGAGGGGTTGAGTTATTTACAATACCTCCTATCTTCTTTTGAATCTGGGTATCCTGCATATTTGACGAGACAAAAAGGAAACCCCTGTTCCCAGAGTATGAACACGTTAAATAAATAAACATAAATAGCACAGAAGATGATCATAGACAGATCTTTATTCATTCCAAGTATGCCGGAGTAGGCGTCTTGCCCAGGGCTTTGAAGATCCGGGGCTCAAATAATACTGCTTAATTCAAATTCATGTCTGACTCGTTCGTGGGTTATCGCATTTGAGGAAAAGGCATGAATGGATTATAGGTTGGTATCCGGTTGAACATTGCCTTGTCGAGAGCTTTGTCGAGGTCTTCCGGCCGTATCGCCGGCGTTCGGCCTAGGCATACGGCGTGGCCACAAATTTCTAAGACATGTAAGCTCCATTGATGGACGGGAGATGTGAGTTACAAGCATACCTTCTGCCAAGACGGTGACGTCTATATCTACGGTCATCTTGCGGGAGGGCGGTGGCGGCGGCGGTGGCGTAGGCCGTTGCGTTGGGATGGCTGGGCATATGTACGGAAAGATGCTGTTGGTGTCCGGGGCTCCTGGTGCTGAACCGTCTCTGAATAATGGCGGGCCCGTGTTGGGACGGCTGATCAACCTGGGGCCGGTGTCACGGGGCTTGTTGTGAGCAAAGATATCGACTGCGCCGTTGAAGTCATCCAGGTCGACCTGGGCCTTCACATAATCTGCGTTGCCGGGGATGTAGATGCCTCGTTCACGCATGTAAATCTCAATCTCACCTGTGTCTAAAAATTCACCTGTGAAGCCGGGAAATATAAGTTGCATCTTCTTGCCGATGCGACAGTTGGCTGTCTCTATTGTTGAGTCCCAAGGTCTCATCGAGTACCCTGTGTCAAATTGAGGCCGGTGGGCTTCATAGGTGCCCTGGTTGCCATAGGGAGCCTCGAATGACGAGCTACTCGAGGAATCGGAATGGCTGGTTGCATTGGGGTAGTGCCATCCCGCGCCGCCCAAGTTTGTGAAAGGGGCCCTCCAGTAGTTGAGAGATTCACCCCGGGCAGCCATGAGCCTGTCCGCTAGACGGCAGGTAATCGATTCGCGAGATTCAAAGAGAAGACAGAATCCAAACACCGCGGAATACCTAGCCGGAGGTGGAGACTCCATTGATACAAGTCTCAAACCACGTTCGAGGATGTTGCGCTGCAGACGGCGACCGAAAGTTAGCTCCTGGTGGGCATACGAGACTGGAGCCTGCAGACCTGGGCCTATTGCTTCTGCGTAACATGAAGCGGTTGCAACTGGGACTTCTTCATCGAGGTCAAGATCCTCGGGCGTCAGCGCGCTGGGGTCGTAGTCGGGGAAGCTGGCATTGCTAAGCGTGGGATGAGCAACAATCTCATAGGAGGAGTCGACCTGCAGAGCTTGGGTCACCTCGACGAAGCTGGGAGACGAGCTATGGGCCGAGTCACTTGGCCTGAGCAGGGGCAGAATGCGTCGATGACCGTCGGTGCCATTGCTCACTACACTTGAACCGGACGGATCTGCAGCTTGCGGGTGGCCGGCGCCGGCGCCTGCGCTGGCGCTCTCGGAGGCTATTGTTTGGAATTTGCTGCTGATATCCTGCAAGCGCCGCGAGACCTCGACGTTGTTGCTGGCCAACGCGCCCTTGGTGTTTGCGAAATCGATGAACTTCGAGAACTCTTTGGCCATGTTGTTCATCTTCTCGTGGGCCTTGAGGAGCTTATCCTCCAAGTCCGTGATCGCCGAGTCCTTGCGCGCGCGGTAGGCACGCTGTGCCTCGCGGATTTGCTGGCGTCGCCGCTGCTCGGACGATTAGTGTCCTGAACCACGGCCTGGGGAAACACCTAGAGCTGGTCAAGGGAAGGGGGAGACTCGCCTCACTATGGCCGACGTCTCCCGAAGTTACTTTACGGGGCCGGCCACGGGTCTTCTTTATCTGGCCCGATGGCTCAGCATCTCTGGCTGGGTCAGGAGACTGCTCACCGGCCTCGGCGGCGTCTGCCTCGTCAGCATCCTCCACTCTCGCCCGCTTCCGGGACGCCTTGGGAGGGCCCCGGGGCGATTTCGTCGGCGCTGTCGAGGCTGTGTCTGCAGATGGGCCTGCCTTGTCCTGGCGGCGATCAGCCGAAGCTGCATTCCTGGGCATGGGGGGCGGCGCCTGCGGTTTGTCAGACCTGAGAGCAAGCGGCACAAGCCAGTCAACGACGGTTGATCGGGGAAGCAATGGGGGATGGGGCCAACTACGCAAGGAGTCCGTTGGGGTCGGATCAATAGCCGGAGCTACTCCCAGACCTCTGCCTTGGGACGATCTGGCTAGGGTCTCGTCCTGAGAGAGAAGCGGTTGCTGGAAGGTCTGCGGGACGGCGGTGGGGAAGAAACTCGCATCCGCTGGTGGAGGCAGCTCAGTAGCGCTAACGCAGTTAATGTTAGAGGTGGTTGCAGCGCCTGCGGGGTCTTGCGGGAAGATCTGAGATCCAAGCTCGAACGTATATCGATCGGGGAGCAGCTGGCTATCCGGCAGGCCACACAAGTTGGTGTCAACAGAGAACGGGGGAGGGAGAAAGAGGTCGGATGGCTGCAGCTGCTGGGGACACGGGGCGTGAAAGAAGTCGTGTATTTGAGGATGATCAGGTTGGAAATTGGTCTGGGCAACGGAGCGCGGGCTGCAAGTTGGCAGTGGCAGCAGACTGAGCCTAGACTGGGACTGACCCCCACAAGGACTGCTAAGACTCGTGTGGCTGTGGCTATTCTCATCTTGGTCCTGGTGGCCCTGGCTCGCCTGCTGGGGCCAATCAGCCCGGCCAGCGCCATCGCGAGCTGCCGACATGGGCGACGAGCCTCTTCTCGGCCGTCCTCTGCTTTGATGCCGGCGCTTCCTTCTAGACCGCACCCAAACTGGGCGGACAGCAGCAGAAGAGGCGGCTGGAGTTTATGCCTGGGAGGCAGTAACCGTGTACGCCGTGTGGTGATCTTTACGCCCTGGACCATGCCATGAGGGACGGCAACCGTGCGGCAGGGTTACGGGGTTGGCCATTCGCCGTCATCGGCATGCAGGCAGCGGTCTCGGTTCAGCTGAGGAATCGTTTTTGATATTCAAGGGCAGAATTGAGGTTCTGGAAGCTCCGGACGGGCCAACTGAGTACGACTAAGAGATGAATATTGAGAGACCTTGAGCGGACGGACATTGTAGATCAGACCGTTTCTGCTAACACCAGGACCAACGGCCGGTTTAAAAATTCCCGGGTGGGCAAAAGTGACATCAGGTACACCGAATATCTTCGGACTTGATTTGGCTGACTCAAACTGGCTGAGCACGGGAAGGGAGACGGATAGGAAGTTGCACTTGGTGGCCTACATACACGAGGCTAGGATCGCTGTGAACAAAAAGGAACGAGGGTGAATCTAGCATAGTTGATGGAGTCTCTCGCTATGATCTCCTTCGACGAGTCCATGCTCCTTGACTGTTCGATTGTGGTGGAGGAACGCCCCGGCTCTCCAACAAGTACGACGGGCGGTACCCAATCACTTGCACACAGGAGTGTTGAAATATACGTGCAGATGCTTGTAAGTGCTAGCGTAGACCAATTTACTTGTACATTCTCTAGCTACGTCTTAATTGCCACCTGTCGCCTCCTATTCCAAGATCGTAGTGGCAGAGATGGAATCATTGCGACCTCTACATAAGAACGTGCAGTATGGGAGTCGACGCAAGCCTCAAGTATACCTTGGTTACGCAGTATGGTCTCAAAATTATCCAACAGCTAGGGCGTTCAAGTATCAATAGTAGACTGCCCCTATCAAGCGAATAGACTGAAAGTGGATGAACTGATGAGCGAGGTGGGATCCAAACAGCCTCATCGCATTGTCATTACACCACCAGTCAACTCGCTGACCCTCCGAGTCTTACGGAGCTAGAAAACTACTTACATGGTGCCTCATGAGCTTATTGGACGATCAGAAATGCCGAGATCCAAGATCGCTGGACTGGGCAGGGGTCCTCTCGATCTGGCCGGTTGGATGACGGAATTAGGCGTGCTGAGTGCAAGGAATCTAAAGTTCCAATTCTGCTTTCTTTTTCTCGTGCGCCAAAAAAACAATGGATTTGATTGGAACCATGCAGCAACCTCTCTTGGGAAGCATTGTTTCACTCTGCAAGCCACCTCTGCCGTTGGTTGCGCGAGACAATTTCGGTTGTCAGCTGCCGGTGTCTTGTCGAATGTATTCTGCTCTCTTCAGCCAACGAATCGCGCCCACTGGCACAACAATCAACCGGGCATAAATTTAGGTTCTAACGGGCTGTTCTCGCCCACCCGCTTTATTAGCTAGCTCCCGTTGCTGTCTGGCGTCTCCCATCCCTAGCAACCTGTGATCCGTGTTTATTCATACTCTCTCGCGGTTTCATTATGGTGAAGGACGCACGTGGTCTGGTTGGAGAATCTAAATGATTTCAGACTACTAATCCATCATAAATCAGAAATTGTCATCTCAAGACTGTATTAACACAACCATGTCGGGATATTACCTCCCCCTCCGGGTAGCCTTGGCACATGCCAATTGAATAGTGGGGCCCGATCGCCAGGTCTTAGCTTCCACACAAGTGTGCTAAACAGAGCCTAATTTCGACTCTGTTTTTAGCAATCTTTGGATACTCAATATCAAGGCTGTTGTTCGCGAAGCTGTTGACAGAGAGGCGTTGTCAGCCAGCGGGTTACAATCCTTCTATTGAATTCTAGCCACTTGGTTTTCTTTCAAAACTCTCTCACGCTATACTCAATACCCAATGCTCAACACATGACATCGCTCACCGATGGAAGGATCTGGGCTCCATGCAGGTCTTGCACTTCATCCCACCATCTGCTGCGCCGTTTGCAATGCGTGGAGCTTTGGGCTGAGCACCAATCTAAGCACCAATATGGAGTATATGACGATCCATTCGATTTGCACAGATGAGCTCTGATTTGTTCATCTTTGTCCTTTCTCCATCGTAGCTGAGATGGCGTCCAGCCACACATGCAGGCGTAAGCCATCTAAATCCTCGGCTGCCTACAGTCGTGAGTGCGCCACTCTTCTGCGACATATACGGCCAACGGAAAATAAGCGGTCTATGGGTTTTCGTTCATTATTGCTTTTTCCAGATTGGCCATGTGATCCCGCTTACCCACCCATACTGTCGTTAGTCGCGTTCCCTCCTCGATGACTTGAGTGCTCGCTCTGATGCTCGTTGTGTGAAGTGACTGGAGGAAAGGAGAGGCACTGGTTCCGTCATGTTCAGTTCCTCTCATGTATTTTCAATCCTCCAGTAAGGGCTAGAGCTTGATTAGACACCGAAGATTGGTAGTCTTTGAAATGTGATATTCGTTGTCCATTTTACATGATATAGTACAAATTTCATCTCGTAAGTAGAGTATATCATAGCTCATGCCGGACCTCGTCTGTGTGGTCTTGTTGTATCCCTATCCCTGGATGCACTGTATTCGCGTACTGCTTTGCTACCAGTGTGATCTGATTTGTCTCCGTCCATCCACCTGATCAGCCGATACTCTTGCAACTCGATCGCTTCGGCCCATACAGGTGAGATGAAAGTGTCGTTCCCATTTCCTTGTACCGGCTCAGCGGCCGCCCCAAGCTTCTCCCTCGCTCGGTGCCAAGCCCCCAAGGCAGGCATGGCCGCAAATCTCTCGGATCTCGTTTCCTGCTCGGCCAAGGCGTCCGCCTCTGATTTCATCACGCTTACGGGATTCACTAGCGTATCCTTGCCACGACCAGCGCGCTCAGCATGCTCGCGCTCCACGATCTGATGGAATGCATGGCCTCGGGCTACCCAGTCATCGTAGAGCTTCTCCAGGGAAAGCTCGTACCATAATTTACCCAGGAAAACGCTCCATTGGAAGGTTTCGCGGCGCTGTGGAGTGTGAGGCTGCTTCCTCGTTTCACGTGCTATTTGGTCTTCAACCAGTGAATCCCATTCATCCTCTAGTACAGCCTGGGGGATTTTCTTTTCTGACACCTCAATCCCTTCTATCCTCCTCTTCCACAAGAAACGTCTCCGATTTATAATTTGCCCAAGCACGAGCGGTTGTGGTTTCGTGAATCGTACAAATGGGATTTCGAAACAATCTGCAGCTAACACCGGGGGTCGGCCTGGCTTCGTCTCCCCCTCGGGTCTGGGGTTCGGGACATATGCTGGCGGCTCGCCAGGGCCAGCGACCTGGCGCAAGAGTGGGACATGGGATTTTGGGTTTCTCGTTTTCGGGTTTGCTCGAGACGATCTTAATTTTCGGGATTGATCTGCTTTTGAAGCTCGTTCGGCGAGAATGGCAAGCACTTTGGAATGCTCGGGAGATTCCGTAGTTTGGGCTTTTGTCAATACAGTTAGGAACTTGAAGCACGAGAATTAGCCGTTGTCATGAGAAGATCACACGAATACCAAAGACGAGGAATCAATTATATAGTACCCTGTAGCCTGTAGCCATGGACGAGTATACGAGTCTAAAGCTTGTGTATTTGACATGGTTCTCGAAGCGTTTTCTCACCAGGTGAGCAACGGGGTGCGTTCGCGCATGTTTGCTAAGCTCTTGCGGTATCGCAATCTTTTGTGAGGTTCGGATGAGCGCCCGGTAGAGAGATAGAGCCGCAACACGATGTCGGGAGTTCTTTGCCGCGACGAAAACCTGGCGCCCCTCGCGCATGTTGGATAGTGGTGTCGGTTGCTGCTACGAGATATGTGGTTGATGGAGCCTCAGATCACTGACTCGGCGCATGGCTAAGGTGTATCAATTCGAGATGTAGATTGATGAGAACTTCGGACCCTGGTTGGACTAAGCAATCGAAAGCCAAAGCATTGCGCAATGGGTCGGCTGGGAGCACATGATGTCGTTCTATTTCATGACGTTGTCGTTTTGGTTGTCGTTGATAAATGTCAAGGAGCGAAAAGTTGGGTATAGTGATGACTAAGATATTTGGACCACCAGAACTGCCTTCAGAGCAAATTGAGCTGTGATAGTATCGAACACTTTGGATTAATCTGCCTCCGATTCCTAAAACGATTCATGTCATTGTTATCTAACAATAAAATTCAATCTTAATCAGTGACGAATCTTAACTACTCTTTTACGGGGTTGTATCTGAACATTTGTGATATGTGTT